TTAAGGCCCACTGCCATCTACCCCACTGAACTTTTCTTATACAAAATTATAACGCTGACGAAAATGGAGAAGCTAAAATAACATCACCAGTTCTAAAAAAAAAGTTTTTAGGACTGAATTACACGGGCTTTGAAATTGGCAATTGGGGCAATAACAATGACAGATGACAAATATTTTACTCTCGTAAACAAAGTAAAGTGTAGTGTAGAGAATTTAAATACAAGTACAAGTAGGACATATGCAATACCACAATTGCATCTCATTAGTACAAATGACAAAAGTAACGGAATAAGCTATAAGTTTGTAACAATCGATCCATTTGGCCCGTATGGAGTGTGGGAAGAACCGGAGTACCCCGAGAACACGTCTCCAGAACACTGACGTTCGTCGGTGAGACGATACCCGGACACGGGAGGAGTCACGGAGACGTTCGTCGGTGAGACGATACCCGGACACGGGAAGAGTCACGGAGACGTTCGTCGGTGAGACGATAGCCGGACACGGGAAGAGTCACGGAGACGTTAGTCGGTGAGACGATACCCGGACACGGGAGGAGTCACGGAGACGTTCGTCGGTGAGACGATACCCGGACACGGGAAGAGTCACGGAGACGTTCGTCGGTGAGACGATACCCGGACACGGGAGGAGTCACGGAGACGTTCGTCGGTGAGACGATACCGGGACACGGGAGGAGTCACGGAGACGTTCGTCGGTGAGACGATACCCGGACACGGGAGGAGTCACGGAGACGTTCGTCGGTGAGACGATACCCGGACACGGGAAGAGTCACGGAGACGTTCGTCGGTGAGACGATACCCGGACACGGGAGGAGTCACGGAGACGTTAGTCGGTGAGACGATACCCGGACACGGGAGGAGTTACGGAGACGTTAGTCGGTGAGACGATACCCGGACACGGGAGGAGTCACGGAGACGTTCGTCGGTGAGACGATACCCGGACACGGGAAGAGTCACGGAGACGTTCGTCGGTGAGACGATAGCCGGACACGGGAAGAGTCACGGAGACGTTCGTCGGTGAGACGATACCCGGACACGGGAGTAGTCACGGAGACGTTCGTCGGTGAGACGATACCGGGACACGGGAGGAGTCACGGAGACGTTCGTCGGTGAGACGATACCAAGACACGGGAGGAGTCACGGAGAAGTTCGTCGGTGAGACGATACCGGGACATGGGAGGAGTCACGGAGACGTTAGTCGGTGAGGCGACACCCGGACACGGAGTCAAGGAGACGGTAAACTATCAATCAGTCAATCACCCAGAGAAAACCCATAAGGTCGGGTGAGTGGCCCCATACCCTTTCACGTCTGTTTGGGGAATCGAACTCCGGACGTCTTGGTGAAAGGGTAGTGTGTCACCCGACTCCACTGAATTTTTTCTAAAGCCTTTATTTCTTGTTTTTCCTTATTTATTTTCTCCTTCCTTTTGGTTTCTTTACCATTTCTGTGACCGTTACCCCGTTAGTTATGCGTGACAAGCGTATAGGCACGTGCCCATGTCTTTTGCCGACAGCAACCCAACCGTGTCAGTCATTGATAATGGGTAATTATATTGTAACACACAGGGTGGCGGTCGACTTTGTTTTTACACGTGTATTCACCATAATCACTCGCGTGCATCAGTATTGTGTAATCATCAATATTGATTCAAATTTTGTATTTCATAAATTTCATAGTCTGTTTGAAATCCTTATTAAATCCTACGCAATATACTTTATCCTCTTTTACACCTGTTTACCTCACAGCTGTTTAAAAAAATACTAACTTTATTCTTATTCTCAAACTTTCGTTACAGATATGCATGGACATACAAGAAAACCCCGGGTCTGATGTATCATGTGATAAATTGAATATTTTCGACATCAACATACACAGTCTAGGAAATAAGCTGACTCACCTTGAAAACATTGGAGACGCATTTTACGTAGTATGTATCGCGGAATCCCATCTAAACAACAGTGTCTCTGATGACGAAATATCGCTTTGTAGTTTTAATAGTAATCCTTTCCGGAGTGTGAACACTCACAGGGTGGTGGTGGTGTTGTTTACTGATTTTCATTTCCGTTCAACGTCGTTTTGACAAAAATATCCCTCTGGTGAGGCTGTTTGGGTTTCAATAACTCCTCATATCTTCTTTGTACAGTATATAGACCTAACGATTATGAAAATCCATAGAGATTGGAACTTGATGAAAATCCTCATGTAGTTGGTGATACAAACGTAGATCTTCTAACTGAAACTCGTCATAAACATAATATCCACACGTACTTGTTATCGAATGTAACCCAGCCCACCCTGGTAAGCAACACACGTGCTTTTCTCCTTGACCCCGTGCTCGTGAGTGCTTCATGCATGATTGCTTTTCCTTACAATATTGAAATTGACAAGGGCATTTCGGATTATGACGCTACTATTGTTGAAATCAAACTTAATCTTTCTTATCAACAAATTTAAACGCATTATCAGGTGTTATAAAAATGCTGATTGTCACAATTTACGGAAATAACTTGTTACACCGATTGGCACTTTGAATTTATGGGTGTTTCGATGTGTGATGAAATGTGTTCAATTTCTACAGATAAGTTTTTTGGGGTACACCTATGATTGCATCACTATAACTATTAGACCAAATGACAAACCGTGGGTTACATCAGAACTGAGACATGGAATTGAGGCTGCAATAACGAAATCACGTCAACAATTATAAAAAAGGTTGGACAACAGAACATTTTTATGCTAATTTGAACGGACTTTTAGTCAACTTTGCAAATGTAAACCAAAAACAAAAAAGTTTCTGGAAACTCGTTCATAGATTAATGCAAAGTCCAGGTGTATCTAACGCAAACTTCCACTCTTCTATAAAATACATAACAGCATGCCCCCCTCTTACCTAACAGACACTCTCCCTCCTCTAGTATCTACTGTTAACTCCATAATATGTAATTCTCTGAGAACTAATCAATTTTAAATTACCTTTTACAGTTGTCACTGAACTTATTTATCCCTTCCATCTTACGGTCATGAATTGCCCTTGACTCTAGTCCCTTAAATGCAAATTCCTACACGCGTTTTACGGACTTCCTAAAAAATCCAAACGGGATTATCACTTTCCGGAACAAAGATTCATGAGCTTATGGAAGGAATATGCAGAGAAAATCACAGATAGTTGGAAGGAATGGTTCATCATTAAGTTAGCAAAGAAGGGAAATCTCGAGGAATCACGTTGCTTTCTGTAGTTTGAAAACTACTTGGAAGGGTCGTCTTGATCGCATAAGAGAGGGGATCAATAGAAGTGAGAGGAATGAACATGCAGGTTATAGGAAAGGAAGGAGGACGACAGAGCAAGTAAATGAGTGACAGACAACATCTTAACTTAAAGACTTTGAAAAGGTTTTTGATTCCATCCACTGTGAAAGCCAATTAATCATCATGAGTATATATGGAATACCGGACAAAAATTATAAGGATAGTAAAATTATTCCATGAGGATTTCCAGTGGGATGTGGAAGACCAAGGAGAAGTAGGAGAGTTGTACAACATCAAGACAACAGTGAAACAAGGATGTAATAAGTCCGGATGTATATCTTTAGTCGTTATGGATTGGGTGATAAGAAAAGCAGTTGGAAATGGTGAGAATGGCATAAGATGGTAATTAACATAAAAATAGACATTAAGAAAAGACTATCAAAAGCTAAAGATACTGTTATACAACTGAAACATGTTTGGAAATGTTTGATAAATAAAGCAGGCGACAAGTTGGTTGATGTTTTAAAAACAACAAGTTCCTCAGAAATGTTTACACAGTACAGTGGCAAGACCACGTAAGGACAGAAGACCTATTGGAAAGTACAAAGATGAAACCAGTAAGCGAGGAGATAAAAAGCCACAGATGGAAAATGACTGGGCTTATTATGAGGCAGGGAAGAACAACGACTGCAAGGTCACACTAACATGGGGGTCCAGAAGGAAAACGAAGAAGAGGAGGACCAAAGACCAAAGAATAAAATACAGTATAGAAAGAGAGAGATGAGGCAGACTGAAGATCCTGGAATGACCGGGACAGATGAAAAAGCTCTGTCAATGCATTATGTGCTATGAGGCACCGGAAGTGGATAGGTAACATGAAACAGGTGGTATCACTGTAGTGATGATGTAAGATGTGGTATATCATATAACTTTCCCACTGTCGATTGAGCTTTCTTACAATTGACTGACCAGATCAATGATTCCTAGTCACTACATGATGACGTATATCATCACGTCTGTAGTGTGTGCATGCATTATGATGTCAATTGGTATGCGTGTATGATGAATGTTGATTAAGTTTCTTAGAAAATATCACAATAGGCTTGTGTATGATTTTTATGATATCCATGCATGAATGTTATGATTATTGATGTTGTCTTTTGTATATTTATTGTATGTATTAAAAATATCTGAATAAGTAAATAAATAAATAATTCTTACTGGTTAGCTTGTAATATCATTATCAATAAAAGTGATAATAAACTTCGTTCTGCTCACTTAAAAAGATAACTAGTTTTCATTGTTGGCCATTTCTCAGACACCAGAAGCGCGTATGAAATATGAAAGTTTTTTATTGCATTAAAAGGAAGCTTTCTTCACAAAGAAAAAAGTGCGTGCATCTTCCGTTTGGCTTTGTCCCTTAAAATATTAACTACTGGGTTTCTAATTATTTCTAATTTTCCCTCAATTAATGTCATTATCCATATTTTCCCCTCTTTCTTTCACATTTCGTAACTAAAGTAAGTCGATAATCAGAAAAGAGCGAGGACGACATATGAAGTTTTCTCTATTCGCATCGCTGTAGTGTCAACCGCTTCAACCGCACAAATAAGAACATTTTCCTTCCAAACTACATTTAGTACACAAAATTTGATTCGTCAATGTATTCGCGTGCGACCAATCACATTGCGGCTTCTAGCTGCCGTTCAGTGAAAACAGTTGCATGTGCTTCCGGTTTAGGAAGAATTGTCAATATGTCTGTTAAATGTGCTATTTGTGATGGTTCGGCGATATTGAAGAGGCCGAAAACGGTAATGAAGTGTTTAATATAGTTTATTTTACCATCATATTCTTTCGACACATTTATAGAGGTGGATGTCGATAATATATGGCAAAAATGGTTCAGCGATTGTTACGGTTCTGACAACTGATTTCACAACACTCGGTGGTGTTGCATTTATGTTACATATCATATGACAGGACGATGTACTCACTACATGATACATATTATAAATTCATAATGAAGATGTTATTGGTCAGGTTTTGTTACTATGATTTTTCCATTATAGATATCTTTATGGCAAACATACAGCCCCGATTCTTGTTTTAGTCTGAATAAACAGGGTGGCAAATGCCGAGTGGTCAGAACTTTTAATTGGAGTCTTGAAGTACGGAGGTTACATCTTTTAAACTTCTACCAATTAAGACTCCATCATCGACATACTACATATATTTTGTCCTAATATGTGCCATATTGTGCATGCCTGCTTGTATGTTCGGAAATACTTTTGTGCATGTTCAGTTTGCTATGAGATCTACACTTATGAGCGTACATGTACACTTGTAGCTGCGATGTTGTATCTCCACTGATGACTGTTGTAGACCAAACAAAATCATAATTTTAATATATTGTGTTGTCAAGAATTAAAGAAACCTCAGTTCATTTCTACCCGATTCTCTCATCCCTTTCAATGCCAACGCTCCCAAACCAAAACAGATAATTACCAAAACATATACCATACCACCATGGAACTTTGTATCATCCACTAGATGTGTCTACAAAGCCCCTAAATATCTTCAAGCAGACAGGAACTTTGGGATATCACCCTTTTTTAGCCATATCTATTTCCTATCATTATTAACTGTTTAATTTCCATATATTTTATCAAAACAGTCAGTTAACACTGTTGTATAAACATCAGTTTGATAGACCCAATGTGGATGTTGAGTAGATGTGTGACAGTGTTTCAAAATGCATCTTTTATAATGCCACATCAGTTGAATATCATGATTGCAGCACATAAATAAATTCATGCAGGTCGTGGCCCAACAAACTACCGCTGTGTTTTTTTAATTATGTATATCTTAAGATTTCCTTGCAGTAATAACTTAGAGGGTCCATGGTGCATAGAAGGGTGTCATTTTTAATCCAAAATTCATATTCACTGCAATATACATGTGCCAGAACACTGACATTCTTCGGCTTATGGAATGACAACTCCTAGTAATAAGACGAGTCAAGGAGAAAGAAAACCTGTAACTAACCTACTAACTGTAATATTGACCTACACTGCCTAAATCTCTAAAACAAACCTTATAAACTGACAATGTAGGTCCATATTCATGTAGACTGTAACAAATTTTCATGTCCCTGTGGATGCAAATGTTCCTGATTACTGTGTAATTAATAATGGTATTTTCTCAGAATTAGATCATGGCAATATATAACACAGAATCCAACGTCCCGTGGGTGGTAATGTTCACTAGATGTGTCGGTGGAGGAATCTTAGGTGGATACAGGAGTATACAAATACAAATTGATTTTTTTTCATTTGCGGAGCTGCTACTTACATATAACAGCTAGTGTACAGGGTAAAAATATATCATGGTTACCCTTTAGTCAGCACCTGTGATCTTTGCAGTGTAAATTTGTCGCCTTATCCTACATGTTAAGTTATTATTTTTCAAAAACCATTTAATGTTATACATTTATTGACAAAACTTGCAAGACAGCATTCTTAATGGTCAAATTTTGCATAATCTGGCATTATACTTAACTTCATAAGTAATAAACAGAAAAAAATAAAATTAACAACAAAATACACTATAAAAGAGATACTGTTTGATATACTATTATTAATTCTGAAAATGTGTTTGAAATTATAGTAAAAAAGAAAATTTTTACCTGAAACCAATCTGAAGACATTCAATAAGTTTGTAATTACAGTTATAATTACAGTTGATTATAACTTTATCAGATATCATCAATGCAGTTTCAAATAGTCTTGTACTTTGTGATTTACATATCTTAGTTTTAGTACAAAACATAAGCATTCAAGTCAGAACTAAAATCTGATCAAAAAAGAAATTTTTACAAGTTTTCTCTTAATTAGTTTTTGTCTTTTTTGTTATGATTTGTAATTCTATATAGAAGTATTTCTCATTTAATGGAAATATTATTCACTCCTTCTGTAATTTATGAGTACTGTCCACTTTGTTAATTCTTATAGATAAATTCAAAATACTGACAATATGAAGTGATGCACTGTCTCTATATACTCGTTGCATCAATAGGTGGTACACTTGGACTGTATAGATAGTACTGGGTATATTCTGATTTTAGATTTTTCCATTTTCTCAGTTTTCAGATAGTTTACATTATAAGGGTAAAGGCGTGCTTTAAGGTTTGTTTGTTTGTTTGCTGACTTTATTGCCTGGGAACAACCAGTCATTTTGAGACAGAGTCTCCTTGTAGTAGCTGGTGAGTACCCCACTAAACAACATACAGGAGGCCCATCACATACCATCCAGAGCAAGTGTCTTGCCCATGGACACAATCACAACAGCACATGTACAGATCAGTCTGTTTCTAAGTTTAATGAGGAACACAAATTACCTGTGTTTACATAGACCAATGCTCTAACCAAATGAGCTATCATAGCCTCTCCAGCTTTAAGGAAGAGGCAAAATTTAGTTAGCATATTTAATTAATTACACTCAAAGCATGTGGATCAGTTAAACGCTCAGTCAAATAAAAATGTAAAAAGTAAAAACGTAAATACATATTGTGCTTCATCATCAGAAACACATCTAACGAATGCAGTTAGAAAAAAAATTTGAATCTATCAGATTTACACATTTTGACGAGTCACACATGGTTTCAAATAGTAATATTCATTTTTGAAGTAGTAACAGATGTATGAAACCAGAGCAGAAATTCAGATACAAAACAGGATGTGTAATTAGAGTAGACACTTGAAAGTCACTCATTACCTGACTCTGGCCACAGGGCTTAGGTGTGTTAACCTGCTGAGCTTTGTACAACCTGAAGATCAGATGTGCGGACAATAGCTACTGTGACTTTGTAATGGCCAGGTCAACACATGGGCGAGCCACGCCAGCACTGTTAGGTGGAAAATAGTGTGTCATGACAGACAACAAGATATGAGTGAGGTCATCCCAGACATAATCATGGCTGTATATTTCAAAGTGTATGAATTATGGCATTGAATTTCAACAGAAATAGTTTTGTCATATGATAGATAATAACTTCTTTCATTAATGTTGCATAATTTCTCATATTATTAGAAGATGACACAAATGATTGACAGACAATTGCAAATACAAGTAACAGTCTAATAAATTAATTTCTATACCAACATAGCTTTTTAAGGGTTACAGGAATTCATTTATGTGAAGGACAAATGTACATGGCCATGATCACAAAAACCTTTAAAACCTTGTACAGCAATTGTCACAAGGTTGGTATAGGTCATGTGACATGAAGCTTAACTTCGATTGGAATTACTCTATATGTACTTCACACCTCTCACAATGGAAAAGTATGGTCAATAAATGGCTACCATGCAATAGCTTGTATTAGCATGTAAAAATCAATGACACAGACAACTTTGTTGTTACATTGTCAATATGAATATGTTCAGTGCATGAATTTATAGTTTTGCATAACTTATGAGCAACATGGTTATGGTTGAAGATGGCGCAGTGTAATTTTAAATTTGATACTTTGCAACAAGTCACAAGGCCCATGTGCTCTTTAAAAATTCTGCAGAATTAGATATCTATCTCATTCAATGTCTTGTTTAACTTAAAATTGATGATAAAGAACCAACATTTCTGGAATGCCCAAAGGAAGTGTAGATCCTTCTTTATCTTAAAAAATTCTTCGACTGGACTGAATAAGATTAATTTTATCATTTGGCAGATTCTGCATAGACTACTAGGGGAGTTAGATTCTGTCTTTGTCATGTACCATAGACATGCTTAGTTAGGCTCACTCAAATTTTGGGGGATAATCAGGTTTAAACTGCACTATGATCAGTTAGCATACACTAATATATATCAGTATGAAACAGGATAGAGAAATTGCAATTAGTGCAATTATAATTTAATGAAATTTGATTTAATGTAATGTTTGGTGCGAAAAATGCTAAAATAAGATGACTGCAAAAACATGTCCATTTTCAGTATACATCATACCCATCATAATTAATTAATACCATATATTCTAAGTGATTTCAATTTTGCTGTGTATATTTGCAAAAACAATGGTGATGATTTAATGATCAAAGTGTTTCACAAAGTTGATTGAACTTGTTTCACAGTTGTTAAAAGAGGAATTAAATTAAATTCTGAAATGTAATCTACTCTTTCCATTACCCCCTCTGGATGGCTGGTGCCACTGATTCTGCCCTCCCACCATACACAACATTGGGATGTGAGGTGGGTAGATGGGAGGTGACACAGTCTTGTATTCCACAATAATGTTTGTCCTCGTCTTAAAAACTTAACTTTGTGTTTTGTGTTTGAACAGACTTTTTTGCACTTGTTTGTCCTGAATTTTCAATTTAGTTTGTTTTTTGAGAGAACAAATTAATTTTTTTTTATAAAGATATGATCTGATACTGCACAATTATGATTTTTTAAAAGAAAAACTTCATCTATTAACAGTAGCAAGCTAACTAGAGGGTAAGACCTGACCACAAAATACTGTAAGCAGCTTGCTACTTTTCACCAGTGATGTTTCTCGTATGTAATTAATGTTCACCAGACACTGATTTTATGCACCTAATTTAATTCCTTTGTACCTATCATTTACACTGACATTGTAAATTGTCACAACCAAGTGGAGCACCTGCCTATTAGCACTACTTGATAGTCTTCGCCCTGCTCAGTCTTAATTAAGCTTACCATCTCCAATTTCACCTCGGGGCTTACGATCATGTTATTCAACCCGGAGCAATCATAGACTCCAGTAAATGGACAAACAAGATGGAGCCACAGGTCTTGTCGGTCTTTGATGTATCATGACAAGCTGTGAGGAGGTACTTCACTGTTCCCTCCACACAGAGGTAGTTGGTCGCGACTCCCTACTGTGTAAATTGTCACCCCGTCCTCTCCGTCTACCCAATACAGATCAAATATTGAGCTGACCTGCAGAAAGCTGGACCCCCAACTCCGTTGTAACAGATTTGTATCCTTATTTTTTAACTTGACACTCTCCTGGTTGGATAGGGTAACTGCCAATCACACCTGAGCGGATGATTATTAGGTATTGGACCCCCAGAAAGGATCTATCATCACCTAAACGACCCTGAATACAGTTAGTTTGTCACTCTCAGGTTCACCTTTGATGTAATGCCTCTTGTACTGGGCTTTTTACTTTATTTCAAATTGATACGGTATCTTTTCTCATGTAAAATGCATAAAGAGACATTTTCATGAAATTTTACAAGCAGAAGTTATGTAAATCATCCTTCTGTATTTTGGTATAAAAAAGTTGTTTGCAAATGAGTTTAGAATACATTACTTCAAAATTTAAACCATAAATCCTGCTTTAAAAATTGTTCTAGGGGCTTGAAATTTCAAAGTGACTTAGGAAATCCAAAGTTATTGAAAGAAGATAAATGGAACCAAAATGACACCTGTTATGATAAACTGTGGTTGTGCAATTTTGATTTCAATGTGCAAAGAACAACACAGTGCCCGAATTTGTAGAAACAGAGATCATTGGTTTACTTTGAATTGTAGATATACCTGCATGAAATATTGCTTTTCAATCCTTTTCATTTATACGACTGTAAATTCAAGTATTTCTGTGAACATTCAACTAGCTGGGAGTTCGCTTTAAAATAAATATAATATTTAGCTATAATGATAACCATAAAAAGGAATAGTTTTATTTACTTAATTAACAAATAAACTTCTTCTTTAGAACAGCAAGGCCAAGCCACATCGTACATAAGCCAATATATTTTGCAATTAGTTTTCACAGGTAAAAGACCTTGAAATTTAGCATACTCAAGGTCATCAGGGTCAGGTGTATTAAAAGCTTCTAAAATGACATCTTTGGACGTCTTTGATCATGATTTTCACAATTTGCCATGTATCATCAAATTCAGAAAAATGAATGCAAATATAAAGAAGGTATGTGGAGCTTCACTTGGTGCCTTTTTTGATAACACCATGGAAATTTGCATGTTGTTGGTTGACTTGGTTCATGGTCATGGAAATTAGCCAGAATATGGCAGGTTTCAGGAAAGGTGTTAGAAGAGTTCGTAATCAGAGGCAAATTTCATTAAAGGTGTTAGGAGAGGTCGTAATCAGAGGCAGATTTTGTGGAAGGTGTTGAAAGATTTAGTAAACAGATTGTTGTGATAAAGAGAAAAGATAGGGAGGCAAAGATGGATATTTCTGATAGGACTTTATGGTGACATGTGGCTTCCTGTGGTCAGTGTTGGTCCAAATGGTCATTCAGTGACCAGTGGTAAAGAGGGTGACCTATGATCTCTCCAAGTCAAGTCTGGAGATGTATAACAGTCTTTGACCTGCAAGTTTTTCTAAACAGATATTAAACTTGATATGTTTCCATCTGTGATAATATGTTGGTCTGTGAATCACAAATTATCTAATTGACGCGGAATGGCTGCCACTTGATGAGATTAGGAGTATAATAGGATGTGAGTGGTCAACCTGTCGGTCACTGTCACACTGGACAATGCTCTCACACCTTGGCAGGGTAATGAAGCAAAAAATGGAAGGAAAATTGGTGACAATTGATAATAAGGTTGTGTGTGTACAGTGTATGTACCCTGCCGTTCTGTTCCTCATCCAATAACTATAGAGCGTGACCAACTGACCATTGGTTAGACATGGGTATTGTCCACACTCGTCCTAATGGACTGTTAGCCATAACATTAAATTGTAGGAGAGTTTTACTGGAGATAACTTTTGCATCATTGTGTTGGTTTCAAATACAGGTAGCCATTTTGTGTGTTAATAGTTATTCCGTTGACATGTTCAATAATTCCTGTTTAAGTCATTGTGTTGAATAGTCCCGTGCGGTGAGCTTTTCTGTAAATGGCCTATTGGCCATCATTGATCAATGTCTTCAGCATCTCAAAGTCACCTGCCACTCCCATCACTTTGCTCCATAGTGAAGTTTACAGTAATACTAATTTTCCATTCTGTAATTGTGTATTTAAACAACATTTGCCTGTCATTCCTATAGAAATAGTGCTTTCCAAAGGAAGGGAGATAACTAGGAGACTTGTTGAATAAACAGAAAATCATCAAGATGTCAATTTTGATTTATTGAAAAAAAATGCCATTTCACTTTTCTGAGTTCATACACTAGATTCATAAGTTTTTTTTATTTTGGTATGAAAATATTAAAAAGATACTATTTCTTTTTGAAGAATTAGCTATTATTATACTAATCCAGATATTTAATGGTAAAATGTTGAATAAAAATTTTAAACAAAAATCTGTGAAACCTGTCTTCACAGACACATGACATTCTGCAATATTTGCATTATGTGCAAACAACTGTCTTAAAATGATTTTTGTTGTTAATTTATATCCCCTTCTTGCTAGGAAATGAAGTGAGTTGTCAAGGGAAAAGAATACTTGTAAAAGAAGCTAGCATGACTTTGTAGAGAAATGTTGTTCATAATGAATTAAGTGAGGGGGGGAAGTATTATGCTGAATGTAGTTTTGAATCAGACAAGAGCGAAGATTTGTATTTTTGTTACCATGTATGTACATGTTATATAAGCCCAAGTTTTTCTAAGACAATGTTTAAGTATTCTGAATCACTGTAAATGGTGTTGACTTACTCAAAAGTTTATTTCACATTCTATCTGTGTTTGCAGGAATATGACTCATTTGACTTTGAGTTCATTTATCTCAGTTCAAGTATTATGCTCATTTTGAATTGAGTTTCAAGTACTTCATGCATTCACCATCTTGTAAAGGAGGGATGGAATGAATGTAAGGAATGTTTCTACTGTGTGATGTTTTAGGATGATTCCCTTTGTAAGGAATGTTTCTACTGTGTGGTGTTTCAGGGTGATGCGCTCTGCAAGAAATGTTTCTACTTTGTGATGTGTCAGGATGATTTCCTTTTTTAAGGAATGTTTCTACTGTGTGATGTTTCAGGGTGATTCCCTCTGTAAGGAATGTTTCTACTTTGTGATGTTTCAGGGTGATGCGCTCTGCAAGGAATGTTTCTACTATGCCTTCGAAGAAGAAGTTCACAAGACTATCATTGATGCTGGATTATTCACTCGTGGGGAGACGGTAGCGATAGGGGCCTCGGGGGGCAAAGGTAAGGAAAATGATTCTTGCTTGAAAGAAAAAAAAAATCAGAAGTAAACTTATAACTGTTATCTATTTAAAAGCAAGATTAAGTTCCCAGCATATTTTGAAAGAACAAAGGAATTATGAAATTGTGGATGCCATTTTATGATACCTTATCACTTAAGCAAGGAACATTGAAGTTCTGGGGTTGGAGTCACCTAATAAAAAATCATGTTTTTTCTTGACAACGATTAAAAATTCAATATAAGAATGATCTTGAAATTGCTGAAAGAGAATGTAAAGAATATGAATACATTCTGTTTACAAACCCTGCTTATTACATTTCAAGATTCCACTGTGCTGGCATATGTGATGAAAGTGTTGAATGATCGCTATGACTACGGCCTTGACCTAGTGTTGCTGTCAGTGGATGAGGGGATAACAGGGTACAGAGATGACTCGTTAGAGGTATGTGATTTCAAGAGAGTTCTTCATCCGAGCTGTTTAGTGATGAATATGTGCAAAAAGTACGGTATTACAAGTAATAGCATGATTGTAACTGTTGCTTTCATTGATAGGTTCATACTGTCAGGCAACTGGTATCTTCGTTCAGGATATCCTTATCAACATGGTCATTGTAGAATACAATTCGTTTTTGTAAATGATATATTTTTTTCATTGTTAACAAATTCAAAGTTATCACATTTTTTGAAAATATATTTAGTGATGTAATTGTTTAATGATCAGTTTGTTTTTGTAAATTTTTGTGTCATTTTAACAAAAGATCACATTGCCTTGACAGGATTAAAATTAGACAAAAGAATGTCATAGCTTTCAGTATACAAATGTACACTCAGACCATGGAGCCTGGATTCTGTGTCACATCCCCATTGTAAACATGTAGATTTTTCTCTCTGATATAGACAGTTATGTTTGTATGTTACAGACTGTGAAGAGGAACCAGATGCAGTATGACCTTCCTCTGAAGATTGTGTCTTATGAGGTAGATATGTAATGTGTCTAGTATGACCTTCCCCTGAAGATTGTGTCTTATGAGGTAGATAAGTAATGTGTCTATTGTGACCTTCCGCTGAAGATTGTGTCTTATGAGATAGATATGTAATGTGTCTAGTATGACCTTCCCCTGAAGATTGTGTCTTATGAGGTAGGTATATAGTATGTCTAGTTGACCTTCCCCTATATAAATGTAAATTATCTGAGCTAGCCTATGCTGCAAGATTTTGAACATAATAAACTTGATCTCTTTTTTAGGGAAAAAAATTAGAATCTGTGAGAAATATTGGAAAGTTTAACCACATATTTCATGGATTAGATGATGTCTAACTTATGTTGAATTTCTTACAGGAACTTTATGGCTGGACCATGGACGCCATTGTACAACAGATAGGACTGAAGAATAACTGTAAGTATCCTGCCAGGAGAATTATATAGAAAGGACCCACAATATGGCAGTGACAGGTTATACCTGCAAGTTATGATTGAGGGTTATCTTAATTATTTTTCCATTCAAATTTTACAATTTAATTGGCTATCGCACATGTTGTCAATTATGCAGTGTTATATATCCTTCAGACTTGTCATCATTTTTCTTCTGAAACAAGTGCTGTTTACCATGAATGTATGGAACTGGTTTGGAAATGAGATGGTACTGAATCTATATCACCAAATTGTTAACTTACCTGCCACTTTTGATTGTATAAAACCACATTTAGTGTCCTAGCCTTAGATATATTCAAAACAAGGATGTGAAACCCCAATCAATAAATCAATAAATCAATAAATCAATAAATTGATTGCCATATCTTATTGTTTTTCAGAAGGTGCCTTTCCCTTTTTGTCTAGTATTTACTATATTCACTTTGTCTGATAGTCTACTTCTGGTCAAATTGTTGAATGATGAAAATTTCAGATGATTGCTATGAAATTTCTGGTAGAGCACAATTAATTAAGACACACACATAACTTAAACTCTTAGTTTCACTTCTTTTCTAGTTAAGAATAATTATGTTTTTGGATTATCTTCTTGATTTTTCAGGCACATTTTGCGGAGTGTTTCGGAGGCAAGCTTTAGATAGGGGAGCCATAATGCTGAAAGTGAATAAGATTGTCACAGGTAAATTATCATCACATGGTAGTAATTGTAAACATTATGTATAAAATCTCCCTAAGTAACATAAAAAAGTTGGGAAATTACAGTAATAGTTGGTTAGAGATAGCTGTTAGAGATAGCTTCTCATCTTGCTGAATTACGAGGGATGTTATTTACTAATGATATTATAACACTGATATGATACCAGGATTTGTATAACACATCCTGTTAGTGGTTGCTCAGAGGTCTCCATAGTATTATTTGAATAAATCAACAATTTCATTTAATGACATTTAATGACAAATTTATGGACGCAGGCTTTAAGCCTTTGTATCCATATCTGAAATACAGTGATAAATATACATATTGTATCAATGGCTTTTAAAAGTTAATGCATATCATAGTTATCAATAATAATAAATTATATCTTGAAAGTGTTCATCCAAAAGTTGTTCAAAATGTCTAACTGAATTTGCATTAAAATATGAACTGGAAGATTATTCCGAGTGTCTACAACTCTAAAGGTAAAATAGTTTCTCCTAAATTCCGTGTTACAACAACATTTAAAAATTTTGAAATTGTGCCTGTGATAATCATAATTGTCACAAGATATCCCTTAACAAAGCAACAGTATCCCTCACACAGATATCCCTGTATGACAATATCCCTTAATAATCCAAGATATCCCTTACACAATATCCCTCACAAGATATCCCTTACACAATATCCCTCACAACATATCCCTTACACAATATGCTGTTTTGATATCCCTGTACACAATGCACAAGATATCCCTTACACAATATCCCTCACAAGATATCCCTTACACAATATCCCTCACAAGATATCCCTTACACGATATCCCTCACGATATCCCTTACATGATATCCCTCACAAGATATCCCTTACACAATATCCCTCACAAGATATCCCTTACACAATATCCCTCACAAGATATCCCTTACACAATATCCCTCACAAGATATCCCTACACATTATCCCTCACAAGATATCCCTTACACAATATCCCTCACAAGATATCCCTTACACAATATCCCTCACAAGATATCCCTTACACAATATCCCTCACAAGATATCCCTTACACGATATCCCTCACGATATCCCTTACATGATATCCCTCACAAGATATCCCTTACACAATATCCCTCACAAGATATCCCTTACATAATATCCCTCACAAGATATCCCTTACACAATATCCCTCACAAGATATCCCTTACACAATATCCCTCACAAGATATCCCTTACACAATATCCCTCACAAGATATCCCTTACACAATATCCCTCACAAGATATCCCTTACACAATATCCCTCACAAGATATCCCTTACACAATATCCCTCACAAGATATCCCTTACACAATATCCCTCACAAGATATCCCCTACACAATATCCCTCACAAGATATCCCCTACACAATATCCCTCACAAGATATCCCTTACACAATATCCCTCACAAGATATCCCTTACACAATATCCCTCACAAGATATCCCTTACACAATATCCCTCACAAGATATCCCTTACACAATATCCCTTACACAATATCCCTCACAAGATATCCCTTACACAATATCCCTCACAAGATATCCCTTACACAATATCCCTCACAAGATATCCCTTACACAATATCCCTCACAAGATATCCCCTACACAATATCCCTCACAAGATATCCCCTACACAATATCCCTTACACAATATCCCTGACAAGATATCTCCTACACAATATCCCTCACAAGATATCCCTTACACAATATCCCTCACAAGATATCCCTTACACAATATCCCTCACAAGATATCCCTTACACAATATCCCTCACAAGATATCCCTTACACAATATCCCTCACAAGATATCCCTCACAAGATATCCCTTACACAATATCCCTCACAAGATATCCCTTACACAATATCCCTCACAAGATATCCCTACCTCACAAGATATCCCTTACACAATATCCCTCACAAGATATCCCTTACACAATATCCCTCACAAGATATCCCCTACACAATATCCCTCACAAGATATCCCTTACACAATATCCCTCACAAGATATCCCTCACAAGATATCCCTTACACAATATCCCTCACAAGATATCCCTTACACAATATCCCTCACAAGATATCCCTTACACAATATCCCTCACAAGATATCCCTTACACAATATCCCTCACAAGATATCCCTTACACAATATCCCTCACAAGATATCCCTTACACAATATCCCTCACAAGATATCCCTTACACAATATCCCTCACAAGATATCCCTCACAAGATATCCCTCACGGTATATTTGATTTATGGTTGGTTTGATAGACATAACAGATGTACTTTGTGTTCTGGATGAAATATCTCCATGAAAGTGACTACTGTATGAGTGCCTTGTCTGTTTCAGTACTGAGGGGAGATATAGGCCGACTCCGAAGGTGTACTGCTATCACAACAGTAAGTACGGTGTCAATCAGTAATTTTCGTGGGTTTTTATTTTCATTCCAGTCATGGATACCCTAAATGAATTAATATGTCCACAGACTTCTGAAATTAGTCTAAGCAGATTATTGAGGTAGATTTATCAACAAAAGCAAGTGTCAAGAAAAAACCATGAAAATTAAGCCCTACATTGATTCTGGTGTCTCTTCATCTTTATTTCTTGCTCAGGTACAAATGATGTCCCTTTATTTTAATGAAAAATATATTTGTAGGTACAATGGTTACTTATAGTTTTGTGTTTGATTCCTTACCAGACAATTTATACTGCATGGTATACATCTGTACACAATAAAGGACCTGGCTATTTTGTACAAGGATAATGATATGATTGATCTCAGATGATATTACTATAATAGCTAGCAACAAGTAGTTTAATCATATTGTTCCTGGATTGTACATAGCTGTAGTTGTATTTATTTATTTTCCAGGGTGCTGAGGGCTCCCTCCCCAGGTGTAAGCCGTTCAAGTACACATATGAAAAGGAAATAGTGATGTAAGTAGGATATATAGAGGGAGAGTAATTTTTGCATTTTAATGTAATTTCAGTAAATAAATAAGAAATTTGATATATGTATAAAACTTTAATTAACTGATGAATATCAGGTAACAATTCTTAAAGAGACAAATATGAAAATGAAAGAATTTCAATAATTCTGTTAAAACTTCCTGTATGAGTGCTCAGTTTTAAAATAAAAGTTTTATATATATTTCTCCCAATGCCTACAGGTGTGTAACATTTACTACAGTGATACAGCTGTCATAAAAGTAGCCATATCAGTTCTAAAGGACAATGTAAAAATTCTGTTTCCAGTAAAACTTTTTCTTGTTGTTATCATTACTCATTATTGTACTCATTTATAAAAAACAACTAAAAACATGGATACAAATATATTAGAGATTCCATTTTGTTTCACTCTGTAAATTTATTGAGAGTACCACACCAATGATTTATTTGATACCACACCAGATTTATTGTCCAACTTCATTTCATGTTTATATTTGTGTACCACACCCTTGTAGATTTATTGTACACACCTTATTTATTTTACATGTGTATTTCACCAGATTTATTGTACCACACCAGATGTTGAAAAAATAGATTTATTGTATTTAGATGTTCCACACCAGATTTATTGTACCACACCAGATTTATTGTACCACACCCGATTTATTGTACCACACCAGATTTATTGTACCACACCAGATTTATTGTACCACACCCGATTTATTGTACCACACCCGATTTATTGTACCACACCAGATTTATTGTACCACACCAGATTTATTGTACAACACCAGATTTATTGTACAACACCAGATTTATTGTACCACACCAGATTTATTGTACCACACCAGATTTATTATACCACACCAGATTTATTGTACCACACCAGATTTATTGTACCACACCAGATTTATTGTACCACACCAGATTTATTGTACCACACCAGATTTATTGTACCACACCAGATTTATTGTACCACACCAGATTTATTGTACCACACCAGATCCACACCAGATTATTATACCACACCAGATTTATTGTACCACACCAGATTTATTGTACCACACCAGATTTATTGTACCACACCAGATTTATTGTACCACACCAGATTTATTGTACCACACCAGATTTATTGTACCACACCAGATTTATTGTACCACACCAGATTTATTATACCACACCAGATTTATTGTACAACACCAGATTTATTGTACAACACCAGATTTATTGTACCACACCAGATTTATTGTACCACACCAGATTTATTGTACCACACCAGATTTATTGTACCACACCAGATTTATTGTACCACACCAGATTTATTGTACCACACCAGATTTATTGTACCACACCAGATTTATTGTACCACACCAGATTTATTGTACCACACCAGATTTATTGTACCACACCAGATTTATTGTACCACACCAGATTTATTATACCACACCAGATTTATTGTACCACACCAGATTTATTGTACCACACCAGATTTATTGTACCACACCAGATTTATTGTACCACACCAGATTTATTATACCACACCAGATTTATTATACAACACCAGATTTATTGTACCACACCAGATTTATTGTACCACACCAGATTTATTATACCACACCAGATTTATTATACCACACCAGATTTATTGTACCACACCAGATTTATTGTACCACACCAGATTTATTGTACCACACCAGATTTATTGTACCACACCAGATTTATTGTACCACACCAGATTTATTGTACCACACCAGATTTATTGTACCACACCAGATTTATTGTACCACACCAGATTTATTGTACAACACCAGATTTATTGTACCACACCAGATTTATTGTACCACACCAGATTTATTGTACCACACCAGATTTATTGTACCACACCAGATTTATTGTACCACACCAGATTTATTGTACCACACCAGATTTATTGTACCACACCAGATTTATTGTACCACACCAGATTTATTGTACCACACCAGATTTATTGTACCACACCAGATTTATTGTACAACACCAGATTTATTGTACCACACCAGATTTATTGTACCACACCAGATTTATTGTACAACACCAGATTTATTGTACCACACCAGATTTATTGTACCACACCAGATTTATTGTACCACACCAGATTTATTGTACCACACCAGATTTATTGTACCACACCAGATTTATTGTACCACACCAGATTTATTGTACCACACCAGATTTATTGTACCACACCAGATTTATTGTACCACACCAGATTTATTGTACCACACCAGATTTATTGTACCACACCAGATTTATTGTACCACACCAGATTTATTGTACCACATCAGATCCACACCAGATTTATTATACCACACCAGATTTATTGTACCACACCAGATCCACACCAGATTTATTGTACCACACCAGATTTATTGTACCACACCAGATTTATTGTACCACACCAGATTTATTGTACCACACCAGATTTATTGTACCACTCCAGATTTATTGTACCACACCAGATTTATTGTACCACACCAGATTTATTGTACCACATCAGATCCACACCAGATTTATTATACCACACCAGATTTATTGTACCACACCAGATTTATTGTACCACACCAGATTTATTGTACCACACCAGATTTATTGTACCACACCAGATTTATTGTACCACATCAGATCCACACCAGATTTATTATACAACACCAGATTTATTGTACCACACCAGATTTATTGTACCACACCAGATTTATTGTACAACACCAGATTTATTGTACCACACCAGATTTATTGTACCACACCAGATTTATTGTACCACACCAGATTTATTGTACCACACCAGATTTATTGTACCACACCAGATTTATTGTACCACACCAGATTTATTGTACCACACCAGATTTATTGTACCACACCAGATTTATTGTACCACACCAGATTTATTGTACCACACCAGATTTATTGTACCACACCAGATTTATTGTACCACACCAGATTTATTGTACCACACCAGATTTATTGTACAACACCAGATTTATTGTACCACACCAGATTTATTGTACCACACCAGATTTATTGTACCACACCAGATTTATTGTACCACACCAGATTTATTGTACCACACCAGATTTATTGTACCACACCAGATTTATTGTACCACACCAGATTTATTGTACAACACCAGATTTATTGTACCACATCAGATCCACACCAGATTTATTGTACCACACCAGATTTATTGTACCACACCAGATTTATTGTACCACACCAGATTTATTGTACCACACCAGATTTATTGTACCACACCAGATTTATTGTACCACACCAGATTTATTGTACCACACCAGATTTATTGTACCACACCAGATTTATTGTACCACACCAGATTTATTGTACCACACCAGATTTATTGTACCACACCAGATTTATTGTACCACACCAGATTTATTGTACAACACCAGATTTATTGTACCACACCAGATTTATTGTACCACACCAGATCCACACCAGATTTATTGTACAACACCAGATTTATTGTACCACACCAGATTTATTGTACCACACCAGATTTATTGTACCACACCAGATTTATTGTACCACACCAGATTTATTGTACCACACCAGATTTATTGTACCACACCAGATTTATTGTACCACACCAGATTTATTGTACAACACCAGATTTATTGTACCACACCAGATTTATTGTACAACACCAGATTTATTGTACCACACCAGATTTATTGTACCACACCAGATTTATTGTACCACACCAGATTTATTGTACCACACCAGATTTATTGTACCACACCAGATTTATTGTACCACACCAGATTTATTGTACAACACCAGATTTATTGTACCACACCAGATTTATTGTACCACACCAGATTTATTGTACCACACCAGATTTATTGTACCACACCAGATTTATTGTACCACACCAGATTTATTGTACCACACCAGATTTATTGTACCACATCAGATCCACACCAGATTTATTGTACCACACCAGATTTATTGTACCACACCAGATTTATTGTACCACACCAGATTTATTGTACCACACCAGATTTATTGTACCACACCAGATTTATTGTACCACACCAGATTTATTGTACCACACCAGATTTATTATACAACACCAGATTTATTGTACCACACCATCCTGTCAAATATTTGTTTTCCATTTACAGATATTATTCATTCAGGAGAAAGTTTGTCTGTGAAGACTTCAGTGAAGATGCCAGTCCAAGGTAGGTAACCTACACTCATTATCTGGTATGTAGTTATAAACTTGTTAGTACATTTTTATTGACCATTATGCTGATGTTTATATATCTACATAGCAGTGTCCCTTCTAAATTTAGACTATGAGACTTAGGGATCAGATAAAGCATGTGCACAATGATATTTTATCTGTAATCACTCAACAGCATCAAAATTTCAAAACAACATTAGTTCAGAATATTATTATTTCATTTTTCTCATTTTGGGAAATATTAGTATGAGAGGACATTCAAAATTTTCTTTCCCAATACACAATTGATTTTTAGATTTAACACTGCTCTATTATGTTTCAGACAGTGGTTATTCTACAAAGTGATATTCTGGACTAATAATAAAATTTGTTTTGAATTTGTTATAAAATATTTGTTTTTTAAGTAAATAATAGCTGTTTGATGCTGAATTACTACTTGTCTATTTTCCAGTGAGCAGATCTTTAGAATTTCAATCAATGAAGTTGTAAAGTATTGATCAAATTAAAAAAAAATGAAAAGTAAAAATCTTATGGAATAAAAGTTCTTATTTTTCCTTGCATATCAATAGGGAGAAACTGAACAATTAAAGACAGAAAAAGTGTAATTATTTTCAATGGACACAAACCGTTTATCATGTAGTGATGTCCTCATCATAAGTATAACAGCTGGTCAAATATAGTAGGCTTGTATATTATTTTATGTTTTAAGTTATCAATTGAACACAAAACTACATGGTTTCACAGCCTATCAACAACTAAGGTTATTTACAGCCATCGTTGAATGATGTTTGATCAGTGTGAAGAATTTATAATCATATTTCTTTATGTAGACGAATCGTAACATGAATTTTTTTTATTTGTTAAGGAAACTGTGAGCGCTGTGGCTACATCTCAAGTAATCCGATCTGTAAGGCGTGTGTATTATTGGAGGGACTTAATCGAGGTTTACCCAGGTAATCAATGCACAATTTACTTTTATGATAAACATTTCTGTTTAAATTTTGATTCATCTATCCTCTTAGAAAGGCCAAGGTTTCGTATTAGCAACCTGCTTTCTCACTTCACCCTTGTAATTTTAGGGACAAAAAATTCCGAGCAAATTAATCACAACATGGCCACCCCAGCAGTTGTAGGGGAAAATTACTGTATGTAGATTTGGTTGTAGATATTTCCACAATTTTTGAGAGGGAGAAAAAAAGGAATTCTAATGTTAACAGTGTATAATTTGTGGCTTTTTTTAAAAGTAATATTTAACTCTACTGGAAAGCAAGAAACAGTAGCAACCTGGTACTGAAGTCTACTGCATTTTGGGGAAATATGTAGAAATCGACTCAGTGTCATAATTAGCAGAAAGTTTTTTTCTTTTTAGGTGCAAATTTTAGAATATTTACCATTGTATAGTATGTGTATTTCTGTGTTCCTTTTATTCTTTTGTAACATTGTATTACAGGCTTGGAATAGGTAAAACTCATAAAGAGAGGAGAAAGGTTTGTATGAACATCATTCTTGTAAATCTAAATATCCATTGCATGTAAACGAATTTTGATGGGCAATCAACACCAAGGATATTCTATGCTTTGAGGGTTTAATGTGGTTTACTGTGGATTAGCTCTTTGATCTTTCCATGCAAAGTTGTTCCAATAACAAAATTTGGTTCACTTTTCAGTATTAAGATCAGTCAAATAGTTCTGTCATTTCTTACTGGGTAATTTATAAAAAGTATATCATTTTCCTTTTGATCTTCAGTAGAATGGGAATTGTTATTATACCCTCACAACAAAGTAAATCAGAGGTATAATGTAAAGCACTTACATTTCTTGTGGGTTTTATTTTCATATTAATTTGCATGGAGAGTCTATCGTGAATTCAAGTCCCTCATTTGTACAAAAACCACCATGAAAATGAATAGATGAAGATATTGGGCGAGGGGAATGATATATCTCACCTCATTTCATTGTAGATAGAGGAATTGAACAAAGATGAAAACCCAACTCGGCCCGACCAGACAGGAGCCTCAAACGGATCTGCTGCCACATCAATACAGGCCCCTATAAAAGCTTTCGAGTCTCTCAGTCTGGACAGGAGGAAACCAGATGTCTCCAAACTGGATTTCTGATTGATTTGCTTCTCAATAAATTATTATCCATTATCATTGTCTTGGTTTATTTGTTTATTTGACACGTTGATCAGTTTGACACTTGACCTGTCTTTTCGTCTGTACCTTAGTTATTGATCATATATGCATATTCTGTAAACATACTTATTTTGGCGCTATCTAATTTTACTGCAATATCAAATTAAAAAAAATATGTGTAATGATAAATTCACACATTTGCAATAATTGCTATGTAAATGCCATACAGATATTGCAATTAGCACAATCTTCGCACAAATAGCGCTGAAGTAATCCTACTGCTAAAATATGTACATTTACAGTATGCAGTCATATCCTGTCCTTTGAAAGACAATAAGTTAAATGAATGTATGATTTTTCCCAGCAAACCATGCACATCTCCCACCTATTCCAAATATAAACAAGTACACAGTGTATGACAAGTGTTGGAGGAATAACTATTGGTCAATGAGACAAACAACTACACATCTAAACATTTCCATCCATTCACTGTGCATGTTAAACTGTAATGATGTGACCAATGTCCTGAGACAGTTGTAATACCTGCTGGTAAATACTAGGCATTCTAGATAACAATAGATAAGAGACAACAGAAGTGACTGACATGAATTGTTTTATTAGCTGGGTTTAGTACAAGAACAGTAGTATGTATACATACTTATCCTGCTATACTTCAAATTACATTAAAGCTGTATGTCTTTTTTTTTTTTTATCCCAACTGTCTTCTATATCTTTCTCTGATAAGATGACATCTTTACCAGTAAATGTCATATTTTTCCAAACACACACATTTTAAAAAACATATTTCTTCCCATTAGCGTTACTTGTTTTAGTCAAAGTAATGAAATATGTAAAATCGTATTAGAGATTCATTTAGTATATTAGTTCTCGATTTAATAAAGGTTACAATCTAAATGACAGGTAAATAAGTTCATGATTTATCAGATGATGAACTTTTCAAAATTAATTTCTTCAAAACATGCAGTAAATTCTTTCTTTTTATAGATGCAGTTGTATGTCATGGAAAAATGTCCTAGTTTCTTGTATCAAGTTTCTTTATATATATCCATGAAAGTCTGTTCTTGATTTTGTTAAAATGGCTGAATAATTTGTCTTTAAGACATATAGTCCTTACGACTACTCATCCAACATACATCATCACATGACATACAATGAACGACTGGTTGAATATAATAAACTCTAGTTGACTTTAAGCCATTATACCTATGATACACTATGTGTCAATATCTAACAAATTGCAAGCATTGTTCAAGACAGAGATTCAATATCAATTCATATTGACTGACAAACGATAATGAAAATGTATTCAAAGCAAATTGATGAGTTACACCTATATCAGTATGGGTAATACAGAATCATCTTAATCACAAAGTAAGGGACCTAGTGGCCTTGACGGTTTCCAGAGGTAAGCAATATTGAATATAAAGGTTAGTGGCTAAGTAGCTTTCAAGTGTCATGAAATTGTGATGTTGATGATCGCAAACATGATAATGATATGTTAATATATTTTGTAGCCTTTGGGAGTCTGAGCCAGTGTCAATATATACACACCATCAAAATTCTCATCAAGTTATTTCCAATGGAAAATAACCAATGTTATGCTCAAAAAAGCAATTTTTTCTCAAAAATCTTGTAGTAAACTTCACCCCCTCCAAAGGGAGAAATGTAAGACCATTGAGCGATGAAATTAACCATTTTAGTAAAGTACCTTAAGATGATTCCATCTATGAAGAGCATTCGATTCTATAATATCAATGTTGGCCAGGGAAAGTTTCTGCAAAATTTCATCAAAATTGTTAAAAGGGTTTCAGTTTTACAGACACACAGCCGGGCTAAAGGCAATACCAATAGGTCACCATGAGACTTTGTCTCAGCAAAATTTCTCCTTTGGGTCCAGTTGAAATACCCCCTCCCTTAAAGTTTCCTTTTTCTGAAAAGATTAACTTCCCTGGGTGATGATTCAGAATGACTTTGATGGCAGAGATCCTCACTGTCCCTCGGGGTTGGATCTACTTTCTGAATATCAAAAAAGACAGCCCACCCCTAATAAAATTTCAAACCAAATTGGGGTAAAATATGCTGAGGCATTAAGAATTAGTAGGGTTAAAGCAAATTTTCAGCTAAATGCCTCTTTTTTGGGCCCTGCCACCTGTCCATGGGGGCTGAATCAAATTTCTGATTTAATTATTTCCCATCCCCAATGATGTCTCTGACCAAATTTAGTTGAAATTCATGGAGGTGTTCAGGAGAAGTAGGGTTCTATAAAGTTTACAGTAGAGGATGGATGACCATCAAAGAAACCAGGCTGTAGGTCATCTTGACCTTTCGTGTCAGAGGACCAAAAAAACTGGCCAAAGGAATTCTCCCATTGAAACTTGTATCTTTTCACTGGCAGTGTTAGTAGTCATATAAAAAATACAAAGCACACAGGTAAAGTACCTGTTAGTTTCATGAAAGCAGTGAGACTTCAGTGCTATCTGTGGAAGTTAATTTTTCCAGGAATGAGTACTTATAGATAATATAAATCGCCACGAATCTTCAAACCACAATACACACAATACAGCTGACACAGAAATTTGAGCTCGTGATGTAATTGAAATCTTGCTTCATTTGAAAATAAATCCCTGTCAAAAATATTTAATTAATTTTTAATTATTTGAGACATCCTTTCATTAGAAATAATACATTTATTGCATGGTCAATGCAGACTCAGACTATATAAAGTTATTGTTATATTGCTTAAACAAACAAGATCCCAGAGGAATCTTGGCCCCACTAATGTGTTTGTCTCAGTTTGTTTTTCAAAAGTTGAATCTTTTTCCTTCTCTGCTCTGTTTTAGCTAATATTTGAGGGAAATTTTAAAATTCTTCCAAGAAATAACAATAATAATCCTTAGCTGTAAAATCTAAGATGGTCCCCAAACATTTTGTTTTTCTTATCATCAAAAAAACTAAAGGTCATAACTAAGGAGCAAGGGCAACCTACATATGAAATTTCGAGAAAGATTCATTAACAGGCTGTCCAGCACTTCTTGACAAAAAATTACGGTTAATTTTAGGGCTAAAATTACAAAGTTTTAGGGCAAATTTAGGGCTAAAATTAGGAATTTTGTAACTAGAATAGGGAGTATGAAAGCATTAAACTGACTTACCTTTGCAAATTTGACAAAATAGAAACTAACATACAATGCCTAAATTGCAGGAAAGGTGTCTTCCAGGGTTTCAGTGTCCTAGCTGCTGTTGGCTGTGACCTCAAGTATCACACCTCTGTCACTCAGTCACAACCAATAACAATCTGGGTACATAGATCCACTGGTCAACTGCCTTTCATTGTCTACCTGAATTAGAACTGCAGATTACATTAAAATACATTTTATGTATGAATTTAATGAAAACATTTTCAGTAAATTGTAAGAAATATATAAAAAAAAGTAGGAACTGAAGCTAAAAATTTGAGCTTTTTTAGGAATTCCCTTTGAATTTTTCATTTTTTTAGGAATTTTAGCAAAACTGCAAAAAATTAGGTTTGTTAGGAATTTCAGGGATGCTGGACAGCCTGCATTAAGTACTTCTAAAGAAATAGCAAAAAAAAGAATTATTTAAAGACTTGACAACAGACCACGGAGGAGGGCAATTTTAACAGTCCATCATCTGATGATGGTTAATAACATTGACAAATAACATTGTAGGAATAAAAAAATATTTGTAGCAGGTAACACAATGCATTGTTATCATAAATCTTTGTTGGACAAAAATAAAAATTTAAAATGAGCAAAATATCATGAAAGAAAGTACATTGGAGAAAAGTTTATCTCTCTTGATAATAAAGTTTAAACGGTTTTTTATATTGACATTGCTTCTGCCCTCTATACCATGACATTTTGACATGTGAATATGTGGAAGGATGAAAGTATGATGATCTTTTTCCATCTTAAATCACGCTATTGTTCCTGTTTCATGTATACATATCCAAAAATCAAAATATGTCTGCCTTGTATTTCATATTACTGTGTTGCATGCTTATGAATATAGTTCTGTGTAGCAAAAAAAAAAAAAAAAAAAAACCCTGATAATTTGAATTTATTTAACTTTTGCAAGAATTTTGATTTAAACAAGTTCAACTCCATAAGGTTCAACAGTTTTTCAATATGGTCATCAAGACAGCAGCTGCAAATTTAATTATACATGTGATTTCAAAAATGTGATATTCTTTCTGTTTGTAGAAATGAGTATCTTTGTCTACCTCCATTACATAGTAGCCATGTTGAATCCCCAAAAAACATCTAAATTATATATCATTATCTGGTAAAAATATTGCATAAAGAAAAATTAAATGCATTCATGCATAAATCAATGCCATTCATTTATCATGCAATATTTCAAACACTGTCCTTGACATCACCATAAGGTGGGCCCAGACATGTTATGAGGAGGTCCTTCATACTGGTTGGCAAGTGATATTGCGATTGGCAATGCATTGGCAGATTTTTCAGGAACAAGTAGCAAATCCTCCACGCAAGGTCTCAAGAATGACTTTAAGTCATATTGGGTCGTAGTATTCTGTTAAATTAAATTTTACAGAACATCAACAATAAAACCATGGTCCCTAAATTTTTGGCCATGGATAAATTTCTGCACAATATATATATATATATTGATCAGCAAACAAATTTGTTTTTGGAATTCAACTTTTAAATGTCATCAATGATAATTATTGGCTCAGCTTCCTTGGCATCTCGACCAAATTTTTCCAGAACACAATCCAATTCAGGGTTGTCACAATCCTCCACAATTACTGAATGTTCATGTATACAATTGTCCCCTCCACACACTGAACCTGTACAAATAGTCTTTATGATTGGGGCCAACTTCTGTGTAATGCCAGATGCTGAAACAGATGACTCTACGGAGGGTCCTGGTTCACGTTTTAAATAACACTGCTCAAAAGATACGTCATCTTCCGCGTTATCAATTTCTATTTTGGGTGTAACTAAGTCCAAGGAAGAGTCCATAGGGGATACATCGGAGTCTGGCTGCACTTTGTACAGACACATAGGAATAGGGCCAAAATTATTTCTAGCAGGTGGGTCAAGAACACTAACTGGCTGTGTGGTCTGTTGTGACCATTCACCTCTTTCAGGTACAACTTTCTCAACAACTTCTGGAGGTGCTTGCTGTTGCTTGCTATTCAGAACACTTTTAATGGTATTTTGAACATTTTCTCTGGTCCCTGTGCTAAGGCTGAATTTGGAAGGTGAGATTGTTGTCTGAGGAGATAAAACAGGTGGGCCGGGAGATGGTAAGGAGACTGCTGGTGACGTAGACCGATGCGATTTAGTTTTCTTCTGTTTTTTCATTGTTTCGTGAGTAGATTCATGGTCTTCCCCTGAAACTTCTCTCAAATTCTTGCGTGGTCTGCCTCGCTTCCTTGTGCCTATTTTGTCCTGTGGACTTTTGTCGTTTGAAAGTTTATCTTTAGTACAATTATTTATTTGTTTCTTGTTTATATTTTCAGCCTGTGACAAAATTTGTGCAGCAGCCATTTCTTTTATATTGTCACAAACCTCCTCTCTGGTAGGTCTTTTTTTGTCGTCTATCGGAGAGGCATCTTTTCGATGCTTCTTGACATTAGTTGTTCCAGGACATTTGTTGTCATTTTTTACTTCGGTCTTCGTTTCATTTTTTTCTTGTGCCCTGGTCATGACAGTCTTACTGTCAGAGATTGTTTGTATATTACATGGAACCAACCTAACTACTGCCTTTGATTGTGTCCTTGTAAGAGGCTTCAGGTGTTCATCATCTTTCTCCTGTTCACATAAATGGTACCCTGCAAACATAATTCCATGGACAGTTTTCACTGTGTGCTCATCTACAGGTCTTTTACATAATTCTTTTACTCTTCTGTATGGCTTATAAGCTTCTGAAAATTGGTTACTATGAGCATACTTATTAGCCCTATCATATTTAGTTCATTATAAAATTGTAGCCACCTCATGAAAAGATGGATCAGTGCATCTAAAAACAAGAGGCCCATGGGCCTTAACGGTCATCTGACAAAAAACAAGCCAAACCTAGAAAGTGGGTTGAGGTCATTCATTTGAACAAACTTGGTAGCCTCTCCTCCAAGCATCTTACAGGCCCAATATCAGCACTCATGGACTTTTGCTTGTTGAGAAGAAGTTGTTTGTATATTTTAACATATTTGACCCCTGTACCTTGAAAGTGGGTTGAGGTCATTCATTTGAATAAACTTGGTATTTAGCATGCTACAGACCCAATATCGGCACTCATAGACTTTTGCTTATTGAGATGAAGTCCTTTGTATATTTTAACATATTTGACCCCTGTGACCTTGAAAGTGGGCCAAGGTCATTCATTTGAACAAACTTTGTAGGGCTCCATGCCAGCATGCTATGGGCCAAGTATTAGCCCCCTAGGCCTTCTAGTATTTGAGAAGAAGTTATTTAAAGATTTTGACATATTCAACCTTGAAAGTTGTTCAAACATTCTTTAAAAAACTTGATAGCCCTTCATCCCAGCATGCCACAGGCACAATATATCTGAGCCTTTTGGTTATTGAGAAGAAGTTGTTTAAAGATTTTAACATATTTGACCCCTGTGACCTTTAAAGTGGGTCAAGGTCATTCATTTGAACAAACTTGGTAGTCCTTCATCCCAGCATGCTACAGGCCTTATTTTAGTTGCCTGGGCCTTTTGATTACTGAGAAGAAGTCCTTTGAAGATTTAAAGACATTTGACCCCTGTGACCTTGAATGAAGGTCAAGGTCATTCATTTGAACAAACTTGGTAGGGTTTCATCAAAGCAAGCTACAGGCTAAATATTAGTTGCCTGGGCCCTCCAGTTATTGAGAAGAAGTCGTTTGAAGATTTTAAGACATTTGACCCCTGTGACCTTGAATGAAGGTCAAGGTCATTCTTTTTAACAAACTTGGTAGGGCTTCATCAAAGCAAGCTACAGGCCAAATATTAGTTGCCTGGGCCTTCCAATTATTGAGAAGAAGTCGTTTGAATGAAAAGTTTACGGACGGCGCACGGCTGATGACTATAGGTCATTCCCCTTTTCAGATCACCTAAAAAATTTTTATGAGAAAGGATTGACTCAAACTGTAATTAATCAGTTCATTATTTATATCCACAGTATATTTGAGTCAAATCCATATTTACATGTAATATTCCTTTTCCTGAATTTCTTGGTTGAAACCATATGAGAAAAGAACAGATCAGTTCAATAACAAACTCTAAAACAGTACAATAGTGCCAAATATCATTTCATATGAAAATTTACCTGAGCGAGAGTTGAATCCTACCACTAACATTAAACTGTATGATCCCTAGCAATGACAAACTCAGAAAAATTTCCTACTGTATTTATCACAATGATATGTAACACAGAAGGGCAGCCTAACTAGCCAACCTATTTTGATTGCTTGTACAATAACTCACCAGTTCTTCCCTTCTTTTTAGATACAAGGGTTTTGATCCAGTCCAGTAATTCTAAAACATCATTCTGATTCATGGTCATATTTGACAGAAGCTTTAGGACTTCCTTCTTGGCAGTCTCCAGATCTGATTAAAGAATCAAACAATTTATATATTACAAGGTGTAAGAACAAAACCATTTAAATAAGGGTGAAGGTCATGAATGTAAATTTCCTATACTATAGTTCAAAAGGTCATGAATGTAAATTTAGTATACTATAGTTCAAAAGGTCATGAATATAAATTTAGTATACTATAGTTCAAAAGGTCATGAATATAAATTTAGTATACTATAGTTCAAAAGGTCATGAATGTAAATTTAGTATACTATAGTTCAAAAGGTCATGAATGTAAATTTAGTATACTATAGTTCAAAAGGTCATGAATGTAAATTAGTATACTATAGTACAAAAACGTTGTGAAGAAATATCCTGTTGGGACTGACAGTGTTTGTACTTTGGTATAAGTCAAGGTAAATTGATGTTGCGAAAATTTTGATGTTTGCCAGTGAGACAACACCTAGCAATAGGAAGAGTCATGGATACATACAACCTGTAAGAAACCATAGTAAAATATTGTGAAATTAATATCTTCATACTGTGAAATTATTAACTTTCTGGATTTCTTTTGTAGGTATCCTTGATCCACAAATTCGAACATCTATGAATTAATAAAAATTTCAAAGTACATACATTACGGTAATTTGTGCCTCTTATTTACATGGTTTGCATTTTAACCAAACAAAGTCAGATTAACAATAACATTTTATTGATATAAAATCACACTGACATAAATGAAGATATTGAATATTTATAACAACTCATGAACACCTCCTGCCTTTTGAATTCCAGCTTGGATTACTTCAGGCACCCATACATATATACAAGGGCTGATTGATAAGTTGTGAGCCTTATACTTACGGGTTTTACTTTTGGCAGACATATTGCATTATTTTTCGACATAATCATACATAATCTATACTTTTGCCAGCGATGTTTAAGGGCCCTATTGCCACTTTTAAAGAAGTCCTTTTCTGGACTGTTCAGAGAGACCTCCACTGCCTGTATGATGTCATCATCTGACCGAAAGTGGGTAGAACAGTCTTTGCCTTATTTGGTGGGGGTGAAACAGGGTGCTTCCATTGTTCAGACTGTTGTTTGACCTCTGGGGTGAAATGATAGACCAACTTTTCACCCATATCACAAACCAATGCAGAAAGTTAGCAGGATCTGCCTCTAAAAGATTCACATTAGCATGTGACAAAGTCAGCCTTGTGTTCTTTTGACCAACTGTCAGATGTCTTGGTACCAAATGGGCCCAGAGCTTTCTCAATGCAAGATCTTCTGTAAGAACAAAATGTATTCTTTCCTATGAAATCCCAATTGTGCTGGTTATATATCTCTCCATAACTCGCCTGTCAGCCTTAACAATATCACAGACTTAAAGACCATTTCTGGGGTAGCAACTGTGACAGACCTTTGAAATCAGATGTCATCCCCAAGTCTCTGCCTGCAATGCTTAAATTCTGCCACCCACCTTTTCACTGTAGCATTTGAAGAGGCATCATTCCCTAGTGTTGCTGCCATATCAGTATATATATCCTTAGGTGTCAGACCTTTCTTATGCAAATATTGAATCACTGCTCTTTCAGTGATTTTGTCTAACTTGCAAAAGTCTCTTGCCTTGTTTATTTTAGAGTGCTACCTCTTCAACATAAACTGACTAAATGACACCAGTCTTCGGGTACACAGCCTTAAATAGTCAGGGAATAGTAGAGTGGAAAAAAGGACATCCCTGCTTAACTTCTTCATTACAAGGTTCACAACTTATCAATCAGCCCTTATATATACAGGTACATCAGTGTGATATCATTATTTAGCATTGTGTGTTATTACTTTCAAATGGAGAGCTAGTATTTACATATTCGATATCAAAGGTAAACAAGTGAAATGTACTATGAATGCAGTAATATTGTACATTGTAAGCAAATAGTTTTCCAAAGATTATAAGCAAGCCGTACACAGCAGTTGATCAAGTAAGTTACTCAGCACATCATAATCACTTATCACAATTTAATCATATTTAAATGTCTGATGCAAAATGCTTCATGTGAAATGTTTTAATCAAGAAGTAGTTTTAGAGGGGACAATCAAGCTGGAAGACCACATCAAGTGTCTATGCCTGCCTGGAGCAGGGGTAGAGCATTCAGTATCTAAAATTATTATGACTTATTTCATAGAAAGAACTTCACATTATGTACTTCACATAACACTAAGAATTTCTTATAAAGCAAGCACATCACTCAAATTGCATGAAGTATTCTGCATGAAGCATTCAGCTAACGCATTTCGCATTATGCATTTTGCAGAAAAGCATTTAGCATAACACATTTTGCATGATGAATAAAAAGCAAGATATCAAAAAATAAGATAAAAAAATGGCAACAGCTCATTCTATATACGACAACATAAACCTACTAAACATTTACTAACATAGAAAAGATATTACGAAATATTTTCTTATGACTTTTCGAGCGTCTGGAAATCTTTCAATGAATCTGAATCAACAATAAAAATTTCGAATTTAGCATAAAGCAATTTGCATTTAGCATCTTGATGCAGTAACATATGCTTTAATTATTCTGTACATGGGGCCTCTGTCAATCCAACCTCTGTTTTGCGTCAACATATTAGTGTTGCATAGGCTTAATCGTTGTTTCCTGCAATTTTCGATCCAGCTCGGAATAAAAATTCCTTGCTGCATTGGGTGCCCCGTTTTTAACAGCACGATAAGCCATTATATGAGTTGTATTATCCTCTGCATTTACACTTGAGGGGATACAATTCTTTCATCACCAGAGCTATTTGCAGTCTGGGAAATGAATGCGTCTTGTCTATTGGCACATTCTCCTGGGTCATGAAAAACTGGAATCATTGAATTTGCTTGAAATCCACCAAGGTGTTAAGTTAAGCAGCAGTAGCGTTTAAATGGAAAAGTTTACAGACAAAGCAGAAAATAAGCTAATGTGGCCTTTCAGCACACAAGATGTATCTGTAATGTGACAGTAAGTGTATTCCTTGTAATGTGCCTCTCATTGTGTTGTATATCAGGTCTACATATATTGTAGTCTTTTTCTGTGAAGTGTAGAATACTGCCTAAACTAACAACTAAATCCACCACTACTTTATGAAGGATGACTTGTTAATAACAAACCTTATACCAGCAAAAATGTTTGCATGGAACTTGGCAATAAATGAGATTTAAACAGTATTTTTGTTTACGGATTTTGATTTACCTTTCACAACAGGTGGAGTAACAGCTTTAGGAGGTTGTGTAGATTTTACCTCTGCTGAAGTTGCAGTCTGACCTTTCATTTTATCCAGTCTGAAGAGAAGGCATGGGAATTTATTGTGTCCTGGATTTCAATACCTTGTTGGATGTTATTTAAAGGCTGGCATTAAACCTCCACATTTTATCGGCTGATATTTACATGGAAACGTGTTTGTGTATACCACAAACTGAAATGTCTAGCCGCAAAGAAATTACAAACGTATTTTCCCTTTTCTATGTACCATTCTTAAAGGGGTATATACAAGTACATAACATCTAATAAATACACGAGTATTCACAGAGACATCATCATTGTAACCAGAGATCCCACAGGGATCTTGGTGCCCACCATTGCTTGATCTTCATATGCTCTTTGAAAGTCGGATCTTTTCCCTTCTTTTCTATTCTTTTCTCTGTGTTTGCTCTTAATGATAAGACTTTTGAACATTCCTTTGCAGAAATAAATGATAACCTGTACCTGCCCAATCAAAATAGCCACCTGGAAGTCATTTTGTTACCTCTGATCAATCCCAAAAGCAAACAAGCACAAGGAGAGACCAAAGGGAACATGCATATGAAATTTGAGAGATATCCATTCAGTACTTGTTCAGAAATAGCATTAACAATCTTTACTAGGCAAAATCCAAGATGCATGCCTGTTGGCCATTTTGTTTTTCTGATCAGTCCAAAAATCATATGGGAACAACTAGGGACCAAGGGGAACCTACATATGCAATTTGAGAAAGATCCATCCAAGACTTCTCAAGAAACAGTGGTAACGAAAATTGTTTACAGATGGACGGATGTACCACAGATGCAGAGCGATTTGAATAGCCCACCATTTGATGATGGTGGGCTAACAAAACTAATCTACGACAATTTTCATTATAAAATTAACCTCAATGTTAAATTATATGACTATCTTGCTGTGAAATACCAGACTTCAAATACGTTAAATGACTGTTTTCTTATTAGGACACATAATTTGATTTTATGAAACAAGATAATCTTTCAGGTAGAATGACTGTCAGCTGAATGAAAAGTGATTACCTGGCTTGGAGGTTGTCCATAATGACTGGTAGTTTGGACAACGCTCTAGCCACACTGCTATAGTCCGATTTGGTCAGGTGGAACAACATGGGGTAGAAGTCTGGCTTCACTGCTCTTATCTCCTTCACCGCATCATAGTTAATATACAGCTGTAGGTAAGAAATCAAGAAACCTTTATAGGTCTATCTGTGTTAACAGTTCATTTACATGTACTCTAGTGATATATCATTATGATAAAAAAAGTCTGTCGACTACAGTATAACAATTATATTTAAACACATTTCAGCCTAAATTTTCATGAATGGGTTTGCCTTTATGATATGCTTTCCCCAAACCTTGGAAACAAGGGTTCAAATTTTATGATATACATTCCCTGAACCTTGGAAACAAAGGTTCAAATTTTATGATTTTCCAAATTTACACATTTTTTTGGAATTTGATTCCATAGATGAATCAGACCAACAAAATCCACGTCATTATTTATCTGTGTAACATTTCGTGGATATATAAATTTGCAGATTTAGATCACCCACTAATTCCTACAAAATAGATTGCCCAAGAAAAGAAACAATTTTACAGTAATAAAGAAACTGTATTCTTGTACAGGAGAAAAGTTATGTTGGGAATGTTTTGGAACATTTGAAAATTTTGTTGGGAATATAACACTACCCGTAATATTTAATTACCAAAAATACAAGTGATTAAACTCGACAAAGTTTACTATCAGAGGGTAGTACTCCACAAGTGGTATGTTTTCTTCCCTGAATATAAACAAATTTCCCATCAAATATATACTAAACATTCGGGAAAAAATTTTCCCAAAAGTAGTGCTAATTAATTTTGCTGAACACATTTTCAAATCTTGCTATCATGAAAAAGAAATATCAATCTAACCTCAACATTGTCATATCTTATTGATGTAATCTTCCATTTCATGGATATCATATATTTTTACCCTAGCCCTCTTTTGAATTCTAACCAAACCGGTTGTCCGAAATTACTCCATTTCTTGAAAAATGCCACAAATTTCTTTTTTCCTACAATGGGTAGTAGTCCCGCAATTTTAGATTAACCCATGGACGCCATTGAATGCCATGTAGCTGAATTCCAAATGTGTTTGATATTTCCACTAGCCGATCAATGTATGATTTTGAAATTTTCAAGACATCCCATTTACCTCCAATGTGGCATCCAGAGGCCAGTGAGTACCAGGGTAGACCTCTTGTTGTAGCTCTGAATCAGAGTCTGATTGGTGCTTGTAAGACTTAGAAGAAGCTGCCTGGAATACAAGTTATGGACATGTATCAGATTTCATGATAGCCTTTTCTTCCTTCAAATGCACTTCAGGTTCATTTCATCATGATTATGTTTCAATAGCAAAATTTCATATCATCCTGACGTTGTCGTGAGACCTCACCTTATCCAGTTGTTAATTGTGATGATGCCGCCATACTGAATTTGACGTTAAAGAATAACACAGCACAACGTGAAGAACATTGCATCTCAGTTATTCCTTAACATTCAAATACATTATAGGCATCACCATATGCGTTATTATTATGTGCACATAGAACTAAGACCTAACTAGCACAAACTCAAACAAATATACTTGTAAAAAGCTAACAATTGTTTTTTATACACTTAAGCTCAAAAAGTAAACATGACTGATACCAACTCATCAGCTACTTTAAAGGCATTTTCCAATATATCTTGCCGACACAAAATTGCAAATACACCCAGTAATTTTCATCAACATTTTACTCCCAAGTAAAATCAGAATTCACTATTATTATACCTGCTTATCTTTCTTCTTGCTTGTGTCACTCGAAGATGCAGTTTCAGTGGTCCTTGCTTTTCCCATATTGATAATGTGGCCACTATAACATTTCTCTTGTCACCACGACGATTTCAAATTAGAGCTTCTCTATTCAGTCTGATGGAAAAGAAAACAAAAGCAAAATTAAATATTTCAAAGTCATTAGAAGATCCAAACCTGACAGATAATATGACTATTAACCACAATTTACCCATGTTCTACTTTTGTGTCTCTGTTGTATCACACTCTGTATTATACTCTGGAGTGCTGCGCCAGTCAGAAAATAATTTGTAATGTCAAAATATGGACAATGATTTTACATCATGAATTGAAAATGGCTGCTTCGTTTTGGTGATGTCCTCTGCATTTCTTATATTCAAATCTGCTAAAATCTAACATTTCCTAGTTGTGTGATAATGATACTCATGAAATGAAACTCAGTTAATATCCTATATATATCTGTATCTATACATTTTCTAATAAAAAAAATGAAAATACCACAACCATTTATCGTCTGAACAAGTAATTACACATCCTACTGCTTTCTGAGACTACAACCTGTACCATTAGCTGAAGCTGATCAGTATTTCATTTCATATAACTGGGATGATAATAATTTCAAAGCAACAGTGCTCGCTGTTAACAAGGTTTTGTTAGCAATTTTCTTGAAGGTCTTGTAGGGGGAACAAGATATTTGGGGTTGATGGAAACTTTTGCTATGGTATATTTCCTAAAGCATGGTCAGTCGTGTGTCTTTTCTGCAATCAGCAAGGCTGCACCATTTAAGATGGTTTAACATGTTATCAACACTTGAGGTGTTGTAATGCTGGTTCTCGTCGGTAACATAATGGGCATTGCACTGCTGAACCATCTCTTTCTTGTCAGTGTCTTTTTTCAGATATGTGTCATAAACTGAACTGGCATATTAAAGTTGAGGGCAAACTTAGGACTTCTAGGTCTTTACTTTGATGTCAGATGATGACATCTTTAGATTTAGCCTGAGAAAGCTCAAAATGGCATTTGCTTTCTTAGTGATATTATTGACGTGGGTGATGTCACGCCCATTTCATGTCAGATCTGATGGTAACATCCAGGTATTTGGCTTCTGTCACATGTTGACGTTCGTGTCCATGAAGCTTATAGGGTTGAAAATATGGTTTCTATTTCTGATTATAGAGAGGACCTGACAAAGTCTGACAAACATTTTAATGTTGAAAGAATTCAATCTATATTGATGGTTATGTTATTATTATGACTTTAGTATTTCAGCAATGGAACTACAGATATCAGACACTCGCGACAGATTATCAGCTAGTTATGACATCCCTTATTCTAGGTACGCTGCTGGTGGTACTTAAACAATAACAACTGTAAATGTTTACTAAACGAGAAACCGTCAGATGATAACTCGACCGACCAGCGGTATCTTGTTAGAGTTAGCCTAAATGTCCAGCTCAAGTATCATAGCTCATCATGAGGGTGTGATTTGAAAGTATTGTCTCGTCGGTCAGAACGAAAAAATCAATACATCATTCATTTACAGTGCAATACATAATAAGTAGATTTGTTTGCGCGTCCATCCCAGCTACTCTATTAATTGAATATTCAACAATAATAAATTCGTGCACAACCATTCATAATAGCATATTTTCATCAATCGCAATCACCTACTACTAGTCTTCTGGTTAAGAATGCTCACTGCTATAAACATAATCTTGAAATTCAAATTTCAAAGCTTGAACTTTTTTATCAAGCGAAAAAGTTCACCATCTTCAACCCATCGGAACGTTTCGTATTACAAGCTAGTTTTTAATAGTCAGTCACAAGGAGTTCCGTACCACAGAAATTCTACTTTATGGGTCGGCAGACAAGGGTAACTGAAATCCGGACATACACAGGTACATCGTCGTTCATCTTTATTTACTTCTGAAAATCGCTTCTTGACATAAAAGGTTAAAACAGCGGACTTAATCTTACCCTACCAAAGAGGTTATGTGACTAAGTGACTGAACTGTAATTCTGAAATACATATATTCGAAATACCCAACCTGTCGGAGCGGTACATGCCTTATGAACCTCTTGTTCACACCCAAAACATAATCATCATCACCATCACACCACTCTTTATATCTGTTCATCATACAAATGATAATGATCATACACAATTAGTCCGGAAAAGAGGTTTGGAATTCATACTGGATATTGCACGAAGAAACACGGATAAAATGCTAAAATTTAAATTAAAAAAAAAAAGCAGACGACCATCATTAAAGATATTTTTGTTTATTTTCCCCTAAATCTTCTAAATAAACAATCAAGGAGTTTCGAATTTTAGAAGCAATATATATATATATAGTTATAGATATATAACTATGTATTAACGTTTAAGACCTGTAAGATTATTAAGTACGTATTAAGGACGCACGCAACGTGCCAGACGGCCGCATCGGATGAACGAACCAGACAAGAATCAATGTCAGTTCAAAACGAAAGACTTTCTTTTGAGATGTAACTTCACTAACGGTTATGTTTTCTCTCCTGATATGGTCGATGTGTGCCTGTGCCACGAACGGTATCGACTAATACCTGGTGGTGAGCGCTGAATGCCAGCACGCTCCCGTTTCATTTCCGTCTTACGTTCGTCGCACGTTCGTCAGAATCTCGTCTGGTACATTTTCTTTCTCAAGTATTGATGACGTCACAAACATTTTGACGTCATTTTTTCATGAATATTAATGAGTTGAGCGAGCCTATTTCTCCACATGGTCTTGAAGCAACAGAAAGCTTGACTGACTTTTAGATGTAGTAATATATAACAATGGTTCTCAGTTGTGGGAATGTCGTGATACCGTCAAATTTTCGTCTGAAGCAACCTTTGGTGAAAGGAAATCAATTTCCTGGAGAAGAACAGATTCTTTCAAATCTTCTTAAATAATCTTTTACGGTGGGTTCTGTACCAGTTTGGTCTGAAGCATATCCTTACTCAAAAGGAAAGATAAATGTCATCTTTAAAGTCTATCTTCTCCGTAACTTCTGTTACATTTGAAGTACTTTGACCAAGTTTAGCTTCAAATGTCCTTCGAAATGAAGGTACTCAATTCTTTTTCTGCTTGGATGTAGATATTTTGTTGAAATTTAATTTGTAGCTTTAAAATCCCCTCGCTTTTTTAGGAGGGAAATTTAACAATACATTTGTGAATGCAAAAACCTGGCGAAGGCTGAAATATATAGATGTGCGATACAGTCCCCATGGACGTGTTATCGTTATTTTGACATCAAATAGCAATAAAATTTAATTAAGAAGACTCACATTTAAATCTTAATACCGCATCATTTAAAAGGAAAATTTCATAAACATTCAAATATAATTAAATTAAGAAATATCGTATTTATACCCAAATAATGCAGTTGTAACGCAATAAAAAATGGAAACAGTTTCATGCGAAATCGGAAGCACGATAGACACCTTCCCTGAGATCACGTTAACGAATATGAAAATGGTCAGTGAAAATCGTCACTACTCAATGTTTATTATTATACTGAAAAAACAGCCTAACGTCATATGTATTTGTTGGCATAATGTACTGCAACACAAAATAACCTTCGACGGTTAGGAATGTTCGAGAAGCATAAAGACACCCGAATAATTACTTTTGTTTGACCTCTACAAAGAGACGTGAAGATTGTAGCCAACTTCATAATCTTATACTGTACTTATATTTCTACTTGCAACGTGGAGGTGATATTTTAATGTCCGTTTGATATATATACCTGGTTGTAGATTATTCATCATTGCCTTGGTTCTCTTTTTGAATACATGTCATAACTGATTTTTTACATGTCTGTATTCACGTGTTCTTTTTTACCAAAAGTCTTTTGTCACGTGGTATATGTGTTTAAAAGAGATAGAGGCCTACAGTACTGACATTTTACCTGTGAGATGTAGGAAAAACATGACTGCACACAATCTAAACCAACTACGAAAATTCCTTGGTAAAAGATCAAGATAAGATCTTCCAGCAAAGAGATCGCACAGCATAGAAAGAACGATGTTATCTTGAGGAAAATGGATTAATGTTCGTGCATACGAGTAATTATAACCAAATGAACGACTGTGGAATTTAAAAAAAAATCTTTTTAAATCTTGAATTGTAGAATGTTTAAACAAAATATGAAATATTAAATCCAGTCGACTTCTTACCTAAGTGTAGAATTCTACAACTATCCGCCATGTGAGATATATTATTATCATAATGAGAGGGAAATACAACCCCGCCCATCTCTCCTATCGGCGAAACATAACTCTTCTCACAAGAAAAACAACAAAACAACAGTATTAAGTATTCTTAATATATTATCAAAAGACTCGAAGTGATATATGACTAGTAAACAATACCAGGGGTAGCAGAAATATTCAGTAGTCTGTAAACACTATAAGTAAAAAGTTAGTATCTTACAGGGCGAGATTTCTGTATACAGAGAAAATGTGCGGGATTATCTACAAATATCAAAAACTAAGAATGTGATGACAAAGCATAATGCTTATGAGGTGATTGACATCTTCGGGTATATAACTAAGTAAGATATCAACATCTGTGAAATATTGATACAAAACCACATGGCACGATTTAAATGATCTAATTTTAATCATAAACACACACGTACGTACAACCTAGAGCACAATCTGTTTAATAGATGTATATATAGCGACACCGGTCCCCGCAATTATTGAGTACATCGCAAACGTAAGCAGAAATATATAAAATATTAGGGTAATTTTTCGTTTTATTTTGTCCATAAATAATGTCGGTTCCTCATCACTAGACAGCGTCAGTATCGTAACCACCAAAGGGATGAACAGTGACAGTAAAAACGCGCTAAAACACCCGGTCAGTGACATCAATATTTGGAACTCTGGTACCAGTATTGTTAAAGTACCTTCAAAAGAAATCAACATGTAAGGCGTATATATAATAAGAATTAAACATATACAGTGTTTATATAGAAAGACATTAAGATCAATTATATATATCTATATATATAATCAGATTTCTAATAAAGATTCGAGAACTTTGACGTGAGAAGACATCAAAGGTAAACAATGTTTTGGAACAGAAAAGTATTGTAAATGAAGATAAGTGTAACTTAATACCAGATCATTGTTTTTGGATAAAACACCGAAGTTATTACAAGACAGAACATTATCATATGTTGGATAACATCGAGAAAATGTCGGAAAAATCGATGTTTCAAGAAAACTTGATATTATTTGGAAAGTGACATTAACCGACGTGACATTAAGTAATGTACCAATAAACGAACAGAAATATCGGGTCTCCAAATAAATAAGGATGGCACGTGTTGTGTTATTGATATACTTACTGCAGAAAACCAGCAACGCGATTCGGCAGGTGTATTCCCCATATTTCAGAATCAGAGTGTTACTGGAGTTCTCCTTAACTAGTGTCCATATAAGTTCTGTTACCACAAACACAGTCATCCCAATGTTACAGTACATACAAAGCAACGAAAGAATCGCCAACGACTTGAATACCCTGAAAGAAAATAAGTATTCACAATCAATGTATTAATGTATAGTGCGCACCTGCCATGATGGCTCCAGACTCGAACGCTACCAGCTAACGCTTCTTTCATTTTTAAGTAACACAAAAATAACGAGGATGCTACGTATTTCTACCGCATTCCGATCGCAATGATATTCTACCTTTGAGGGAAAACAAATTTATGATTTTCACACCATTCGATCGACCAGTAGGCCAAGATGAAAAAAGCTATTGTTTCATGTCCTTAGTCTGCTTCAGATGGATAGTAATGCTTCAATATAACTGCATTATCTGCTATATATTTCCTCTGGTAATATTGATATGGTTTATTTGTACATGTTTGGTTGCTGCGTGGTACGGCATCCATGTTAATGTTCATGTTTATGTTAGTGGAAGTGACGAACATTGACAAGTTGTGAGTTTAGGCATGTGGACAGTGTATAACATGTTTTGCTTGCATGGAGAGGGAGCAGATGCATTAACAACATTTATAGAAAGTGTTCTCAATATACAAAGTACATGTCATACACCTCCCCCTCTCTCTCTCTCTCTCTCTCTCTCTCTCTCTCTCTCTCTCTCTCTCGCTCGCTCTCTCTCTCTTAACTTGTTTATGATTGTTTCATTACTATAATATCCTACTGCCAACTTGTAAATATAATGTGTGTGTATTAATATGTTGGGAAAGGGCCTTATATAAGTTGTAAAACTTGTGCCCAATCCTATTGCTACTTATATGCAATAAAATTTGTTAAAATCAAATATTAATGTTACAGAATTTTTTATTCTGGGACGACTTAAAGTCCTGGTAATAGTATCAGTGGTATATTCATTTCGATTGGAATGTAGTGTTAAGTTGTGCTACAGTTGTTATATCTGTGTGACTTATACAGCAAACAAGTGTTATTTACACAATGCAACACAGAAGATCATATTAGATTCAAAACTAGCGGTGTAAGTATACGAAGCGTTTTAGCCTGTCGCCATTTTGAGATGTGTGTTACTAGACTGGCCACCAGACCCGAAGTTTTTCTCAGCGGTAACGAGAAAAAGGGAAGACAAAAGTGTTTTAAAAGGCAGATTCACCATTATCATAGAGTAAATTGACATACAAGCTGATAAAACATTACAATTATGATAAATTTTCCGTGGCTGTGTTGTAACGATTTTTATCAATACTGACATATCATACGTCACTTAACAAGCCCCCTACGAAATGAAAATTACGAAATTTACTGAATTATGAGGGCGATGCACCTCCCCATCTAAATTTAGACACTTTTTTCGATCACTCTGGAATTTCCTTAGTCGCCACTTAGGTTCAACATTTCGGCTCTGAGCATCACTGACGAGTCCTAGAACGATGAAGCAATGGTATGATGCAGTTTAATTCATTTAACGTATGTACTGTATCTTATCATTTGTACTAAATGGAAATACACATTTGTGTGTCTTTTGTACATTTTTAAATGATCGCTATATACTTATAATGCATACCAATTTTCCCTTGGAAGGTTCAACATGAAATCCACGTTGGTAAATTCTCCAAATTTCAGGTATCCGAAAAACCCACAGCCGACATGGGAAGCGATTATAATCGCAAAGACCAGTCCTATCAGTCCATTCCATCCGTCAAAATTCTTCTTACTCTTCATTCTGTCCCGTATCGGCAGTAACTACAACGAGGGGGGATTTTAATAAAATACCATGGCTATCTCTATATGGTTTCGGTTGTACATGTCATCATTTCGGAAAATGTTCTCTAATGAGCAACGTAAAAAAATCATTATTATCTTTCACCCGGGTTTTGATTTTTTTTCAGGTATGGTACATATAAGAGAATCGCTATTAAACATAATTCAAGTTTCCTTAGAATTTTTTTGTATATACAACGTAAACATAGTTTAATTTCAGTGAAATGCAGGGCTTCTGACGTCACAGGGAACAATGATTGTACTATGATCGGCGGTGAGAAGTATCAAAGCATTAAATATGTCAGATTAATCTTGGAGGGGGGGGGGGAGGGGGGAGGGTCATAGCCTACAAATTTCATCATCATTAACTACAGAAGCTATAATTACGAGTAGTAACGTGTTTAGGTACATTGACTGTTTGAAAATTAAAATCCATCAGTTTACTTTCTTTCGGGTAAATTGTAACTTGTAGATAAAATTCCGTAAAATAAAAATAACATGAAGATATACATGTACATGTATAAACATTACTGTCTAATGAAACAAGACCAAAATGATATTTTTTGGTTCATTGGTTTTGTCAGGGACGTATAATACTGTATTACACGTCCCTGGTTTTGTGTTACCCCAATAACAGTGTAGTGTGACTGTTAAGGAACGACAACTCTGGTAGAGATTGAGACTTGGGATGTTATTAGTGAAAATGTTCACGATCTATTACTTCGTTCACTTTCTGTTTTTCTATTGTTGTAAAGTTATGTACACTTTCACATATATATGTACGACAATTTAGCTTATTAAAGATATGACACATCACTTAATGTAAATATTTATATCTACCAGGATTACTTTTTGCTGGTCGTCTCACCGTGAACATCGAATATGTATGCATACGCTAAACCTAGTGAACGTTCCTAGCCTGATATACTTCCATCTGGTTTACATTGAACTAAACGGAAAAGTACTGATAGAATGGAAACATATATTATATCGGTTGCGCCCATGTCTAAATTTTGTTTATCTAGTGGAGAGGAGGGCGTTCTTAATGTTGGATAATCTTCTTGTCAATTTTTAAAATTGAAAATAATATATTTATAAACAAAAATTAAATTACAATTATTGACCTTACCGAGATTATTCCACCATATGAAAACATGACGTCATTCGAAAATGACGTCATTGTTATGTAATCGATGCGCTTTGATGCTGGTCGCATGCTGGTATCCGGAAGGTCTTGGCAGAGATATTGGAAGGACACGGCAAAGATTCCAAGGAGAACAGTGTTCCCCGTTAATGCTAGCCGAAAGAGAAGCTTCATTCTTCTTGTCAAGTACACTGGTATCAGCATCACCGATATTACAACAATGGCAAGTGTATCATTAATATCGGCATATGGGCGTAGAATCTGCAAAAAAATACACATGCATCGAGTTATAATATGTATAAAACGTTTTACGACACTATGAGTCTTAACAGCAGTTAACATCACATGTGAATATTTTGTAAAATGAAATGCATATTATATTTAGGTATCTGACAACGTAGCAGACTCAGGTGACCGGATTGTTTATTGACTCTTCTCCATATAATGCGTGTTTAGTCGATAAATGTTGAAGCTGAAAGATTTCGTTCTCTATTTTGTAATGGTCTCATAAAGTAAAGCATGTGTCTCTTACTTACATCTATTGAAATAAGACTCGTAATAGACACCAGATCCGAAGTCAGCAGCCCTGAATTCACTATTATACAGCAGTCCAGAAAACACCTACAACAAAAATAAGAATAAATAAGGCAATAAATAAATAATGATTAAACAAGACAAAATACATACCCACACACCATTACCAGCATTAAAAACACACACAAAAACATCAAAAGGCCCAAGGGACCTGTATCGCTCACCTAGCTAATTTAGCTATTCAGTCATTTAATAAAGATTTTCTAACATATCAAACACTTTTTGATATAATTTCCCTATCGGGTCCAGCCCTTGTGGTCAAACAGAGGTCAGATTAACTATTCATCAAAATTGCCACAGTCCAAACTTGAGCAATGTCCTTGTATGGCAGAAGGACTTTTTATAACTCACATTACCCTAATTGGGCCCACCCCTACTGTCCCCGGAGGCTAGGACGCACCGTTTATACAGAAATTAGTCCCCTTCACCCAAGAATTCTTCAGACCAAATTTGGGCAATTTTCTTTTTGGGCTCCGCCCCTAAGACCCTTGGGAATTGTGAACCAATCCCTACATAAACTTTGTTTGCCTTCACCAAAGAACACTTCTGACCAAATTTGGGCGATATCTAATCTTTCCTAATGGAGAGAAGTAGGATTTTAATGAATTTGCTTTATTTCCGAGATTGGACCCCGTTGGTCCCACCTCAAGGGCCGGAATCCACTGCTTATACACAACAGATTCCGCTTCATCCAAGAATATATCACACTAAATTTGGGAAATTTCCATTTATTCCTACAGTAGGAGTAGAGTTTTAAAGAATTTTTAGTTTAACTCTATTTCCCCTATTGGGCGCCGCCCCTCCCGCCCCAGGGGATCGAGACGGGACCCGCCGATTTTACGAAATTGATTACCTTTCACCCAATTGGGTTTTGTCGATTAGTTAATCAATTGGCATGGTTGAAATGTACATGTTTATACAAATTTAATTTACCATTCCATAAAGTACCCACCTCTGGTTTTCGCATTTCAAAACCATAATTTTAAATACTGACTTGAATTTTCCTGCGTGACGCTGCATACAATGGGGTCCAAGCTTAATACTCATCTCCAACGCACTTCCCATATCACCAAACCTCTCCCCAGTTCTGTGAAAAACACGATTAACAGAAGGTATTAAAAAAGCACTGGTCACTTTTTGAGATTTTTGTTTTTGTTTTTATGTTTGATTTTGTTTTTTGTTTTTCTTTTTGTGTTTTGTTTGTTTGTTTTTTGTTTTTGTTTTTGTATATCTTGGTTAATTCTATGCACTCCCTGATCTATACTTTAAACTTCAACGATACCTTTCTGATAGACGTTGGCTAGTTCCTGCTAGCAATATAGATCCTAATCCAGTTAGAAATCCATACAACAGTAGTCCACCACTTCCCACCTGGAATGAGAACAGAGACTTTTAAGGTGACATTCAGTGACATCATTACCACCAAAACTGATAGTATTTACTTTGTGTCTCTTAACATATCTAAATTATTTTTGCTTATTCTAGTAATGTCTGTCATCTAACTAATTCATTATATGACTGATGTGCTTCTTATGATGCTGTAGTCAGGGCTTGCATAGGCTGTAGTCAGTGTTTTCAGAGGCAGTAGGCAAGGCTTGCACAGGCTGGGGACAAGGCTTGCATAGGCTGTAGACAGGGCTTGCATAGGATGTAGTCAGGGCTTTCAAAGGGTGTAGGCAGGGATTTCATAGGCTGTAGTCAGGGCTTGCATAGGCTGTAGTCAGGGCTTTCAAAGGCAGTAAGCAGGACTTGCACAGGCTGGAGACAAGGCTTGCATAGGCTGTAGACAGGGCTTTCAAAGGCTGTAGTCAGGGCTTGCATAGGTTGTAGTCAGTGTTTTCAAAGGCAGTAGGCAAGACTTGCACAGGCTGGGGACAAGGCTTGCATAGGCTGTAGACAGGGCTTTCAAAGGGTGTAGGCAGGGCTTGCATATGCTGTAGACAGGGCTAGCATAGGCTGCAGTCAGGGCTTTCAAAGGCAGTATGCAGGACTTGCACAGGCTAGAGACAGGGCTTACATAGGTTGTGGTCAGTGTTTTTAAAGACTGTAGACAGGGCATTCATAGGCTGTAGTCAGGGCTTTTAAAGGCAGTAGGCAGGGCTTGCATATGCTGTAGACAGGGCTTGCATAGGCTGTAGTCAGGGCTTTCAAAGGCAGTATGCAGGACTTGCACAGGCTGGAGACAGGGCTTGCATAGGTTGTAGTCAGTGTTTTCAAAGGCAGTAGGCAAGGCTTGCACAGGCTGGGGACAAGGCTTGCATAGGCTGTAGACAGGGCTTTCAAAGGGTGTAGGCAGGGATTTCATAGGCTGTAGTCAGGGCTAGCAGAGGCTGCAGTCAGGGCTTTCAAAGGCAGTATGCAGGACTTGCACAGGCTGGAGACAGGGCTTACATAGGTTGTAGTCAGTGTTTTCAAAGACTGTATGCAGGGCATTCATAGGCTGTAGTCAGGGCTTTTAAAGGCAGTATGCAGGGCTCGCATAGGCTGTAGTCAGGGCTAGCACAGGCTGGAGACAGGACTTGCATAGGCTGTAGTCAGGGCTTTCAAAGGCGGTAGGCAGGGCTTGCATAAGCTGTAGTCAGGGCTTTCAAAGGCAGTAGGCAGGGCTTGCACAGGCTGGAGATAGGACTCGCATAGGCTGTAGTCAGGTCTTTCAAAGGCGGTAGGCAGGGCTTGCATAGGCTGTACCTGCATCTGTCAAAATCACGTGATGAAATATTTATATCACGTAAATCATGATATTGGTAAGATATACATTTGATGACTGCGCCATATAAACACTACATATTGGGGAAGCAGTGACTACCCCTGGCCAGTGACTTACATTGAGAATATCTATGCAAATGCCGTGGTTTTAAGATTTATCTATAAGTAACCGGTACAGCATGTTCAGTGACAGCGTTTCTGTTGTAATATGTCTTTGTTGCATCATTTTATACCGGTTAACTATAGACCCTTTAACAACCACTATCATTTTAGGCGGTGTCTGTTTTAGAAGCTAGTGACTACCACACTGAACAACACACGGGAGATACGTCGCCTGCCGTCTATGGCTTTTGAGTCAAGTGTCTTACCCAAAGACACAATCACATTTATTCAGTTAGCAACAGTTAAGGCTAACGCCCCATGAACAGTCAATGTCATTTCAGGTGGTGTCTCATTGTAGTAACTATTAGCTACCTCACTGAACAACATACTGGGGACCCGTCGCATAACCCCCTCCTCGAGTAAGGAGCTGTCCTCGGATCTGAGCTTCGCGGCCCTGCAATAAGAGCACGGGTGTCAAAAACTGCACAGACCCATTTTGTAAATAATTACTGGAGTGTGTCCAGGATATGCATGATCACTGATGCAACTTCTATTTGAAATGTCACGCTCTCTTAACCCAAACAGAGTAGCAGTATATTCTTGTTGTTGATTGTAGACGTTATACCAATTGATAACATCGTACACAACACCAATATATTCTTAAACAGACAGAAACTTGCTATTGTAGTTTTGCGGGAAAAAAATAATTTGCCTCCCTGTTTTTAAAACTGGTTTTTGTGTCGGCGTTTGTTATCTGTATGCTATTACAGCGACAAATCAAATGCAAGTCGGTTTGCTTTCAGATATTTTTAAGGATCATCAAAATAAATGTGATAATAAATCAAGTGAGAAAGCCAGGAAGAATGATAACAGTTATAGTGTTCGGTTAACTTCTACCAGTACATAAAAAATGTAATGTGTGCATGTTAGAAAAGTCTTTTCTTGGTCAAAACGTAAAACTACAATAATAGTGTATGTAATTAGCATGCTATTTACGTTACCCATAGTCCCAGAAGCTTGACCATATAAGGAAGTCCAAGAAACCCAAAGCCGATGTACGACGGTATCAGGAGCATGAAGCCTTGAAAATCTCTAGAAATTGAAGAAAATGACAAAGAAACGACATGTTATAGATATCATAAAATATTTATCAAAATCACAAAATTCCACATTTACATAGACGGTTTCTCTTTGTATAAGAAAATTGACCCCCCCACCCTCATACACACAACATACACACAACATACACACACATAAAAATATTTCCTTGTACTAGATATATAACCCGGTTGTCAGAGTCATTTTGGGGTCGGTGAGATATTGGTTTGAAAGTACCCAGGCGACCGCATGCTAACAGGAGTGATGTTTTCAACTTGATATTTTCGTTCATAATTAGTATAAATAAATTAAAGTTTAAAAGCTGGCTAATTATAAACAGCGTATATGCAGTTCATTATATATTCAAAGCGTAAACGGTTCTCTCGCTCCAAACATGATGACTTACGTTAACGTATCGTCGTTTCGATCTCTTTCTCCCTGGCTGATAGAGTTGGAATCTTGGTTGGCGTGTTCATCCAGTGATAAATAATGGAAACCATTCTCACAATTTCCAGACGAATCGTTTTTGTTAAGAGAAACGAGTTCGGTTGAATCTGAAGACATTGCTCTCTACATTTGACACACCAGCCCGTCTGACCTCATCAACTGAAGTGGAACGTTTCGCTTTTTTCCAATCTGATTATTTTATAATGATTGGTATTTATAAGTAACACAAAAAGGACGCGTTATTCTATCGCTATTTTATCATTACAATAAAACACATCAAGATGCAAAAATAAGAAAAAATATTATGCCGCATACAAGGAAACACAGAAAAGTTATCATTACGACAAAACATAAAAAGATATCACAACATGTTGAATTAAACAACAAAATACGACAAACCCTGCATTGTGAAATGTGGACATTTTATAATCTATTAATGAAAAAAAAATATTTCAAGAATTAAGGCTGGTATTTCAGTTGAAAAATAAATAACCAGTGCGTTTATAGTACTTTGGGTAAAGTTCCGGTGTGTGTCCTGAATAAGCACCAGCATGATACATGATAACAGAATATGAAAACTGGTGATTATGTCAAAAAATGCAAAAAAAAAAATATATATATATATATATATATAATGTACGATATGCGACCGGGATTGATAAAATGAATTTTGACTGTTGACAATGGGTCAATCTCCATGGCAGTCATATCAACAATGCCGTGAGTCCCTCTTTCATTCGGGAAGCATTTGGTAAAATAATTAAGGTGAAGTATGTCAGTTTAATGAAATATTCTAGATACACATTCCTACAATAAGTAAAGTGAAGCATATCTTTAAAACGGATAAAGCAAAAAAGACACTCATTACAAAATCAATTGAAGGAGAAAGTTGAAGTAGAAAGAAGAAGCACGCGCCAAGTAACAGCTCAAAAGTAGAAAAAAAGGCTTTGAAAACTGTTGATCTTGTCAGTCTTTCAACCTACTTATATTTCAATTACAGGTTAAACTATCCCAGGTGTTGATAAATCTCCTGAATTCACGAAAGTACTCACATTTCCGTAACAGTAGGAGATCTGTTCCACACCCGGGCGGTATCAGGGGAGAGGAGAAAGGCTTCTGGACGTACACTTTGTCGTTTCTACGGTAGGAATATGGTTGTAAAGTCCCTTTAAAAATCATAGATAAGTGCTTTAAGTTCGAATAAATATTGTATAGATGCAGGGGAGGACTTGTATCATATGTTAAAAACTTAACAGAGCATATCTTTTAACATCTTATCATGTAACTAAGTGGAACTTTTTGATCGCAAAAGCTGTTAAAAAAGATCAAACATGATTACGCTCAACAAAGCTTAGTGCACTCTCCTGGATCTTTTACATCTTTCTTGCACTTTTCATACTTGTATAATGCCAACCCAGTGGGGAAATGAATAGACGCCTTTAAAAAAAAATCTTCGATACATGAGTATCGAAATTTTGAAAGGAATCAAAATTTACACCAAGCAATGTCAATCTTTTTTCATGCTTAATGGACACATTTTCAATTTCAAAAGACTTAAAAGACCACTACAGATATCCTACTTAAACATATGGCCTCGGTTGTTTTCTAAAAGTTGCCTTCACGTGTTTTTAAACAAGTTTACAAAATCTGAACAGTTTGTTTCAATAGACCGATGGAGAACATGAAGGTCTTTGTTCGATGTACTAATTGTGTTGTCATCCGCGTAATTACTGAGTTGGGGTGACTTGACAGCATATCATTCATAAAGATGTATCTAAAATGTAAGGGTCTAATAATTGCGCCCTGAGGAATCCCTTTGAACACTTCCGAAGAGTCACTGCAACTGAAGCATAACTTGGCCTATTGTATTCTGTTACCGAAATAGCTTCATATTACCATAGACATTCAATTTTCTGAGAAACGGGTCATGAGGAAGGCAGTCAAAAGTCTTAAAGAGAGCCGATTGTCTACGGACCTGCGCCAGTCATCTACAGATCATCCTTATCAGGGTAGTCAGACATCCAAAACCTCGTTCTGAAATCCGCTGAAATTCTCCAAGTTGACCACTGATAACTCTTTCAAAGACGTGAAGACACTAGGTAGAATACCAACAGGCCTGTATGTCCACTTTCCGTGGCATCCTTCTTAAAAACATGAACACTATTTGCAATAGGCTGCTGTGAGTTGACACGGAAATTTATTTACATTAAAACGAAAAGCAATCCCATTACTTAGTGAATCGTTGCTGCTTCAAATGTTTAGCAGCGACACAGTCTAATAACCCGTTGCCTTCTTAGAACTAAGAGGATATATCTTTTTACACACATGAAAGTTTTCATGTATACAGGTCTGATCTTCGATATTTTAGATGATGTTGAACTAAAGTAGATAGGTATCAATTATTCTTTAATAGCGAGCGCTTTATGATATAATTCAAAGTCAACAAGCTTAAATGTGCCCATACGATCAACTTTAAACGGAAGTGTAGCTGTAACTTCTTTACCCACAATACACTTACGTCAGCACGCAATGGTCGACCCGTTGAATGGATTAAAATTATTTTGATCGACAAAATACCTTTTTAAGCTTTCGTGTAGAAATGAAATCATATTAAAAGTCTTATGAGTTTAACAAACATATATGTTAATGGTTTGAAACGCATGTTACTAATATCTTGGTGAAAAATGACAATTTTAACCATTCAAGACTAGAGCTCGTTTTTCTCAAATGTACTTGATTTCCGGTTGAAGCTTCGGGAACTTTCGTCATTTTCCGTGAACGAGAAATACATCGTCTCTTACACGGAACCAACCGAAAGGTCCTGTAAAACCTATACCGTGTCCAAACTACATTAAAGCTACAATGTGTATGTTCTTTCGATAACTGTTTGAAATTAATTATATGTAACAGAATAGTCTGAGCAGTGTTTAAAACTTAACCCACTTTTTTCTACCAAGACAAGTCAACATCGCTTATAAACCCGAAGGTTCTAAAGCACTTTATGATTTGTTAAACAGAACGAAAACTCTCAATAGCAAAGAGAAAAAGAAACAAAACAGTGGGTGAAAAAATATGATTCTGATAATACAAACTTGTTAAACATATAAACACCGCCTTTACAAATCCTACTAAAACTATATTGTCTGTCACCGTATTTTGACTACAAACTCATTTTCATTTTTAAAACAAAGATGATAGATAGTCCTCTCTGTAATCTGTAACTCTTGTACAATTATTTTGAAGATTATTTTATCAATTTTTATGGTCTAGACATGTTGTGAAAGACTTTATTCATACATTTTCTGTTGCTATGGAAACAGATAGCTCTCGTTACAAATTTTAGTTTTTTCTCGCCCAATGCTCTGGAAACCGTTCAAGATAATTGCTCATAAGCTAGTGTATTTTGCTATGGGGGATTTCCCCGTTTAAATAGGGGTCTAACTGTAGGAGGAAACCTATATCGAACCTGGGACGGCTAGGTGAAAGACAAGTGTGTTACAGCCACCAAACCAACGCCTGATCATGATGATGCATTCATTGTTTTCTAGAAGAAGAAGAAGAAGAAGAAGAAGAAGAAGAAGAAGAAGAAGAAGAAGAAGAAGATGATGATGATGATGATGATGATGATGATGATGATGATGATACATCGGTACATGTATTTGTGCCGGCGATGTGTTTTTAAAATCTTGCGAAATATAAAACAATTTTTTAAAACACCTGTTCCTGTTCTATCTGTGCCAAAATGAAACCTTGATCTGCTTTCTGTGTGTGTTTGTCATTTGGTCTATGTTGCCAATGTTTATTTCTTACTGTTTGTTTCTATATATTTTTTATGGACTAGGGACCTGGTTTGTGGGGACTATACTTGCCCAACTTACCAGACCCCTGGGCCATTTTAATTTATAACCATTAGTGTTTTCATAACTAAATATGCTGTGTCTTTATTTACATTTTAATCAATGGAAATCCCGTAATTAACATCTCGAATTACTACTCTGTGCATGTTTTATGTCCATACACGTATGTTTCACATTTTTTTCTTTTATATTGATATGTTTTGTTGTCATAATAGCTCCTCTGAGCTAATGTTGACTTTGTTTATCAAAATAAAGCTTATTGTGTTGTATTGTATTGTATTGTATTGTACGCTTCAGTGCATACTGGCATTTCAAAATGCATCTTGTTGACTAACTTGCGCTCGTCGCTTTTAGGCAGTGTCTATTTCATATGGAATTTTCAAATTTCAGTAGTAAATCTATACCTTCAAGAACCTAAAGTTTATCATGTAAAGATCTTAGAAAAATGTTTTGAGTCTTTGCACATCCTACGTTTTCCTATTTCCGTAGCATTCCGCTTTGTAAACTAGACATCCACTTCCGTTATCGACGTATGCGCAAAGTGGATCCTAAACTTGTTCATACCTGCGCAAGTTGTTACCAAAACAATATGGCGGCAATAGTGGTATCTAGCACCGGAGTTAGGCTGTTATCTTTGTGATTATCCCGGATTTCTTTCGATGGCGAATATATCTGAGCTTAAATCCATTCCAGGAATTCTGACAATGATTTTAAGAGATTTCGTGTACTTAAATACAATGAAATACCGGGGATAACAAGTAACCATTAATAATGGACGACATCAACAACGCCAGGGCAGGGATGCTCACAGGAGCTTACTCGTATCCTTTCTTGAACTTCTTGAACTAAAATTGAATCTATATTGTTTCATTCGAAAGCGTTGATTTTAGGTCAGCGTATGGAGATAAGATGTGTTTAAATTTAAAATTTATTTGCGTAATGGTCACTCCTACTTATTTTCCTGATAATATGGATACTGCTGATCAGCTGTCAATAGACGTAGATCTGTAGACTTTGTCTCGGTTAATTTCAAGTCATTTGGAGAGCATGAGCCCTTATTTTTCAAATTTTGGGAAACGTTTTCTTCATCATAGGTAATATATTACTCTGGTAACATAAATTATCAACTCAACCACCCAGCTTTATTGCTAGTTCAGTTTAATAGAGCCAGAAGTAGTAAATCAGTGATCTCAGTTTCAGATTCAAATAAACGTATTAAATACGATGTGGGGTAGAGGGAATGAAAGCTAAGCGTCACTTGATGTACGGTTGTAGATAAAAGATTTCTGTCTCTAAAATCATAATTTTAATGTCAATGTTCACATTTATTATGCTGTTATCATTGATGATATTTTTACTGAATATAATGCACATTTCAAATGCAGCACTTAACATCCACCATGGATGTGTTGAATCAAACAACATTCAGATAACATTTACATATTTGTAAATATTAGCTTCAGTTTCCTAATAATATTCAAGTCATTCATGTCTCTCTCTGACTCGATGTAGAAGATTCAATTGTGCTGCCTTTGAATGAAATGTTAACATTAAGTTATCATTTTAGAGATGGATGTTTTCAGTTGGGAAGATTTGCAGAAATCATGACAAACCTACAAGGATAGTATAATATGCAAGAGGTCACTCGCTAGAACAATCCTGGTAATCTTAAATAGAACAATAACAGGATAGGTTGTTTGTAGATCCCAATTTAATGGCAAGGCAGCTCTCTCCATTTTATGAAGATCCTCTTTTGTTGAACTCACAATTTTGAAGTGAAATGCATTCAAAAGTAATTTTCTCAAATGTAAACATGTGTATTTTGTGTTTTACATGCAGCATGATCCTGTGCATGCATTAAGATTCTTGAAACATTGTTATATGTGTGATCAGAATACCACAATGATGAAATGAGCATCCTGTCCTTCTCCACCTCAGGATCTGGTCTTATATTGTCATCTTATTTTAACTTGATTTGTGTATTTCATTATATTGTCAAGTGGGCGAAAAAGGTTACTGGTTTCAGTTAAAGTTGAAATGTATGTTATTATGCTTTAAGGGCAACTAAGAAACTGAACATAAATATATGATAGGAAGAAAAAAGCAAAACAAAATGATAGTTACACCACGGCATGATGATTAGGGGTGAAAGGAGAGTACGACAATATCTTTATATATCAGATTTGGGAAGAATTATGACAGATCTTTAAAACCATGAACATTGGGATGAAAAGCATTTCTCCAGTACTGTTTGTGATACATTGGTTTGATATATTGATGTTTTTGACATTGTAACACAATAGCTGATATAAGTATGTATTGTACTCATAATTATCATGTTGGTTGTCCTACATTTTGGAATGTATTGGGAGGGGAATTTTTCATTACTTTGATGAAATTAAACTGCCTTTTATAACAAAAATTATTAACCATATTTTACCAAGTCAATGAATATGAAAAAACTACAATGCTCCGCAGTGGCTTGAAATCTTGTATATTCAAAAATATATGCTTAGGTCCACTTCTGGCGAGAGAAATGGCTAGCATCTCATTGTATTTAAAATTTCTGTTATCTGAATAGCCATCAAAGTATGTGGTTAAATTTCTTTTCCAAGGATTTCATTCAGATGTGGAAGAAATGCAAGTCTTTTGGGTTCAAGATTGCTGAAAACATCTTGCAGTTTGAAAGAAAATCTGACATGTATATAAAACACAGTAATTGAGCATGGTCAGAATTTCTTTGTCAGCACTATATGTACCATCTCAACAGTATTATAAGCAGGTGTATATTAGGGATGCTACATATCTCCTATCTCAATACTGTCTTTTTTCCTTCTGAGCTTGTCCTACATCCATCACACATAGGCCAGTTCCCTTACTCCTATGATACTAACACTCCTACACAAAGTGTTAATGTAGAACTATATAAAATAATATATTTGTACAGTACATGATGTATGCTCCTTAAGTTACCTACAGTAAACAATATCGTAACCTGCAGTCACAGCAACTGGAGCATCTGAAAGAGCTAGAATATGACAGTAAAGCAGACTCCCTGGCCAGGTCTAAAAAACTTACATATGAAACCAATAAACGTAGAAGGTAAGTGTTAATTATATAGAACATGTTTTAGAAATCAACCTTCAACAATGGTGATAAATAATTAATCTATACACACAGTGTATACATTATTCAACAAACATGTTGTGTATTGATTAAATTTATGCCTTCAGCCAAGGTTAAGTTTCTGATATGATGATATTATATAGGTCGCTTTTGTACCGAGATATTTATAATCTCACTTTAAGACACTCGGTGGAGATGATTGTAAAACCAAGGTCTTGTTATGACTCACTTACTGACAGATAAATCTCAAGTGTTTTATATGTGAGCCAAGGACACTGGGGATGTTTTGTGATGAAAAATACAATGATTTCCTTTGTTTCTTTAAAATCTATGTCATTGACAAATTATCATGTTAAAATGCAGATGTTTCATTTGTCACCAATATTATATATGGACATTTTTTGATGTCTTGTGATTTTTGGGACTGAAATATTTTATGAGTCATTGACTCATGCTTTTCCTGTAGGTCTCATTCAAATTTTGAGAACCAGTTATTTCTTTTTGTGATTGTACTCATCAAAGTGTTTGGAAGTGGTGCTCTGGGCTCACCAGAAAAAAAGTTTTATAAACATTATAGATGCCCCTGCCTTTTAAAGGGATTGGAGGTGGGGGATGTAAGTACTGTGTTATGTATCCATCCATACATCTCAAAACTGTTATTACTCTCTCATTTTCTTTTCTTTGGGGACTTTCATTTAACATTAAGAAGTGCTAATTATTATAACGATGAAAGTTAAGGTGATTATTATTATTCATATAAAGAAAAAAAATGAGCCCATTCAGTGTCATTATTTTTCCAGAGACTTTTGTAAAAAGGTTTTATCAAACTATAAATGTAAAAACTACTAATAAGAACACCTTCTGTGAGATTGAGGTGTTCAGGTGAAAGGTCACTTTTTCTATTTAGAACAAAAATCATCAAACAATTCAGTGAGATCACTCTTGACTAGTGAACTCAATTTTCATGGTATTTTGAAGAAATTATATAAAAGGGGAGATAAATCCTGTGCTAGATCTGTCAATACTGTTAAGCCTGTCTGAAGTCAAGCTACCAAACTTCTTTCTCTCATTAGGCTTAGTACAGTGAGAAATCACCTGATCTGCTAACACAACACAACCTGTCACATCATCCAATTTATCAATTTTTCTTATTATGATGTTACCTGTTTGAGAGACTGCCTGTTCTTCTATCACAACAAATTCTGTCCAGAAGGGTGACATTTTCTGTCATTATTGTCTGACCAATAGAACCTGTAGTGAAAAAAACCTTATAATCTTACAATGCATTGTTGTAGAGACTCAACATCTTAAGTAATGGGGATGTCATTCATTTTTTATAGATTTGTATGCAGTTGTTTTATATCTTTGATTTTTTGTTCTCAGAGCACTTGCCGCCAAACGCAGGGCTGAAGCAGATAGAGAGGAAAAGAGGAGGAAGTTGATATTAAGTAAGCGGCGCGAACAGCAGCGGGAGGCAACAGAGCGTTATCAGAGATCACATGTTTCGTCTCGACCAAACAGTCATACTGGAGGTATGTTTCATGTTTTTGATTATAGCTACTTTTTTTACTTTGGTATATAGGTTTCCATGTTCGTATGTCTGTTTGAAAAGTACATTGTTGATGTTGACTTTGAAATATGTTGAAATCATATTGAAGATAATACAATTTCTGAATTTTTATGACTGTGCATGCCTTTCAAAGCTTACTGTGATAGAATCTGTCTTTTCTTACCCAGGTAAAACATCTCCAAATCGTGCCCTCGAGGATACTCTACGTCTGGTGCGAGGATCCTTGTCAAGACAAAATAGTACAGGGTCTATGAGTTCAGTGTCACGGCAGAATAGTGCAAGCTCTATGGGTTCAAGTGGCCATTCAAATAACAGAGACCCTCTAAACCGTCCTTACTTCAACAAGTATGCCAGTGCACACCGTCCTCCCTCCCCAGGGGATGTACATAAGGCTTCCAGGCCAGGCAAGGATGCAGAGAAACGAGAAAAACTTCATGATAAAAGTTTACGCAATCTTTCAAACAGCAGAAGTTTGTTTGAGCAACAGCTTGAACATCACCAACAGTTACTGGTACAGGATCAGCAACAGTCCTTGTATGAATTCAACAATGCTATCATGCAGGAAATTGCATCGGACAGAACGGTTCAAGGGGAGGAAGAAGTGGACTTAGGGGGTATGGTTCACAGTGAAAGTTTAGACAGTGTGGACAGCCTAGAAGGCTCGGAAAGCACCCCCCGGAGTAAGGGTAATGGGTGGGGAGGACGAGGTGTGGATGATGAGCCTGCAAACACCAGTGAAATGGTCTATGATGGAAATCAGAACTTGAAAGATATGAAAAACATGCTGTACAATAATGGTGATCGTGTCGATCAACATCACTTGAACAGCCAACTAAACTCACGCAATGATCAGATTTCAAATGACCAACGGACTTTTTATTTGGAAACAAATGCTAGAATTGAATCATTTAATGTGGATCATGTACCTTATCCTCCCTCGAGTCCGAGGAATGCTCCCAAGACAGAAACACGTCCTAAAGTACAGGTACGTGCTTGGACTACTCCTTCTCCTGTAGACCCAGCAAGTGCTCGAAGTAATTCAGCGTATTCTGACACTTCTAACATGGCCACCAAAAACAATCCATTTGCTGTGCGTAATACAATGACATCAGTGACAACTACTACAGCTTATGGTAAAGGCCAGACTCCAGGGGTCCACAGTTACGTCCAGAGCAATGCATGGACAGAGGAGGCTGATAACCTTCAACAACAGTACACATCAAACCCTCAAAGGACTAATAGCTTTAACCAGCCGTATGTCAGCACTGGGATGTATTCCCAAGCCAACGTACCCTCATCAGATCAAAACGTTACTAGTGTTAACCAACCACGGCCAGTAAATTCTAATTGTGATAATTCAGGTGCAAAACAGGTGCTACTACAAAATGGTGTAAGTTGTAATACTGTTCAGCCTATGTCTCAGCCCCAGCCTGTGTATAGTAAACCAACTACTACACAAGTACAGCATGAATCTGGGAAAAACCTGGATTTCTTAGAAACAGTGACTAATGGTATATTGGAGGTAAACAACGACCCTCCAGTGCCGTCTACTCCACAATCTGCAAGTCGTTTACCTCGCCCCGTCAGTTCTACCAAACCTAATCCGGTACCACCTAATGTTAATCTCCCCAAACCAACACACCCTGTCATTGTGAGTTCTCAGAATGGAGTACAATCCTTCTCAAAGCCCTCAGTTTGCACCGTCAATACTTCTACAACATCCAGCTTTGGCTATGTAAATGGCAAAGTGGCTGTGTTGCCTGATCATCCAGCTGTACAGGTGCGTCATGTGACATACCAGACATTTCGTGCTGAGGAACCTCCATCAGTCGTTGGCAGACAAAGGAAGGCCAAGGATGATAGTGAGCTTGTAAAATCCTCAAAACGTAATGACGACATGGAGGTTGGTGAGGGAGAAGGCGTACAGGGCATTCTAAAGCGACGACCTCCTTCTGGAGGGATACTCAAAAAGGCTGGTTCCACGGGCAGTATGAATAAAAAATTTGATGTACGGGACAGTCTGGAGGTGACAAGATCTCATCTACAGCAAGAAAAAAATTCACCGGTTAGTAGATATATTTAAGGATTATCTGTTTATTGTTTTCAATCATTATTCATATGTCATAGGCATTTTTGTTTTCTTTTTTTTTATTGTCTTTTCAGGATGAAAGTTTTTTACTATTTTAAATTGAATTTTCTTTCATGCTAAATTCATGAGATTACAATACCAAAAGCTTCATGGAAAAAAAAACATAATTTTTATCAACAGCTTCTGTTTTGGACAATCTGATTGAAGTCTTACATAAGCTTTGCATTTGTTTCTGTGTTAACTGATTATGTGTGACGAAATTACCTGGAAAGTGTAATAACGAGATAAAGTTACCACAGAAGGTGGTCTCTGAACAATCCACTTTGTATAGATTTTGCTTGTACTAAATATGTTACAGACCTGTAAAAATGTATCTACCTTTTAATTGCCATAGGCAAGAAAGGAAATCTAAATTATACTCCATCAAACAAATACTTAGTATCCAAAATTGATCTTTATTCATATATGGTTAGTCACTCCTGGTCATGTGTTTGGTGAGAGTAGTTGCCCTATTCTTACAGCATTGTCTGTGACTTCAGGTGAAATTGTCTGTCTGTTTTGTAGTCACCAAAGAAGAAAAGTGTGAGGTTTGCCGACTATGATTTGTATGAAGACGAAGATGAAGCTGAGCATACAGAGAGTGATTACTTGTCTAGAAAACCAGGTTTGTTGTCATCCAATTATACAGTCACTCTTTATAAAACAGTTATTTGTCTTTTCACTGACAATGATGAAACTTGTAGGATTTTGAATTATTAAAACTTGTCATTCCCAACATAATGTTATGTCACTTACAAAGTCTTCATTCTCATTCATTGTTCTGTTATTTGTAGTATAAGAAAACAGAGGTATGATAAATTTATTTTCCCAATTTGATCAGATTATTTCAAATGGGAAAAAAAATCAGAAAGTGTTGAAGGCATTTGAATTTTTCAGGGTGATTTAACGGAATTTCCAAATATCACTACTGGAGTAAAATTCTCTTTTACAACTTAAAAAAGTTTAGTGTTGTTAATCAAGCTAGCATTTTCATCAACTAAATTAACAAGACTGTGAGAAAGCAGAATCAGTGAGATGTGATTGGTTAGATGGTCCTTTGGGATAACTCAGTTACCACAGTGCAAACTATCATCACAGTACAATGTAAGAGTTATACATTTAGAGCTAGTGTGTCTTCTCAGATGTGTGGTCATTTACTTCTTTTCTGTGATTAAGCATTCACTTTGGTATTATAATTTTGAACTTTTATTTGTGAACAGGTTACTCTCAGCGTCCTGTTTCGGCCAAAGCGGTCATGCAGAGTGCTCATACGGAACCCACAGGGAAACCTCCACGTGTGGCCAGCGCTGGAATAAATCGAACGTGGAATGGGCCACAGAAACATAAGTCAACAATACGGCCACAGGCTGCCGCACACATCATAACACATAACCGAACGCCAGCGACTGGGATTAATGGCACTATGGACAAAGCTGTTACTGTTACAAACAACAATTTCATGAGTAAAGTTCCAGTACAAAATGGAAAGGCTTCCTCTAGTGCTCCTGGTGGGTCAGAGGTCATGGTATATAATCTAGCTAGGTTAAATAGCGCTGTAGCTGCAAAGAAAAATGAAACAAATTCAAACCATCAACAGCCATCGGTCAGTAATTTACCTCCATCTCAAGGGGTTAGTGCTGGTGGTAAAACACAGGATACGCCTGTATATGATGAAAATGGGATGCGTATTGACCGAACACCAACAGACGATGAGATAAACTTTCTCTGGGACAAAGTAAGAACTTGTCTAAATCGTACTAGTACTACTGGACAAAGTACTGTTGTTGAACCCGATAAACCGATACAGATAAACGAACAACATCAGTCCCAGCCTCGACAAGCTGCCACCATGTCAAATACGTATATTGATGGTGCTGCCCTGGGACAGATGTACAATACCCGGGTTGCTCCCTCACAGCCTCACACACAACCATTCTCCAACCAGACATCTTACCAGAGAAAACCTGGCAGTGCTGCAGATCAGGCCTATGCTCGCAGGTATGGTCTTCTACAACAGCGAAGACAACACAACCCCAACAGTTTGGGTAAGGGTCCGGCCTCGACACCCAGTAGAGAGTTCATCACTTATCATGGCCCAGTGATGAGCAACACGGAACCGCAACAAGGAATGAATCCTTCTTTACCCCCTGATGGTAAGCCATGTTAACTGTTGATGACAAATGTTAGAGAAGAGACATGTAACCCTACGTTGTAATAAGTAATGATTTGTTTTCATCTGTTTTACTTGTGCTCAGTCCTACTGCATCATGTTCCATTTTGAATCAGTGTCATATCTTCAGAATTTCAGAACAGATACTTGTATGCATGCCAGAAGGGCGTTCATGTCTTACAGACATTTTCTAGGTGTAAAAACAAGTGCTTTGGCTGTGCTTCTTCTTCCTTACTGAATAAACAAGTGAAAGTAAAAACGAAGAAAACGTTTGCTTACTACCTTATAGCTTGTTCATTAATTCTAAAAAAAATCGTATGAAAAGATAATTGTGTTCTACATATATCAGAATTGAGAGCACGACAAGTCCAGTTTTAACCAAACATTTAATGGGATGGTCACAAATCATTGCAAGGTTGATATTTCTGGAATATCTATATTAATATAGTATTTTATCAGCAATCTAGAAGAAGTGTTAAGTAAGCTTTGGGCATATAATGAGAACTGAAAAATGGTCATGGTTAAACTGAAATGTAGATGTCAATTCTTGTTTTTTTATTTTTTTTTTCAATGGGAAATTATAACATGTTGTAACCCAGCTCTTCAAAAGAAAATTAGAAGAAAAAAAATATGAAAATCATAAAATAAAATAAAAAGGTCTGATTTTATTATCAGAGTGAAATGTAAACCCTGTGTGATATGACACATATTCAGTATCTGAATTAAAGAGGATGAAAAGAAATTAAGGTCGAATTTTCTATCACATTTTCCTTGTCTTTGATAATTTAAAAAAAACGTTTTGCATACAGTGACAGTTGTTTTGTATTGTGACAGAAAATTTTGTTATTTTGATTTTGTAGCCAGTGAAAGTATGGCTGCCTTCATGGTAGCAGAACAGTTAACCCAACAACAGCAATCTATTTCTGACAGTCAGATCAATGTTGCAATGGAGGAGGCCCAGAAAACACAGCAAGCCAACAACAATGCTAGACCAAACCAGAAAGGTGAGCTATACTTTTATAATTTACTATGATAAATGTGATTTATAAAATGATTTTGTTGGGAAGAATTTGAAGGAAAATCTTTTGCATATTGTATGCTTACTTGAAAATGTTGCAAATGAATCATATATTCTCTGTGTTGCCTTTGCCTTGATGTTAAGACTATCCATACAAGTATATTCGAGGTCCATAATCCTTAGGTAAGCCTATGTGAGATAAAAATTATGTGTCTGCCCTCAGATTTGCTGAATTTGAAATTTAGTTATGACACAACGAAGCACCATATAGCTTGTAGTGTGTAGCCCTGATGTGGAGACACCATGAGATTTTTTGATTAAAAATGTAATATTTACTTTATACTAGAGTTCAGTCTATTTTTTCTACTTTTTCAAACCTTTTCGTGAACTCATAGAAAGTTGGCAATAGGCTTGTTATCAACATGCGATTTCTGACACCACAAAAGTGTAGACGCTCTGAAATATATATTGATCATCATGGTAATCTGTCATAAATAAAATGTTGTCTGGTTGATAATACAAAAATGTACAAACTTGATTTTTTCAATGCTCCTTTTAAAGCACCCAAAAAAGGAATCTAATTTGTTTAAAAATTATTTCTTTTGAAGACGTTATAGAATTGGATTACTGTATAACTATATATGGGTGATGACTTAAATGGTGATATTTTTCAGTGCCTTCGGCCTTGTCTATAGAAGAGAAAAGGTTACTAGAGTCACTGGACAGGCTTAATGAGAAGCTTAAAAGTAAGTTTTATGTATTATGTAAATCTTAAATGAAATACAAACCAAACTTTTTACTCCTACAAATGTGTGTGTTCGGCCTGACATGGAGGTGTAAAGGTCAGTATAATATGCTTGACAGGTGAGAAAGTAAATTTATAATGAGATAATTTAATGTATTTCAAAGAAGTAAATTTTTGAACTGAAAATTTCATTAAGGCCATTAAAATATTTTTTATTTGTTTTTATGAGAAGAAAGGTTGTCTCCCTTGGGAGGCTTTTCGGTAATTTTTAATATGATATAGCTGATATACCTATTTAACTCACTTGTATTACAGTTTCTGAGTTCCCTGGTACATTACCTCCCCAGCCAAACATGCCACAAGCTCCTCCTCCTCACCACTTTGTCTATGTAAGTATGACATCATGATAGACTCCATATATATGTAAACATCTGAATCCAGGATCTTTTTGTTTTTTTACATACGTCTACATTGTGTTCGCAAACGTGCATTAATCAAGTATGTCTTGAGCTGGTATTCCTCTCTTGGTGTGTATTTATTTCCATTGATAACTTGTTGGTTTGTTTGAAGTTTTATCATTTTGAATAAGTTGAACAGGGCTGGAAAAATGATTGGAAACTTTTTTTTACTGAACTGTATCAACCATTGGTTATCGTCCATTCTTATGTTAGCCTGTACCCATTGCTTATTGATCAACTTCTAATCACTCAACAGGAAACATCAAAATGTCCAGTTTCTATGGTTACATATACATAATGATTGTAAGTTTGTTTTAACAATTAACATATAATTTTATGTACAAAGAAAATTTATTGTGGTTTTATGATTGCCAAAAAGCTTCTTAGTATATGGTTGTTAATTGTTAGGTAAAATACAGGTAAAGTGTGTGTTAATTATTAGGTAAATTACAGGTAAAGTGTGTGTTAATTATTAGGTAAATTACAGGTAAATTGTGTATTACTTCTTAGGTAAAATACAGGTAAAGTGTGTGTTAATTATTAGGTAAAATACAGGTAAAGTGTGTATTACTTCTTAGGTAAAATACAGGTTAAGTGTGTGTTAATTATTAGGTAAAATACAGGTAAAGTGTGTATTACTTCTTAGGTAAAATACAGGTTAATTGTGTATTAATTATTAGGTAAAATACAGGTAAATTGTGTATTACTTCTTAGGTAAAATACAGGTAAAGTGTGTATTACTTATTAGGTAAAATACAGATAAAGTGTGCATTACTTATTAGGTAAAATACAGGTAAAGTGTGTATTACTTATTAGGTAAAATACAGGTAAAGTGTGCATTACTTATTAGGTAAAATACAGGTAAAGTGTGTGTTAATTATTAGGTAAAATACAGGTAAAGTGTGCATTACTTATTAGGTAAAATACAGGTAAAGTGTGTGTTAATTATTAGGTAAATTACAGGTAAAGTGTGTGTTAATTATTAGGTAAAATACAGGTAAAGTGTGCATTAGGTAAAATACAGGTAAAGTGTGCATTACTTATTAGGTAAAATACAGGTAAAGTGTGTATTACTTATTAGGTAAAATACAGGTAAAGTGTGCATTACTTATTAGGTAAAATACAGGTAAAGTGTGCATTACTTATTAGGTAAAATACAGGTAAAGTGTGTGTTAATTATTAGGTAAAATACAGGTAAAGTGTGTGTTAATTATTAGGTAAAATACAGGTAAAGTGTGTATCACTTCTTAGGTAAAATACAGATAAAGTGTGTATTACTTATTAGGTAAAATACAGGTAAAGTGTGTATTACTTATTAGGTAAAATACAGGTAAAGTGTGTGTTACTTATTAGGTAAAATACAGATAAAGTGTGTATTACTTATTAGGTAAAATACAGATAAAGTGTATATTACTTATTAGGTAAAATACAGGTAAAGTGTGTGTTAATTATTAGGTAAAATACAGGTAAAGTGTGTATTACTTCTTAGGTAAAATACAGATAAAGTGTGTATTACTTATTAGGTAAAATACAGATAAAGTGTGTATTACTTATTAGGTAAAATACAGATAAAGTGTGTATTACTTCTTAGGTAAAATACAGGTAAAGTGTGTATTACTTATTAGGTAAAATACAGGTAAGGTGTGTATTACTTATTAGGTAAAATACAGGTAAGGTGTGTATTACTTATTAGGTAAAATACAGGTAAGGTGTGTATTACTTATTAGGTAAAATACAGATAAAGTGTGTATTACTTATTAGGTAAAATACAGGTAAAGTGTGTGTTAATTATTAGGTAAAATACAGGTAAGGTGTGTATTACTTATTAGGTAAAATACAGGTAAAGTGTGTATTACTTATTAGGTAAAATACAGGTAAAGTGTGTGTTACTTATTAGGTAAAATACAGGTAAATCTGTTTCATTATTTGATGAATTTTGTAGGCTAATTTAAGGAGTACGTTAAAAGGAGATGGAGGTAATATGTCTAACAGTTATTGTGATATTGATGTTGTAATATTTACAGACTCATTGCATATGGTCACCTAATGTAAGAATCTACGTTGAGTTCACCCTCTTACTCCTAATACCTAAGTGGTGATGGTATTATTATTCACGTAGCATTCTCCCGTCACTCAATCTGTCTGCCATGTTGCATGCCCTCCATTTAGAGGTGGATCCTGATTGTGTTGTGTCTGGCACTAGAAAACAAACCTTTTTTTTTATCACTACACAGTTTTATGATAATTTAGATTCTCTATTCCATGCATGGTACTGTGGAACAACCTTTATCATGAACATACAAAAATGATACCTTTTCTTTGAATAATGAATATTCATATGTAAGATTTCCTCCTATTCTGCATGAATATTCCCATAATATTTCTCCTCATCCATAATCATGAATATTCAATGAGACCAAAGTTAGTCATTTCAGCATGCATTTTTTTCTTCCTAATTCTCCAAGTTGTGTTTGATCAAAAGTTTAAATGATAAAATTTAAACAATCAAGTCTATCTACCATGATAAAAAGATTAGTTACCTGTTACCATTGTTGTGGGTACTATTACAGACCTTGCTTTTTTATACAGGTGTTATTTTCAGGAGGGGGGGGGGGGGGCAAATCATTTTATTTTCTGAGTAAAAATGATACTGCCTGAACACTTACAAATATTTAAAAGCAGAATTGAAACTGAAACTGAATTTCTTTATAATGTTCTAATTTTGGCATCACCATATCAATACCTGTCGCTAATCGTGAATTTTACTCGGTAAGACACAATTTTGAAAGGTGATGAGGAAGATATAGTTATAATTGGTCGTTTAAAAATACTTCTCTATATCATAAGTTGTAGTTCAACATGCTTAGAATATTTTGTAACCAATAGATGTACAGGCATCCCCAGAGTGACATGGTCTTTGTGTACATTAATAAGTTACACATCCTTCTGTCAGTCTTATCACCTGGGCTTACCCAAAGTGGCACTGATCACCTATTAAATAAGACAACACACAAATTCAGTAATTATTTTAAAAGTGATATCACATCAGGTGTTTTTCGTAATCAATACCAGGGGTTAAATCAATATGTTATGTACATACATGTTATTGAATAATTTCCTCAAAAAATGAATTATGGTGGTAAAAAAAATTTGTAGCACATCTTAATGTATTAATGTTGGAACCTGAATTAGTTGCTGAAATCTAAACAGTTTAGTCTGGAATATTTCATATATGTTCCATCTTTTGATGTTGCAGACAAATGGATTTAAGGGCTCCAAACCGTTACTATCACAACAGAGAGGTGGTGGAAGAGGAGGGTCCTCAACAGTTCTACGGCCAACAAACATCCGCTTCTAACATAAAGATTATGGATTTGCTGAAGTAGATACACTGTATGTGAAATTTTAAAATAGTATACATTATACACTACCAACAAAAGTGCTGCCTGTAATTAATGTAAACAGTTAGGGACACTGTTTTACATAAATATCACATCATGTATACTTTGTTGAAAATTTATGGTCAGGTCTGCAGTGAGGAGAAGAACAGAAAGCATATCAACAATTAATTAACAAATATGCATCACAAACATTTACTCCTAAATTGTAGAAACATGCTCTACCTACAAAGATATAGGAGGTATGAAGGCCTGTTGCATCCACAAATATATTCTTATATAGAATGTACTGTTGTGATTTGCTAAAGCTCCTACAGTGATGTAGTCCAGAGTTTTGTGGGAACATTGACTGTACTGTTGTGATTTGCTAAACCTCCTACAGTGATGTAGTCCAGAGTGGGGACTTTGACCTGAAACATGGTTGTATAATGTTATCAGTTATTTAACCATGTGTGCTTGAAAAAATGTTCTATGCAGAAAATATTATAGAATTGTGATTTGTTAAGGACATTATACGTTATATTAATTTCTATTTAGAAAAACCAATATGTCCTCGACAAGATGTAGTGGAAATTATCATTATGAGTATCTGCTGGCTGGAAGAGTGCAGCTTGAAATATTCTGTATATCATATATTCGGGTGTTTTTCCAAACAAAACTTTTTTTTTGCAGTCCAATTTTTTTTTTTCTTTTTAATTTTGTCACTGTTATGACAGATCATGATACAGTTGTAGTAATTCCAGGTCAGATATACTTACAGAAATCTATATACTATTACATATAATAAAGTTTTCACTATAGAGTTTAAGCAGTGAATTCTTTTAGATTTTTTCAGTATCTGAGTACATGTACTTAAAATGTTTTTGAATGTTTGAAAAAATGTACTTTGGTGCTGAAAAAATAATCAAAACAACAACTTTACATCAAACTTGAATTTGTCTTGGAGTCCTTTATAAATAAAAAAATCTATGAATGATTGCTCTAAAAAAATACCCTGCTATACAGTATGTTGAGAGCACTGCCCCTGCCAGTATGACAAACCGACCCAGAACTTATATGGTCTTAGATTTAGCAAGATCTGATCAGTGGTTTGAAATAGATTCCAAAGAACTTTTATCAAGTCCAGTAACAGCCTGAACGGAATCTGATGTCTCTGGGTATAAGCTTGTGTGCCAAATCTATAGATGTTTAGTGTAGGGGGTTATACCCTACTGAACACTATTATGGTGAACTTATGTTGTTGGAAATCAAGTGATGAAAAAATTACCTAGAGACAGGTAATTTGATAAATAAAGATAAAGAATATCGGAAATGGATTGTTAACCATTCTAGTTTCCACATTAAAACAGAAGGATCATAAAGGTAACTAGAATCTTGCTACCCTATCTGGGGATTCGATATTGTGGGAGTGATCTTGAATCTTGAGATTCGATATAGTGGGAGTGATCTTGAATCTTGGGATTCGATATAGTGGGAGTGATCTTGAATCTTGGGATTCGATATAGTGGGAGTGATCTTGAATCTTGGGATTCGATATAGTGGGAGTGATCTTGGAGTGATCTTGAATCTTGGGATTCGATATAGTGGGAGTGATCTTGAATCTTGAATCTTGGGATTCGATATAGTGGGAGTGATCTTGAATCTTGGGATTCGATATAGTGGGAGTGATCTTGAATCTTGGGATTCGATATAGTGGGAGTGATCTTGAATCTTGGGATTCGATATAGTGGGAGTGATCTTGAATCTTGGGATTCGATATAGTGGGAGTGATTTTGAATCTTGGGATTCAATATCTCTCAGCCAGAGTAACAATGAAAAATTACTACAATTTGTATTTTATAATCAAACTTCAGTGTAGATCAAAACTTGTCTTAGGATTTATATACCCACAGTTAATGGGCATTCATTACAAACTGTGGAACATTGTTGATGCCTAACGATGCCATATATATGTGCATGTAAATCTGTCCTGTGTTAAGTATATGTCAGTGGATTGCTATATGTAGGAAAACTGTCATGAAAGGAAGTCTGGTACATACAGATTTGTTTAAATCCTACACCAATTTTTTTATAAATAGATAATTCTTTAATTGCTTTTTGTCAGTTGTTGTTAAAAGAGGAAAACTTCTTTCTATTAGATTGAAATATTTGCATAAATATTTGATATGTAAATTAAGTATCTAAAATTCATAATTGTGTTGTTGAATGAAATACTTATAGTTTAACAAAGAGAATAATTTATGTATAGTTGCTTTACCTGGTATCTGATGAAAAAGGTATGAAATGTTAAAGGTTTAAGTAGGTTTTTGTTCAACATTCTTTCTGAAGAATTGTTAAATTGCACGTGATGTTTGGCCCTGTGGGTCCGATATTTATGTTACTATAAATTTACAATTTTTACGTTGTCTTTGTTTTACATTCCATGATATGATGTGATTAATTGGCTTTCATGACCATTATAAATGATTTTTAAATCTCACTGTTTATTTGACAAGATATCTGAGGTTCCATCAAGCGTATGTGATACATAACATGCTGTTGTTCATTAATCTATGGTACGATACATTTTATATATATTATATAACACACTTGCATTATGATTCCAGGGTTTTTCATGGTCTAGTGAGTTTGACTTAAAAATTAGAAAAAAAAACTATCACATTCAAATATCCTTACAGTCAGGTTTTTAAGGATTTTTTAAAATCTTTAATGCATTCAACATGAATGACACCCCCTCCCTCCCCATTTGTTTAAAAAAATAAACTGTTTTCAAAATTTCATTTCATTTTTCTTTAACTTTCATCAGATTTCATTCATTCTTTGCTCTTCAGATTTTTCACTCTAATTATCTTACCACAGGGTTTCAAAAATATTTTATGATTCTGGTTATTGTAGCTACTGGAAGGTTATATACCTCTATTATACAGTATTTAATAGGACAGTGATTGTTAAACATTACTCTACATACAGTTTATTTTCAGACAGTGACATTTTTATAGAGATCATAATTGCACTCATTCTGTGTTATAAGTAGTAAATGTTACTTGACACTAAGTTTTTACAGTTATTATCAGTTCACATATACAATTTATCTTGAAATATTGAAACTACCAAGGCCATCAAATAGAATTCATAACGTGCAGTGACTGCTCAGGCCAAAACTTTGTATAAAACATTTCACATTCACCAAATATATCTTTAAAAATCAATTTTTTGTAACTTATCATTAGAACTAGACAGAAGTATTACGCTGTAAAGATTTTTAGTCTAAAAAAAGTATATCTGTTCTTACCATATGTATTTCAGTAATTACAATGTTATTGCATTAGACTAGAAAAAATGTAAGATAAAGCTTTTAGGCAACAAACTAGCTGATGTTTTTTCTGCTTTCGATACAAGTTTTTGTTCATACCAAAGTGAAAACAATATGATAACATCTTAACATCATTTCATATTTAAATCTGTCGGATATTGACATGAAAAATTGTGAAAACAATTTGACTCCTAACTAAAGTTTTAAGGACTTCTATTGGTGGTTCTGTCTCATGATATTATCATTTTTGTTCGAATTCATTGGTAAAATTTATCACTGTTGTTTGATTGTCAATCTTGTTATTAATTTACTTTACACAGAGAGTAGAAGTCAAGCTCTACTGATATAATTACGAACTAGTTTGTTAGGTCAAGGTACCAGTGTTAATACGAGTCGGGTTAAGATGGAGAAACCATTGTGATTGGTCAGATATTACAGGTTGTCCTTACGTTGGTTTTGAGTAAAACCAGTATTCACTACTGAAGTATGAAATAGTTCAGGGAGAATAATGAAGTTGATGTGTTATGCATAATCCTCATTTTCACATATTTCATGTTTAATACTATGAAGATAACATCATATTGTACCATCTTTAGTTAATTCTGGATTATTTGAAAATTGGGGTTTGGATTGCCTTGTTTTCTCCCCTTCCCATAACACTATAATTTTAAACTGTTATGTCATCTGTCCTTAAGTCTACATATTATTATATCACTTCGTCACGATGTTAAATATCGACATTACCTCCTTACCTCTTTAATACCGCAATAATGCGGATATTAAGTTGCACAATTTTACTTGTGTTTATTGTATAAGTTTTTACCAAAAACATGTGTCCCTTATCATATTAAATGATTATTTTCCAACACTTATGAAAAATATTGGAATTTCAACGGAACTGTAGCATATATTTTGAAATAAGAATGTTATCACTGAATTTACCATTAAAGTTACTATGAACAATAAAAGCCTTTTCAATGAAAAATTCAAAATTTGGAATCACAAGTTGTCAGGGCCTTTGACGATTTCTTGTTTCGGATCTTCAGAACCCATAGCTCTAAATTGTTAATAAAATACAATGTTTATCTTCCTAACATATTTTACTCCTTGAAATTTTCAAAAAACGGAATCTTAATTGTGGTCCTATTTTCCTAAACATCTCCTGACTGTTTGTATTGTCCAGATATTAGCTGTGTTGATCTATCATTTCCATTTTAACAGCAGCAAATTAAAACTTAATCATTAATTCTCATAATCAACTTTTGCGTAAAACTAGTCTAAATGTATTTTACCATTAACTTGTCACAAAGTATTTCCTTGTTAAAACATAATTTGTGTAACCTATTACCCCTTTAAATTTTTCTTAGTTATTTGTTGTGTAAAGCCGTCCACTAAGTTTTTCTGTTTCAGTATTTAAGATCCATCCATTTTAAAGTATACATGTTTGGTGTAGTCCCTTGAAGCACAAATTGTCTTTCATTGGCTTGTATAGAAAGTAAAATAAATAATGAAAATACTGTATTTATTCTAATGAATGACATAAAAGAGTAAAAAATTTTTCTTTGTCACGAGGGCGTTTATTAGACTAAATATGGTGAAGATATTTAGTGCTTTACATTGCACTTCATGTTTTACTGAAATTAATTTATTGTTACTTTATTTAATTGCTACTGATAATAGTACCAGGCAAATATTTATTTTACAAAATAAAAATAATAGCATACTAAATGGATGTTTTATTATTTTTATTCCATGCTCTCAACAAAAATAAGTGTCTTTAATAAACATACATAGTATTTTTACTTGTTCTCAAAATAGCCAAACATACATTTCAATGTTCTTAAATGGACACTAATCATTGATCAGGTGGTTGGGTGGCGTAGTGGTAACACACTCACCTTTCACCTAAACATCTGGGGTTTGATTCTCGCAACGGATGTGAAAAGGTATGGGGTCCTGTCCAAGCGGGTTTTCAGTCTCCAAAATCAACAACACAACAGATTTGACTTTGAGTAAATTTATTTGAGCTAATATTTTGTGATACCTGTACCAGATGATATATTTTGTGAGTGATGTACCATCCTGGTGAAATCTGTGAAACAGTTTCCTGTTTTGAAGAGAACCTGTCAATACACCTGGTACAGGTAACAATTACCTGAAGATGTCTGAATCTACCCAACACAGTACTGTACTAGTATGTACCTGTATATATCCTAAAGGTATGCAATTCTTTTTATATATGGGAGGTACCTTTTGCATGCTACAAGTATCTGGTCAAGAGCGCTGTTTGTGTTTTCTTTCTCAAAAATGTGCTAGAAAGTGAGATGCACTAACAGTTTGAACTGTTGTACTCATAAGAACATCTGGGTATTCAGTTTGACATTACTGTGATCAGTACATGTGCCATGTCTAACATGCAACAAGATTCAAAGTACATTTCATTACAAATGGACAATCTTCTAGCTAGGGCGATATGGAATTACTTCAATTTGTTTACTGCTTGAAAAGTCCTGAACAGTATGCAGGTAGTTATTCAGTCTGCTTGAGTCAACATTGTGAGCTATTAACTTTTGAAACTTGCTGAAAGGATCCCTTGTCCAGATCATCCTGTAAAATTTTGTTACAGTGCCACTATCTGTCTAATTAAACCTATACATATAATGCCATAATTCTCAGTTACTGTAGAATAATTAATTTTTGTGAGGAATTTATTTTTCGTTGAATTTGTGGGTACTCTAAATACAGGAATTTATAGGTCCTCGAAAATGATAAACAGATAAATGTTGACTTCGATTATAAGATGAGTTAATTTTGTGATCAAGATTTATCAGCAAAATCAACGGCCAAGGAAAATGAATATTTTAAAAAAACCACGAAATTTTAGCCCCACAAAAATATTATTTTAAAGTATTGACTATCTTTTATCACAGTTTGCTTCAAATCTTACTTTACTTCACCACAATAAAGTATGGCCATCCATTCCCCTCTCATCATACGTTCAACTCACATCTTCATACACTCCTGATACATCATCAAACACTCCTCATACATCATCAAACACTCCTCATACGTCATCAAACACTCCTCATACATCATCAAACACTCCTGATACATTGTACATTAACTTATCATCATAATTAAACAACCCCACATTTGCGTGTATGATCATTCATTGTTTCACAGACAACTTCCACTCAATTTGATATACATTAATACACACTAACTATACTATTTGTATAACTTGTATAAATAAATATCCTGATAACATAAAAATATAACAGCTTACGCTGTTAAAAAAAAAATATAACAGCTTACGCTGTTAAAAAAAAAATATAACAGCTTACGCTGTTAAAAAAAAAATATAACAGCTTACGCTGTTAAAAAAAATATATAACAGCTTACGCTGTTAAAAAAAATATATAACAGCTTACGCTGTTAAAAAAAATATATAACAGCTTACGCTGTTAAAAAAAATATATAACAGCTTACGCTGTTAGAAAGAAATAATAAAACATTCTACACTGAACTGTGTTGAATAACTGGGTACAATAATAATAATTTGGCTTGCATTGAACCAAGTTTGTCAATCTCTACAAGAGTTGCTGTTCCTTATCCTCTGTCAACGGCTCATGGCCTACCAATTAGCTGACCTCGCAATCAGGGTCAAAATTTGATGTCTGGCAAAATATGGCAGCATCCCTGACTATATCAATAAAGGAAAAACCTGTAGACTGTTTTTTTTATGTCATTGATCAGTGTTTACAATAACGTTTGTGCTTTTGGGGAATAAATGAGCCGACATTGCAGCAAAACCACTATCAGTTTTCACTGATGTCACAGTATATGAACATGTATCTCGAGATGAAATACCAAATGAGCGAACTTTAATTTCAAAATGCAAACAAAACAGAAAAAAAAAAAAAACTTTTTTGATACAAGCATGTTTTTCTAAGAATCTTGAAATAGCATAAGCCATTAACAGAGGTGTTATGTAAGGTACTGCAATGCATTCTGGGGGAGATTGCAAGCCTGTAGTGCTGCCTGAGCACAACTGTTGACACGAATGGCTTCATTTCAAGTCAACGTAAATTTCTTTATCCATTCACAAAGAAAAAAGTATTATATTTTAATGTGACTGCTTGGAGGGGTTGAGATTTGAAATCATTAAAATATGAAGCATTCTTCATTGAATTGTATATTATGAATTTGAATATACCTTTCTTTGAGCGATGAATGCTTTCAACAATTGTGCCCTGACTGACATTTATGTACATATTTAGTGTACTTTTGAATTCCTCCTTACAAGACAGGACAAAGATTAATCTATCCGTACTATATGAATCAGGACTTGTATACGATGAACTTGATAAATACCCATGATTCATGTATCCGTAATTCCTCACTTGGTAATGGTGTTACTTTATACCTATCAAGCCTCGACTATCAAGCCTCCACTAACACCAATAAGTTGAATGTTAGGAGGCACTAGCACTGATTGGTATTACTACACCCTGTCTCTGTAAAACCCGTAACACTTCCAATATTGCATCCAATTCTGTTCGAAATTTAAGAATTTCTTTATTTTTAGCTTCAACAATTTTTCGCCATTTTTGTACTTCTTGTTCTAACTCAACACTAGCCACTTGTTTAGCATTTCTAATCACTTCCTGTAACTCTTTTTCGCGCTGTTCGTGGCGTTGCTCCATGTGAACAATCTTCTCGTGGATGGAATCAAAATGTTTCATTTCCTGTAAAAGTAATCACAAAATAAAAAACAGTTTCCACAAACATTTTTAAAATCAGTCCTACATTATTAATATTTAAAACATTCAAATTTACTAATACATTACATGGGAGAGATTTGATCAGACACTTTTTTTAATACAGTTGTATTGTGTATCACAGTGAAATTGAAAAGTCTGAACGTTAAAAGTGGTTTTATAAAGATAAATATAAAAATTAATATACATAAATGAAGTCTGGATATTGGGCACTATGATATGCTTTACATGGTTGTACACTCACTGGAGTTTGACATAGTTTAGCCTCCTTCAGACATTCTTGAAGTTTTTCCACCTGTGTTTTCAATCCTGCCTCTCGGATCTTCAGGATGGAAACCTGTTCACTATCTAGCTCAGCCTTCACCAGTTTCTCTTTCAGATGACGCACCAGCACCTTCAATCATCAAGATATATTCATTATCACTTCAGATGCCACTGAGTTTCTCATAAATTCCAAGATAAATTAATTCTTTTGGCGCAAAATATCTCTCACAATGTACAGCTCAGCATCAAATATTTTCTTGAAAAGGTAAAAACTATGAGATAAAATAATGGCAGCATTACTGAAACAAGCATATCTTGGCTAATAATAAAGATATTAACTTGTCGACCAAAGTCGCCTACGGCGGCCTGTCTGCATGTCGACTTTAGTCGCCTACAGTGCCGAAAGGGTTAAAGTCACATAAAATGTAAGGCACAAATTTCCTGTCAGACATAACTTCCCTCATTCCTATGCTTTTAAGTATCATTGTCTTGATAAACTTGAAGAGGTTATGAAACTATGAGATAAATATAAAGATAATCTGTTCAATTATTCTGTAGATATGGTGTGACAGGATGGAATGGGAGGGACATTACCAATACTATATGCACTAATATGGCAGGGACATGATAAACATGAATTTATATCTAATGATTAGAGTAAAATTTTCAAAAGATGAAACAAATATTTCATTGTTTTCTTACCTCGTGTGCATCAACTTTACTCTGAAGTTCTGCCATGCGTGAAGTAGAATGGTTAAGGGCTTGGTCAGCAAGCATTTTCCTGAACTCTTTTTGATGGGAAGATCTCAGAACATTTATCTGTGAAGTTAATATCTATGTTTTAAAACAATATCCTAAAAAACATAAAGATCTAATACCTCGATTCCTGAAGTAATCTCCTGTAACTTCATTGCTTTTACAAAACATCATGATTATATTCACATTATTTTTCTCGTTACTAGAAACTGTAGACTTACCCTCTCCTCAAAGTCCTCACGACTCTTTCTAGCCACAGCTTCAGATTCAGCCTGCAGTTTACGAAGTTCTAAGCGTTGCTCATCATAGGCTAACTGTATTTGTTCAACCTGTTAACAGAGAAATCACCAATGATAACGGATCATTTTTAATTTGCCTGACACCAAAGTACACATTCTTAACTTAGACTGAGGTACTCATTCTCCTGTACTGTGTAACACTGTACTCACCTTAGACCTGAGGTACTCATTCTCCTGTACTGTGTAATGCTGTACTCACCTCAGACCAGAGGTACTCATTCTCCTGTACTGTGTAACACTGTACTCACCTCAGACCAGAGGTACTCATTCTCCTGTACTGTGTAATACTGTACTCACCTTAGACTGAGGTACTCATTCTCCTGTACTGTGTAACACTGTACTCACCTCAGACCAGAGGTACTCATTCTCCTGTACTGTGTAATGCTGTACTCACCTCAGACCAGAGGTACTCATTCTCCTGTACTGTGTAATGCTGTACTCACCTCAGACCTGAGGTACTCATTCTCCTGTACTGTGTAATGCTGTACTCACCTTAGACCGGAGGTACTCATTCTCCTGTATTGTGTCTGTGATCTGGCTATCAGCAAAGCTGTTAGGTTGGTATTGTTTGTCTCTGTTGACACGATCAGTCAGTGATAAAGCCTCTTCTTCCTCCCACGCCTGTTTACCCTTTCTGTTCTTGTCTGCTTGAATGATACACAAGTGTAAACTGGAGTGAAATGTCGTTATCATCACAAAAAGTTTTATCAAGAAGTTTTTATCAATTTTAAACCAAAAGTCACCTAGCACAGTACATGTATCTTCAGTTGAAATAATGTAGTTTTCAAACTATACTAAATGAAGTTGTTTTATTATTTCATCTCTGACATAATGAACATAAACCATGGAAAGAATGTGTTTCAAAGGTTTCACATATTTTAAAACCTGTGAAATTGAAAGTAGGTTAAGGCAAATCATTCCTGAATCCTACAGGTCCAATATAATGAAATTGTTTATTAACACATATGTCCCCTCTAATCCTGAAAGTGGGTCAAAAGCATTCATTTGGGCAAACTTTATAGCCATTTCATCCATGCATGCTAGAAGTCTGATATCAGCATCTTGGACATTGAGGAGTTGTATGGAGATTTTAAAACATTTGACCCCTTTGACCTTGAAAAGGGGTTAAGGTCATTCATTCAAGCAAACTTGTTAGCCTTCTATATATGCATGATAGAGGACCAATGTCAGTGCCCTGTACTTCTTGGATATTAAGAAGATTTGGTAATATTTCACCCCTAGGACCAAGAAAAATCGGTCCAGCTAATTCATTTCATCAACTTAGCAGCCCTAAATTCCAGCATTATACAGGTCCAATATCAGTACACATGGCCTCTTTGTAGTTAAGAAGTAGCTCACATTTGACCCCTGTGACCTTGAAAATGGATCTAGTTCATTCATCTGAACAAACTTTGTAGTTAATCTAGCTTGTGGCAGACACATATTGGTAACCTACTGCATAAAGGCCTTTTGGTTACTGAGAAGAACTTGTTATAAAGGAAACATAGATGCTGAACAGATGATAAGTGTCACATCATGTTATAAGTTCACTTACTCTTTGGCCTGGTGTGCCATCAACTTATATTATCGCTATGCCTCAGGAACATGCCATAATCTTAAATAACGATCATTATAGTGACATAAAACTTCCCCGTCTTTCCATTCATGATGTACTTGAAAGAGAAACCTTTAATCATATTAAGTCACATTGAACATCTGTGAGTTAATTATTCAGATTTTCAGCTAGCATTTTTTCCTTTCTCTTTGACTACTGTTTGCTCTGAAAGTCTATAAGTGGCTCTTGTATTGGTTCTTATTAGTTACACATACTACTAATGGAACTTGTTACCTAAATTCTATACTTACTTTTTAACATTTGTTGATTCATCAAATGACTTCAGAAATCTGGATATACACATGAAGTCATTGATTCATCAACTGACTTCAGCAATCTGAGTATACACATGAAGTCATTGATTCATCACATGACTTCAGCAATCTGAGTATACACATGAAGTCATTGATTCATCACATGACTTCAGCAATCTGAGTATACACATGAAGTCATTGATTCATCACATGACTTCAGCAATCGGAGTATACACATGAAGTCAAACAATAAAACCTTTTTCATGATGACGACTCTGCATCCTTAAAACCTACCTTTTGGTCCAGGGGAACCTGAAACTGGCAATTTTTTCTCTTTACGTAGCCTGTCCACTGTCTTCATTGCCACAGTAAGGTCATGTGACTTACTGTCAAGGTCCTGCTGTAATTTCTGAATCTGAGCTTTGTACTCTGTCTCTTTATTTTTGGACAGACTCTGCTCATTTTTCAAGGAAGCTTTAATTGAAAAATAAACATTTATTTAATAAAACTGAGACAGTAGGAAGTGAAAAAGCAAGTAATTGTTAAATCACACGCTGAAAGACCCTTATTATCTTTATACAATGCATTCATCATTAAAAACTTTTCCAGAAAATGTTTCAAGATTTTTGTTTTAAAGGAAGAGAATCAGAATAATACTTTCAAAATCAAAATCAATCCAAATCCTATGATCAAATATGTGCAGTGGAAGCATTTCAAGTAATTTCAACAATTTTTAATTTCAACACATTAAATGAAATGCATTCAACCAGACTAGCTGTTATGATAAAGCATACAACAAATGTCCAGCCTGAGGCAAAAACAAACCGTTTTCATAACTTAAGTCAGTCACTTGATTTATACGAGACTTTGTAAAAATCATTTGTCTATCATAAATTCATCAATACCTTCCTGTCCTTTTGTGACCTTGGCAATCTCAGCATTGAGTCGGCTGACTTCCTCTGTCAGCTCTGTGATTTTAGCCTTGTATCTATCCCGAACACTATCCAACTCCTTCTGTAGGGCGACAGCATGTGTGTGTGGGTGCTCGTAATCCTTCAGGGCATTGTCCTCTGGACGAACATATATAGCCAACTGTGCCTCCAAATCACGTATGCGTTCCTCGTACTGAACCTATCAAAAATGATTTCTCAATATTATAAAACAATACTGATTAACTAACCTATCTCTTCACTAAAATATTCACAGTGACAATGAATTTTCTGAAATTGTTTTATTTTCTAAACACATAGTCAGTGCCACCATAGTTCATTTGGTAAGTATGTTGGGCTACGTAATCTAAGGTTAAGATCCAAAATGTGTGGTTCATTGCTCACAATCCATGGTGGATTGTGTTTCTCAGAAATCTGAGCAACTGACCAGTCTGTGCTTACATGGTTGTGTCCTCAGGCAAGACATTTTACCCTAATTACTTTAAACAAAGGAAAATGAATGAAAACGCCTATTAGTTATTGTCCAGTGAGGTAGCCATTTGCTACTACAAGCTGACTCCACTTCAAATTGACCCTGGCTGATCCTGGGGCAATAAATCCAACAAATAAATACCATGGTTACATCTCAGTTACAATAGTGAAGTACACTATTTTCAGAACCCTGTAGACTGCTTTACTACCCAGTTTAAGCCATGTGCCTCACCTTGATGTTGAGATATTTCTGCTCCACACTACGTAGCATCTTCTCTGCCTCTATGTCCTTGCCCTCCAATTCCAGCTCCAGTTTCTTAACACGACTCTCTAAGACACCCATTGTGGGTGTCTTTGTCGCTGGCTGATCATCAGGAGCAACAGCAGCAGTCATTATCAGAGCAGGAAGGGAGTTGGGATGGCGCCGTCGAATTATGCCTTCCATTTCTTTGACCTATTTTGGAGAACAAAGTAAATATTACGGTCATCAATGTATATTTTTATTCTACCACTTTCTCCTACAAAGTTTTAATTATTTTTGCTACCTTCCATACCAGTGGCTGGCTGATTTAGTGACTAAAATCTAATAATTCTAATTATTACTTGAACATTTAAAAAAAATATGGGTGTAAATTTCATTATTAAAATCAGTATTTACCTGTCATAAAAGAAATTTTAGTTTGGAACTCTTTTGAAAGGAGTTACATTTCTCACCTGTCTTTGTAGATCTTGGATTCTTTTTGCATCATTGGCTCGCTCCTTAGCTCTCACCTTGTTGTCCTCTAGTCGCCTTCCTGTCTGTAAGTAACAGATTCAAATTTCATTTTATAATCATTGGTTACAGTTAACTCTGCTAACAAAATAATTTGCCCATTCTGCCAGCAGTCATTAAAATTGAATGGAATCAAAAGGGTTTTATTTTCATATTAAAAAGAGGCTGGAAGTAACATGAAATATTATCATAACTTTTTTGTACCTTAAGGATTACAGGCTAAAATCAGAGCCGACACACGGCAGTGCTAACTAGTATAACATTCATTTGATATGAGACATTCAATAGTCTAAGGAAAATTCACAGTTTACTGTAAACACTAATTATTTCTATACCAGAAAGCAATACTAACTAAACACAACTGCAAATAAAAACAGTGTTATTACTTCTGATGTTAAATGTTCAATCCGTAGTTTGTGTTTGGCTATTTCCTCTTCCTGCTCTTTTAAACGTTTTGCATCCGAGTCCAATAGTTTTTGGTTTTCAGCATACCATTTAAGCTTTCTGGTGAGTCGGTCATTTTCTGATTTAAATTTATCTTCGATGACCTACAAAAAATTAAAGTCAGCATCAAAACATCACCAATCTTTTATCCAGCTTGTCAAATTTTCACACCAACAAATATAATTAATATAACTACATCTGGAAAATTCATCTTTTGACAGTTAGTAAGCATCATTTAGGGATTGGTTTATCTAAAAGTATCTGAAGTTTAGCTGCTTACTATAAAGAGGGTTTAATTATTGCATGTAGTCAATGGATAAACTCATATTTAGCTTCTTAATGTAAAGAGTTAACAAGAATAATCTTAGATAGGTTTAAAAAACAATCTAAGCCAAAGATAATTAGCATGATCCCCTTCTTAAAAAAACACTTGGATGACTCAGAAAACTTTTAAACTGATTAGCACTGTTGGCGACCTCTTGTTAGATAATATCTGTTCATGGCCTTCAAAATCATGGGTGACAGGATGTTTGAAAGGGTCATCAGGTATAAAAACCTTATAATCTGTAAGTATTTAGATGTTGTTCTATTTCATGTTTAAACATATTTTGACTATTTTAGATCTAAAAATTGAATCTTAAATATTGATCAAAGGTAAAAAAAAATTTGTTTTAACAATTTCCACATTCTGACCAGGTCATAATGTGGTTAATATCACAAAATCAGGTGAGTCGGTGACACTTAGTAGCTATGACTTATCTTGACTCTCTGACTGTAATATTATTTATTTTGTTTTCACTCCCTGTGACTAACCCCCATTAATGAGTAATTTAGGCTCCCTATAAAATTAGTAAGTTTGACTATCCTGACTCTGTGGCTAATTATGTAAAGATTCCTTCATCATGATCTCTTTCTGTCTCCACAATGCAACCTTTACCCACCCTGGCTTCTTCTGATTTAAGTGACTTGGCCTCAGCAACCTTCTGTCTCAATGACTCACGTTCCTTGATCAACTGGTCAATGTGTTGCTCCAGCTCAATCTTACTCCGTTGTAAAACTTCTAGTTCGCGATTAGAGTTGTCTTGCAGACGCTGTTGGTGAAAGACAATAATTGTCATTGTATCTTACAAGCAAAGTCCAGAACTACAGCTGAATTTTTTCCTCTCACACAACATGACGACAAATATTCTTAAATTGTTGGAACATTCCTAATGTATTGAAAATTCTAAATGTTTTTACTGACTGTGCCTTATAACATAAATTGGTACAATGTAGGTATATATCACATATTACATATATTGTGCTGTGAAAAACCACTAAAGTTCATTAAGGCAACCATTTAGAGCTATGACACTATCACCACCTATCCTTATTTTGTGCTGACAATTGCCAGATAAAGAGATTTCTCCTACCTTTGCCTCCCTAAGTTCAGCTGTAAGCTGGGCTATCCTGCCTGCCCCTAAAGCTGATGCCGTGTCACCTTTAGCTATATTCTGTTGGACAGGTAAACTCGTTATAATACCTTTGCTTCTCACTTCATCTTCCTTTCTCTCCAGCTTAGTCCTGAATAAGTGTTACAGTTTACTAGGTCAGTACTTTACTCATCATGCACTGGTACATATTACATATTTATACAATACTTATCAAGTTACTTATAGTAAGTGCTATAATATTTTTCATTCTTAAAGCTCATGGAATATTTTTTTTTTTAAATATCAAGTATCATTTTACCTGACAACTTGTATGAAATGATTTTTATCATCATGTAATTATAGAGAAAAGCCAGTTTTTCTTTAGGTATAGGTTATGGAAACACATAATATGAATTGGCATGTTGAATATCCAATAATTTAAGCAACTGTCTGCTTGTCAAGCATCTTTATGAAAATCTAACGACATGTTTTGCAAATAAGTTCTATGTACAGTTTGTTTTCTTAAAAACATTCAGACTCAATACAACTAAACTTATCAACCTAAATCAGATGCTGTCTCAAGGTTATTGTTGACTGTTTAATTTTCAGTTTCCAAATATTGAACCTTCATTACATGTAGGCAGCAACAACTACTAAACATGACAACTTCTAATAATTAAGCTGAACAGCATTTTCAATAAAAAACTCAATGTCATGAAAATTAACTTTTTTGTATAAATAACTAAATAGTCAAGTACACACTTTAGGTTGGTAATCTCTGTGGCCATTTTCTGGTTCTCTGTGAACATTCTGTCCTCTGTGACCTTGACCTGTTTCTGTTGATCTTTGAGCTGTTCGTACAATCGTTTGTTTTCCTGCTGGTATCCAGCAATCAGTTTCTCCTGTTCCTGGATTTCACGGTCAAGTTTCTCCATTTGGTCTGGACTAACCTCTCCTTTCCTATCTGTGAGACGTTTCTGTATCTCGGACTGTGAGTCAGGTACCTGTTTGTTGTTACAAATTTCCCTACCATTAGTTGTGTTACACTGATCATACCAATCATGAACTCCATCTTAAATAATACAACTTATAAACCAGTATTTCAATATGTTTTAAGGTATCATTATTTCTTTATAATTAGATCAATAGACCATTTGAATTTTTTTATATAACCATGAGAAAATATTTGGTGATTCATGTTTATAGTCTCTTATCAACCCAAAGAACTGGGATATAAAACACTTGTAATGTCATACATTTCAAATGGAAGTAAACTTTTCATTCCTACATCAATGAAAAGCTCCACTTTACTCTGAGAAAAGCCACAATTAGAAATGATGTTGCTTTATGTACAGTTTCAGCTTTTCATCCATAATGGTAGAAGACAAGATGACTCCAGAATCTCTATAATAGGAGAAATTACCTTGGCAGCCAGTACATAGACTTCCTGTTTGAGCTTGAAAATCTGATCTTCAAATTCTAGTTTCTGACTCTCCAGCATCCGGTCATATTCCTTCTCCATTGACAGCATGTCAGCTGTTAAAAGAACATCACATGATCAAAAGGTCACATGTTACATCACATGATTAAATCTGTCTGTACATCACATGATCAATACTGTACCACATATATATGCCTGAAAAATACGATGCTTTTCCTGACATCAAGGTGAATTCACTGAGCTTCACTGCGTCGACAAAGCAATGATTAATTAACTATTTATACTGTCATCCTATCATTCACTGCTTATAGGTACTTCTTAAAACTGATAATACTTTTGAAATATATAATTACAGTATATTACAAACCTTTGATCTTCATATTGAGTGCTTTCTCTTCTTCATATAACTTCTGCCAGTCCTGATCAGTCCCTTCTTGCTGAACTGACATCCGATCATTGGTCTTGTCACCACGCCAACTGGTGGCCAGGGAGGGCTCATCCTCAGAGTACTTAGCCTGCAGTACACAAGCATTATGTTTATCATGTCATTTGAAATTAACTATGTCATGCTCTATTTGTTATGAATTGCCACACCTAAATATTTCTGAATGAACTCAACTTTTTCTTGTACTGACACGTAAAATACTGTTCAGAAATACCCGGCTTTGCTATGTCGAGACATAAGTGTTTTAGATACACATATTGTACTGTTAATGTCACATTTCTCATAAGGACACATTTCTGACATAACCACATTTTTCACAGAGAAAAGACATAATGCAGACTGTAATAAAGTTGAAGAGGATTACCTGAGGCATATCTGATTCTGTAAAATGGTCCTTGATATACTGAGCGAAAGAATCAACTGATGCCTTCAGCTGTGTCTCCATCACATTGTGACCGTTCCTCTCCTTACGAAACACTGGTGAATCACTCCCTAGATACCAACATGACATTTCACAGTGTAATTTACACAACAATTAATGGTTCTGAAATTAACTGTGGAACAAATGTATAAAATAATCTATGATATTTCAAGGTTTAACAGACACAAGGTTCAGAAGGCATAAGGATGATGATGAACTTCACTACTACTACTCACAAGGTTTCTGATGTTAATAGACCAGCCACATTTCAAGATTAAAATTGCTTAAACAACATGATGAAAATATGATTCCATAATTCAAACATCAAATCTACCTTTAATTTTTTGTTTGGTGACCTCTGCTGGTGACCATGTCTGGGCCTGTTGTTTACGAGATGACTGGTGTTTGAAATTCTTGGATTTACTTTTGTCCTTTTTCTTTTCCTTCTTTACTGGAGCATTCTGATTTGTATTGGATAAATCTTCCTGCCCTGGACCTGGGGCAGAGCCCTGCGCATTCTCCTCCCTAGGATAGGGATCTCGGGCACTGTGCGGACGGCTACTATTACCCTTAGGAGATGATTTTTGGCCGTATCCTGAACTTTTCACATGTGAGAACTTTTTGGTTGAATTCAGACCTAAAGAAAAAAGCAGTGCTAGTAAAGTTTGCATCGTAATAAAAGTTTTGGTAGATGAATCTGTCAACATGAACATTTTAATATTTTACAGTTGGAGCTATTTTCATATTTTCCCTTAGGTTCAATATCAACATGTTTTCCAGCGTTATCAATATTTGATAAACAGATGAGGACATTTCAAGAAATCTATTCTTTCTCTAGATACACAAGATCACATACAATGCACTATTTATAAAATAACATCTGAAGAAAACAAAATCAGAATTATGACTGTATCACAATTTACCACTTTGATTATTATTGTGTTTGTGTAAAAATTCACAAAATAAATCCAACGTCAGCAGTACCTACCTGTTTTTGTAGGCGAAAGTGACCTTGACCTTGGATCCTCTTTACTAAGTGACCTTGGTGACATCCATCGCCTTGGTGATGCTGATGGTGACCTTGACTGACTACCCCTGAGTGATGACCTAGGTGAAGGTCGACGTCTTGGCGAAACCTGAGTAGAAGGTTTATCTTTCGGCTTTTCTGTTTTAGTCTTTTTTTTCTTTTGACGTCCTCTTTCCATAATAGACTATAAGAGAGCAACAATAAAAGTTAAAAACGTGATCAACAGTTATCTCCCCTTGAAATATTATATCATCTGGTAAGCATATCATGAATGTAGACTATCAAAGGAACATGACTATTATGAAAATGACAAATGTGGTGATTATCTCTTTTTTGTTTTATAATTGACGGCCAATAAGAAGTTAAAAACATTTTGTTACGTTGCAAACTTCTACTTAATCATCTTAACACATTTAACAATGATGTCATCAATTGTACAATTTGTTATTACTGAACACATACACATCACAACTGAGGTACTTTAATTTTTTTCATTGATTGTATCCAATAACGATTAAGGTATGTTATTTAACTAGCAAAACACATACCTACATATAGGTGTTTTCTTATATTGATTTTTCTTATGTTGTACTTTAAAAAATGTTTCTTTAAAGTTTAATTATATATATATCAACCCTGCAAGTAAATATTTATCAAATAACTCCATCTTTACCTTTCAATTTCAAGGTACATAATAATGCAATTCCATGCAAGTGAAGCACTATAATGGTTAGTTTTCTATCATAAAAATACCAAGACATTGTTTCATAATCAAACACAAACCTATGATGAATTTCTTTCAGCATGTTTTATAACTAAGTGAGAACAGTATATCTAGATTATTAGAATGCAATTAAAAAATATCACAAGGATATTACTTTATTTGATGTGATAGCAGTGAACACATTGAAATCCATAACAAACACAACAATCAATTTTATAGTTCATGGAGTGCTGATTGATGTGAACAAACAAATCATGTTATTTTCCTACTTCTACCCTTTATAAAAAAAAGCTTTTGTTTTAAGCACTATGCAAATGTTACTAGTATTGCCAAAAGGAGCAAAGGTCATCAAGACTGCATATGAGAGGGACAAAAGGGGAAACGCCAAACCAAGGAATCAGTGTCTATGAGAGGGACAAAAGGGGGTAATGCTACACCTTGGAATCAGTAGGATATCAGTCTAGGTTCTGCCTATGAGAGGTACAAAAGGGGGTAATGCTACACCTTGGAATCAGCAGGATATTAGTCCAGGTTCTGCCTATGAGAGGTACAAAAGGGGGTAATGCTATACCTTGGAATCAGCAGGATATTAGTCTAGGTTCTGCCTATGAGAGGGACAAAAGGGGGTAATGCTACACCCTGGAATCAGCAGGATATTAGTAAAGATTCTTTCTTGTATTTTCCTTTTAAAATATTATTATTTAACATGGTTGGTCACTGTTTTCTGTCTACATGACTTTTCATATCACTTGGCATTCTCTCACAGACAATCCACCAGTATTTTGGCGTCATGTATGATCATTTAAATTATATGCAGTTATTTAAAAGGTAACACATAACAAATACCAGAGAATATCAAGGTAATCAAGATTTGTAGCGTTACACAACATAGAGAGGGGAGATAAATATCAATAAAAGTTAAAAAGGGCAGACAACTGTGTTTATAGCCAAGGGTTTTGACACATGGTGGGTGTGTCATAATTGCTGTGTGGTCCTGAAGTGCAGTATCCGACACAAGGCAAGCATTGCTAGCTGTGTACTTACATCAGGTGTACTCTTTGAATCAGGCTTCAGGTTAAAGCAATAAAAAATTACATACAAATAATAAACTATACAACCTTTCATCTAATATTACCAGTGCAAAGACCCCCGAGAAAGATGCAAAACATGAGATCTGTTTATAGCTAGGAGTTTTTGAAATAATTTCTATTTTCTTTTTTCATTTATCAAAACATATATTCATGTTTTCTTGAATCAATACGGAAATTAAACTGAAAATCTATATCACAGCTACTTCAATTTCTTTTATAAACAGAATCAAATAGAATTTTCTGATTCTGAAAATTCAGCTAACTAAACAGCTACAAATTAATACAGATTTATTATTGGGGTATCTGATGTTATCAGTATATTGTAAATTCTACTACAATATCAGTTTTTGTGACATACCACTTGTGTTACGGGATTGTATCTTTCTGTGTCCTCTGTATGTGACTGGTCAAAGCCCCGAGCAGAGTCTGGGACTGGAGAGTACTCCTGACCCCTTGTGCCTGTTCCTTCTTCCTGATCTACTCGACGCTGTCTCTCTAAACCTGCAACATAACACAAGACACATTACTACACTCATTCATATCATATTCTCTTCCTGTATATCAATTAGTGTTTCTTCATAAATATATACTATAGGACTTTGAACTTCAGAAAATCCAATCTAACTTTATGTTACACATTCTGGTAACTCCTGAATATCTTGAGTGTCAATATATAGAATGTAACTTCAGTTTCTGAAAATATATTCTGAATTTTTCTGAATTAAAAAGAAGAATTTCTGAAAAATTTGTATTTGTAATGTCTGTCTTATTGACGATATATATGTAGACTATACACCATAGACTCTTAATGATGAAGTCGTTACTCACTTCTTGGACTCTTTGGACTGTAAGGACTCCTTCGTCTGGATCTGTCTGACAGAAGCTCAACATCTAAATCCTCTAACTGGTTTTCTTTGGATTTCTTTTCTATCTGTTCCATTTCCTTGAGTATCTCCTCTACATTTCTCTGCTTACCTATAGTGACAAGAAACAAGAGGGAAAATCTCGACTGAAACAGGTAAAGAATCTAAAATATTCTCTTTCAGTGCATGTTCTAAAAATAAATCTATCATTATTAAACATTTTGAATACATGAAAAGAGCAAAGTTTTGAAATTTGGTACAATTTTTCATGACCTACATACATCAATAGGATTAGTGAATGAGAAATGTCTTACATTTTCACATGAGATTATTTTTGATGGATTTTGAAAGAGCTTGTTGCTCATTCGTCAGTGCCTGGTATCTTCATAATCACTAATGTAAATATGGTTGATAATTCAAGGAAACATCTAATTCAAATGTAATTTATACGTGTATATACACAGACACTGGAGGTTTCTGTTATGAGTATTTCTAGGTGTATTTTGTGTGGGATGGATTTGAAACAGTGCAATGTCCTATCAGAACAAACACCACACATTTTTATAACATTAGACTTTTTAGAGTCAAGTTCCTATTGATGCAAAATCAAACAAAAGTAATGACAGCCTACCTGGTTCTCCACTTAGTAACTTCTGTACCATCTCCGTGGTTGAACGGTTACCCTGAGAGGAGAGATCGAATGGCTGGGAGTCATTGTAAATAGTGGGCGATAATCCCACCTCTCTCAAGGCCTTGTGAAGTGCCTCTATCTCGTGGCTGGTGGTCGTACCCATAAACCCTGTAAGAAGCACACACAACTCTTAAAATTAAGTTACTCGACATATCTAATGAAAATCTGAAACATTACCCATATTTTGCCAAAAAGTAAATAAACATACTGAAACCATCCCATTATCCCTTCATACTAAAAGGATAGGAAACTCAAAACTCAAGTTTGTGCATATATTTCATTATTCTTATCTCCAAAATTTCTACTATCAGTATTATGTTTCTGATTCTTAAAGAAATTTTGAAAAGGGAGAAAGTAGCAATATATGTAACTAAATGCCATCCTCTGATATTTGATATTAAAGAGTAAACTTACATTTTCATGATTCTCAAATTAGCAACTGGAATTTATCATCTCACATTTCCAATGATGTTTTAATACATAACACGTCTCTTAATTTGATTTTTTTTAAATTTTAGATATAGACAATGTTATGAACATAGACATAGGATGAAGCACAATTACCTAATCATCCAACTATTGTAGTTATTACTTATATCATATTTTTACCTGACAACAGAAAATATCTACAGGGAGAAAAGATCCAACACACCGACAGATTATTTTTCATCGGTAATTTTTCTCATCCTTTATCAAGTGACGATGTTATGAGATACAAACAACAAAATTAATGGATTACAAATTGTTGCAATTACACTCATGCAATGCACTTATCAGACAAAAGCAGATTTGTTAAATGTACACAATAGCTAATCCTAATTCCAAATGCAAAATATCATGCTTTGTTGGTTCGAGATGTGACTTCTTAACAACACCAAGATGAATGTTATCAACTAACCACACATACATGTACTATAATTGATATATAATTTTGAGTTTTGCTGCAAAAAAATTTTTTTTTTTTAAATTAGGGTTATTCTCTGATGCAGCTAAACATTTAAAACTTAGACAAAAATTTGTACAGGACTTTGATTTTCTCTGTTATAAAGTAACAAATGTATACTGTAGCACTTCAAAAAGTCGATTCTATGAGTTCACCATTGTCATGAACATCACCTAGTAGGATTTATATAAAAATTCATTGAGGTAAATTACATTTACTGTAGTCATAAATGATATTATTGGTTCAATCAGATGTCTTGTCCTTATTAACTAAAAGCAAATTATGTTTGTCACTATTATAAAATTACTGAAGTCCTTTTATTTCATTTTTTCATGAAACACACATTACAATATGTATCAGAATTCCACTGAACAACTAGAAATAATTAAACACATTTTATAACTTTTACAGAGTCAAAGTTCCATGAAGAAACTATCATTTCAAATTATTTTTCATTTAAATAATTAAGAGTATTAGATTATGAGCAAAATATTGGATGTTTAGATGTCCTTTTTATATCATTCTTACAAAAGGCAATTTCAAAACTTTATTAACCTCATTTCATTTGGATACCAATTAAAAAAATGTTTGAAATAAGTAACTATTAAATTTATTAATAAATGTGCAAATCCCATGAGAAAATGTACTTTGTAATTCAATGGTTTTTATAACAACACAGAGACAAACGAAAATTTCTAACCTATTTTCTCTAAAGTGTAACATCAAGAATAAGTACAACTTTTGTACAAAATATTCACATTCAAACTATACAGTAGAACTCCATATTGCACCCTGTGAGAAAACCTCTATCAATCAATGATATAGGATGTCAGGTTTCAAATGGTAGTTTTCATAAGAAACAAACTTTGTGAAAACAACATTGTTTTTCTTCAGTAAAACACAGTTTGATCAAGCTAAGTGTCTATACTAGGTGGCAAAATTCATTCTCCGAAAATTTAAGAAAATATTTATTTTTAGACCCCCCCCATCCCTCTTCTAAAAAAAAAATTCTGCAAATTATAAATGTGTATGCACCTTATAATGTGAGCTAAAGTACAAGTTCATGTTAGATTATTTTCACAAATGATATTGAAATCTTAAGTTTAGATTTGATGAAACAAATCACACAGGCATTCTGTACTAGGAGTAGCAAATTTACTTCAGTCACATGCAATGTCATTGTAATGTAGATGTGTAAGGATGATTTTCCTCAATGAAGGTGTTCCACACATGCAAACAACAAATCACATACAAATGTATATGTATTGTGTATGTAGTACGATGAACAAAGAATACGGACAACGCAGCATAAAGTGATCACAAAGAAAAAAAAATGTGAATAATTAAGAGATGTAAATGGATGATTTAGAATGATGATAAAACAGGTTTGGTGGAGCAATCATGTGATGTACATCCAAGGTGTTTTTGTGCTCAGAGTTAAAACACTCCTTAATCATAGTAGAATGTAGTTGGAGGGGTTGAATTCTGCTTGTTATACAAAGGAGCAGGGTAGAAAATTTAACCAACATGTTTATCTATGTAGAGATAAATCACTAGAATTTCAGTTTTGTGTTCTCAGGTAAGTCATTTTCTAAGAATCTGTGAAGTAGATAAACTGATTTCTGATGAGCTTGTAAAGAACGAGAACATAAATGGCTATCTCAATAAATGATTTGTATGAATATGCATGAGGAGAAGGGAGTTCATCAAGTGCACGATCAATCTTTTTCAGGAAAATAAAAATTGTTTTAGGTGGATGCAATGAGGGAAACAACACAGAGACAACACACAAAAAGGAAAGGTGTATACCACAGGTATTTTCTGGAGACATGTCTGATCACAGGAAGAAAATGATGAGAACAGTAGAAACAAAGACATTATTATCAAAGTGAGAAAAAAAAGTCTGAAATCTGACACTACAAAAGTAAGACTTCTAACAATCATCAGGAAATTGTACATGAAAAATAATGAAACCATTAAGGTCATATTTACAATGATATCATGATTCACAAACGCATCAAATATGAATTGAGATGATTCACTGCACGATGTTACAACACAGAAGTCATCCAATTCACAATATCAAACAGGTTGCAAAACACTTTTAAAGGAAACAAACCTCAGAAATATTCTTGAATTACAGTCAAATTATTGGAAAAGATTTTCTTGAAGTACAGATTATAAATTTTTTATTGACTTTCACATTTACACATCTTTTGTGTTCTAAAATGGCACTTTAAATTGAGGATAATTCCAAGCAATTTGATCGGTGTGAAGTCTTTGACTTTTCATTAAGGATACATGTTACTTATTTTATATGTATCTTTGGAAAGAATTTTAGACAAAAGAAACCAATGAAAATAACCAGGAATTTTCACCAGATTTATTCACATATACCAACGAAAAAAATGACAAATATTATGTATATACCAATAAATTACAAGGCATGTTAAAAACATTTTTTTATTAACAATTAGCTACTACACAATATATATCTACATCCACTTAGTTTAAGTTTAAAATGCTCTGACTCACACAACCTACACACATGCCTTTGACCTACCTGTGTGAGGTCCTGACTGACGACCACCTGGACCATCTACCTCATCAGGAATTCCTTGATCCCCTGAGGCTTTTTCATGGATGCCACTACGACCAACCATCGGCGACCCAGTTGTGTTCATCGTAGACTCCAAGGAATCCATCAGTGATACTGGTATTAATACAAACAGTTGTCATTGCAATCTGTGTTATCTATTCAAGTGTTATTTAAGTTCTTCAGATGGATTAGAAAAATGCATGTGTCTCCGACCTATTGAAGTATCAAAATATCAGAAAAGAGTGCTGGAATGAAATTCAATGGACCATTTAGGAGAAAATCACTGAATCATTTTAAGGCATGTTACCTGTACACAAATATAGCTCTGCAAATGCGGGTAATACCCCACAGCCTTATTATAAAGTTGGAAATGTGTGGTTGGGGTGAGTGGAAAGTTATCTCAAGAATGGGTTGTGTAGGTCCATAGGCCCAACATCCCCAGTGAAAATGGTGATGACCGGTGATGTAGTTTTTGAGATAATAAGCGATATGCAAATGCCGTGCGCGATTGCAATACCCCAATATTTTAACTCATTATATAGCATGTTCTACATACAATACAAACAAAGGACAAGGTATAATTCTCACCCCCATCCCCTCAACCCCCCCCCCAACCACCAAAAAAAAAAAAAAAATAAAAATATTGAATGCCATATTGGTTTAACTGTTCTAACAAATGACACCTGTATTCCACATGAATTAAATAAACACAGATTTTCACATACCTTTTGACAACATGCTTGGCTTTTGAGAAGGGTCCTACAACAATAAAATATATCTAAATAAAACCAACTGGTATCCCACAAACAATTAATATTGTACCTACAAAAAAAAGTCATTGAGGGATTAGATATCACAAACTGAAATCCATGTATATATATTTTGTTTCTTTGGTTTTTGCTTGATTGTTAAGGTTTTTTTTCAATCTGAAGTGCTTTCCAGTTAGAGATGTATCCGTAACATCTCTGTTGTCTGGTGTTACAATGTCCTGACAGAACGTGTCAAATAAATTCAATGTAACAGTTATTTTTGATATCACTGAGACCTTACCTGAGTGATCTGATCGTCAGATTGCTGAGGATCGAAAGGTTTATAACCTCGAGTAGCTAGTGGCTTATCTTCCTCAATATCCTCCAGGGCAGCAAGAGTAGCTGCAGTTTTAGCAGCACCCTCAGGAGACATGGTCGTGGCTGACTGACTCAGGTCCTGGTTCAGTCGCTGGTAGTCTACTGTTCCATCAGCATTTCTCTCCAGGTCCTAGAAAACAAACAATAATCTCAAAGACCATCCATAGAAATAGTTCTAGATCCTTATACTTGACATAGTTATAATAATAATTGATATCTAACAATTTGTATCAGAAAACATTATCATTATTCACTGAGCTACTTTATGCCCAACAAAACAAATACAAATAAAAGCTTTCCTTGCTTTCAAGTTCACAAACCTACTGAAAAATAGTATAGTAAAATTGAATTGCATACTTACTCGAAAGAAATTTTCTTTATCTCTTATTTCATCGAGTGTTTCTAACCCTGGTCGACCTGGGAATAAAACAATAAGTTACAGCTTACGATCGAAATTCCAGTGACCAAGCGAAAAGCTAGGTATAAAATATGGAAATCACAAGGAATTTAAATGTCTGTCATAAAATTAGTGAGCAGGGCTCTCGATCTGCCAGATTTGGGCCTGATATTCGGCCCCATTCCCAATGCAAAATAGTATCTTTTTTTCCCAATTTAGACCCCAAGTTTTCCAAATTCTGAGGAAAACACCATTACTTTTCCCAATTCTAAGGGCCCCAGGCCCAAAATGGGGTGTGAGAGCCCTGGTGAGTATAGTGTTTACAAAAATGGAATGACAAAAGAACCAGAAAAAACACCAGGTTTTAAAACCCCCTCCCAAAAATATTATATTTCCATAAAACAAACCACAGGATATGTATGCATACGATTAAAACCTAATAATGATTTAACAGTGACAAATAATTTCCTATATCAGATTTGAAGACTCTTACTTGTTTTATCTGACCCAAAGCTACTTTCCTTTCCTGCTGCAGCAACTTGTCTAAAATGTTGAAATACAAGCATGTAATATGACACTTAAGTATGGCCTACATCCAAGCGCCTAATATGACATGAATATTGGAAAAACTTTAGGAATATGTGAGGTAACAAAAACGGCAGTTATTGAAATGATACTTAGATTTAGCAACATCTTCAGCATTAATATTTCTAAAATAAGGTAACTGCAAAAATATGTATGTTTATAGTGTTTTAAAGTCATTATTGTCATGATAATCTACTATTTTCAAATGACTAAATATTTCTTCCAGAACAAGAATGTTTTTATGGGAGAATAGCAAAACACATGAACAATATTTAAACTCTTAGGAGACATGGAACTGATGCAAGTCCTTAAGTTAGCAAAATGCTATTCCCAACAACAACAACAACAACAACAACAAAAACAACAAAAACAACAACAACAACAAGAGATGAATCAACCACATACTTATCTTTATTGCTGTCCTCTTCCGATTTCTCAGATACTGCAAATAAACAAAGTTTAAGATATTGTTAGTAACAAAAACAGGACTGGACAAGACAAAGAATAGATGATTTGTACATACATATGCATTGACCTACTGGAATGTCTAAGGACAAACAAATTTGAAGTTCTGTTGTGACCTCCAAATAAGACCAAAATGGATATTTGTTTTGTTTTGCTGTAAAGAGTCGTTTGGAAATGATAAAAATCATATAAATTTCTTCATACTGGAAGGCTATCATTCCTGTAGACAAAACACAATCTTGAAAATTTTGAAATTTCTGCACTTGTATTGAAATTAGTTTTGGAAACGAATGTTTTGCATCTTGAGTGTTTTTTACCAGACAAAATTACATGTATGTACTGAAACTGTTTCCTCAGCATATTATGAACTATGTAGAAATTTTACAAAATCTGTATAGGAGTACCACAATACCCATATAATGTCTGCCTACACATTCAACCGTATCTATTTTAATATCATTATATCAATATCATTTTAACTTTCACTCACTATCTTCCAGACTGTCTTTGCTCATTGATGTCCCTGTATCTCCCCGGCCCCGCACTCCTCTCTGCTTGGTCTGCTGAACAGAAAATCAAGTTTCGGAATACAGAGAATGTTTTAAAATTAAAATGGTAAATCCCAAACTGACTTTAAATGCAATAATCACAAATTTAACAGGCAATATATCAATGTGCTATTCAAACACTATGTGGACAACTGAACTTTTCTAACTGATCTGTGTTTTGTAATACCCACAGTATGTCCAGCATCATGTCTGGATAACACTTTGGAGAAGATGATGGAATTCATTATTGTAATGGATAATGACTGTTCTATTTAAAACAGTTCATACTTCATTCAGTAATCAAGTTCTATTTGATACATATTTATCAAACCTCTGTTTCTTGTGAGCCAGAGATGATTTCATGTTGAAAATCACCTGATGATTCCTAAGAGGATGTTGTGAGAATCACAAATGTCTTCCATGAATATTCAAGGTTTGAATTGAAAAAATCTCCTTTGGATTAAAATGAGGATTTGATGACAGAAGACAAGATAGATGTATGATCTGTGAAATTTGATTTGTGTTCAATTAAAAGTATTGAAGAATCATGTATCAAGTATAGTATGAATGATAACTGATCAGACAAGAACCGCCTACTTTAAACAAAATTATTTCTTCAAAGAGGTGATTTTAAACCTATCTGCAACTCATTATTTCAAAACTTCTTATCAAACTTTAGCAAGGAACTTTGGTGGTATTTACTGCTCAGTGTATAATCAGTAGGCTGGTTGCAATGTGATAATACTTTCAAATGCTTCACACCAAACATTGTTATTGGAATTGCAGTGTAGGAGCCATATAAACAATATATATATATATTTCAGCAAGCATTCAATAAGAGAAAAGGGACTTCTATTGAAAATATGCCAAGCAAGTTTGGAAAAAAAAAAATGAAAAAATTGTATATTTGTAAAATGATTCATCCTTACTGGGAGTTTTGTAAACAACACAAAAGTAGCTTTATCATATATCTCTACCCCAATATAACACATAACTGCCTTGTATTATCTATTTAAAAAAAAAAAAAAAAATTTCTATTGAAATGTCAACAGTGGATATAATGCTTATGTATGGTAACAAGTTATATAGGACTTGAACTAAAGACATAGTATCACAGTAAAAACAAAATATAAACAGAAGATTTGACAACATTTCTGTGAAAATTACATGCTGAAAACTACTTAGAATCAAGTGACATGGAAAGGCATGTAAGATTTTATTTACCATATCATCTAGAGATTGCTATAGATATACGTCCAAGCAGCAGTTTCTCCAATTGATATGAAAGTAGTGATATTTTAGCTCCCCAACCTTTTTCTTGTATAATGTCAAATTGTATGTGATATGCCAATACCATGAAATACTCCCTGCTCTATGTTACCAGACCATGTTATAGAGGCTAAATCAGACTGTTAACGCTGGCAATATAACAGGGATACAATGTTAGATAGCACACTCTGTTAGTTACTAAATATTAAATGTTAATATGATTAAATAGGGTTTCTGCTGAATCTAATGCTATACCTTCTATTAAATCACATTATATATTTTGTCTTTGAGACATTGATCAATATTTTTCTAATCAATATTTCATATACAAAATCCTAATTTACTACATTCTTAATCAAGGAATAGGCATCTTGTTAAGTACTGGTATTGTAGAAGCTTTCCGTATTCTTAATGTCCTACTTTTCCTATACACTGGCCTTTCATACTTGTCTTGAGACGATGTCATGTGTCGATTGTTAAATTTAGTTGGATTTTTATTAGTTTCATTTGAATTAAATTTGTTTCCCAGGAAGACTAGGCAATTGTTTGTAAAACCATCATATAATCCCAAAGGTTGTACATCACTAAGCACTGTGGAATTGTCTGAAAATGTAGATATTTTTTTTTACGTGAGGTAGGCAAATATAAGGTAGGTGAGACAAATATGATTTTATCCTACACTGAGAAGAGACCTCTCTAATTTATTTGACATCCTTAGGTATACAGTTTATTGTTCAGAATGAACAGAACATGGAAGAAATTATGTTACAGCATTACAGTGAACTGGACAGGATGCTTGGAAACATAGATTGTTACAGCATTACAGTGAACTGGACAGGATGCTTGGAAACATAGATTGTTACAGCATTACAGTGAACTGGACAGGATGCTTGGAAACATAGATTGTTACAGCATTACAGTGAACTGGGCAGGATGCTTGGAAACATAGATTAGAGTTTATTTGAAAGAAACAGAACTACAGAATTAAATAAATGTTGAATTTAACATGATGCCAAAAATGGTGATATTAAGACCTTACTGATAGAAACAGAGTTACAGCATTTATGTTGAATTAGACAAGATGTCTGAAAGCACAAATCAGGCCTTGATAAAGTATTATTGTCGATGGAGTAAACAAATCATGTAAAACAGATTCCACTGAAATATTGTCCCATAACCAACTATCTAAATGTGTGCTCTACTAACTAATACAGGAAAAACAACTAGAAATGTTCATGCTCATATAAATGCCATACACAAAAATCTGTGTAATTTTGTCCTTTTTGTTCTGGAATGGACTATTTTTACCCAAATGTGCAGATGAATTGATCAAAACACAGATTTATATTTGGCATTTATGTGTACCATGCTTAAACTAAATGTGCAGAATACAACAGAAGAATAGATAATGAAAAAAATATATATGTAGATATAGAATTATATAATGGTAAACGTAGAAAGTTTTCTAAGAAATACCATGACAACAAGTTTACCTTTAAATGGGTCATCTGTAAATAAAGGGCATCATGCAGATACAGACACACAGGCTATTAACAACATCCACTTTTAAATAAAAAAGTTTAATGTTCACATGTTCATGTTTCTTATCACTCCTAGCAGATAAATTCACATTTTTGCCTGATTTGAATAACTTCCATTTTCCGTTTAATCTAAAAAGTTAAATTTGAATATTTTTTTAAGAAAATTTGTCAGGTCTATGTAAAACAATGCTTGATATTGTTCTACCTTGTCATTCTTTTGTAAAAGATTGTAAAATACACCATGCTTGTCCTAACCATATAAAGTGAACCTGTTTTGTCTTCCCTGCAAACATGCTGGCAATATCTTCCAGTGAGCAGTATCTAATCTTTTTTATCTTCCCATCTGAATACATTTAATTGAAAGTGTAATCAAGAGAAAGTGTATTCAAAACATTGTTAAGTTTCCTGTGTTGATATTTTCATATTTTCTTTGTGGTTACCCTAATGTTTAAAGTATTACAGGAAACATGAACACATTTAATATGGCTGTGAAGATATACATCAGGGATGTGCAGTTTCAATGGCTGGAAACATGCAGCTTTAACATAAATCCTTGCAAAAACGTAAGGATATTCTGGAAATAAAGTCCAGTTCATTTTCCCCCAAAACATTCTGATAGCTATTACCTGGTAATCTAAACAAACTTTCACATCCCTTTACATGAATATGTATCAAATTCACACCCCTGATAACATTTTAAACCACTCACAACATTTATTATATCTGTGAATACTGCTAAGAATAACATGCACACAACATTTAGAAGTGAAAAGATAATATCAAATACATTGTAGGTAACAGGCAAATCTACTGACCAATATACAGGTAGAAAAAAAATGACAACACAACAGCACAGATTACACATACTTTACAATAACAGCAACATATCACTACTCTAGCAATATATCTCTAAAACAAACTTTCAAATAAACGGGAAAAATCCACTAATCTCTTCAAATTAATGTGTACATATCTAATCTAAAAGCATGATTTGAAGATTGTTTAATGCACAAATACCACAACCAAACAGGATCAGTAGGAACTACACACTGCTACAATAAATGTACTAGTAGGATTTCTATGTGACATGACTATTTATAAATCATTCCTATTACATATAAAACATTGCTAATTACTTCTATACATTTACAAAACATCTTTATGCAAACATCACGTTTAAACAATGTTAATATCCCTACATTTGGCTGGTTTAAAGAAAACACTACTGGATAAATATATTAATTTAGAGAATATTGTGTATTTATAATAACCAACCCTGTCTTTAGTAATGTGTACACACCTCTTTCTTGCCAGTGCGAGCCTTCTGCCGCCCTTGTTTCTCCTCAGGTGTAAGTTCTGGGGTGGTAGGTTTTACTGGTGTGTTGGGGGTCTGTTTTGGGGTACTATGTTTGGGTTCTGCTGGCTTCTTTTTCTTAAGAAAGCTTTTTCCACTTGATGTCTTGCCTGATTAAAACCAAAATATTTATAATTCATAAGCTAGATTTTTGTTTTATCACATTTATATAAGTAGTCTATCATTGTTAGACTTCTAAAAAAACCAACCATATATTCTTTGACAACCCTATTACATGTCGACAATAGCGACAATTTCAAGTTTCATCATTTATCATTTAGCATTCCACAGTTTTAAATATATTAAAGTGATCTAATCATGATAAAAGCTTGATGAATGTTAAACCTGTGCCAAAGTTGGCTCCCATGTCTTCGTCATCATCATCGTCATCACTCTGCATCCACCACGGCTTGCTTTTGCCCTTTGGTGTTGTCTGTTCTTTTAGACCTAAATGTTTGCTGACTTTGGCAGAATCAAGAGATCCATCATCTGATGAAATAGACTGCAATGACAAAACACAGCTAAAAACTTAAAACACAAAGTTAGAAATAAGAACTTCTGAACATAATTATTGAGAAATTATGGGGTTTTTTTGGGTTTTTTTTTTACATTATACAGTACACCTTGTACATTGTCCTCAATTTGGTTACATATGACCATAGCTGTTGATAAGAAGTTAAACAATATAAAACAAAACCATCCCCAATAAAAGTTCGGTTTGTGCAAAAACAGTATATCAAGTTGGGTTTGTGCAAAAACAGTATATGTATATATAATGGCCATCTACAACCCAAGTTCTATCTTCAAGTAAGCATCTCATTTTCCTCAAATTTCTACTCTGTGAGTGATTAAATATGAATTATGAAGGCATAATGAAAAATATCTGTTCCTGTTTGGGCTTGAACTTGAGATCATGCAATCTCTAACTGGACACTTGACAGCTTGACTGAAGGGAAAATCTCCCATTAGTTGAGGTTAGGATTGTTACCTGTACTTTAAACTTCCATAGTATTGTTGAGGTTTAGCAATGTTCCTATTAAGCTAAAACAAAGTGAATTTGGAAAATGTGAGTTGTCACACTGATCAGAGAATGGGAGAAAGAACATACAGTATCTTGTGTTGATATATACATACCTCCTTCAAAAATGCCTCGAACTGTCGATCAAAATCTTTCTTCTTTCCTTTTGGTGGCATGATTGTTGAGTGTGCAACCTTTTATAAGAAAAATTAAACAGCTCTATAATTAATTCTGGGAAACAAAGTTTAAAATGGATTACCAGTCTGTTTCAAGCTTATATATTTCATAATCTTGTCATATCAATATTTACTAGAAATATGCAGTTACTTTTAGCATTACAGTCACTTTTGAAGGATTTCTGTTTTGGCAAGTCCATAGCACCAGTTTTAAAATCAAGGTTTTCCTGTTACAAATTAAAAAGAGAGATGGGTTCTCAAAATTTGAGCTAGTTACACAGGAAAAAACTTGTGTCAGGAAGTTAAATATTTGAGTCCCAAAAATCATTGCTAGAGTGTGCCAAACTGTGTCTGATCGCCAATCTGGTAAACACATCTTCAAGTTTTGATAAAACAACGAAGGAAAGTTTAAAAAAAAATAATAAGTAAAAAAATCTATTCTAGATCTATTTTGTTTGGTACATTTAATTTGAAACTGAATAATCAAATATTGATATTGAACAGTGAACATGCGGATACACCATATAATATAGAAGAAATAAACTGTGGTAGAATTTCATTCTGGTACTTAATATTATCTTGTCAATTTTTAATAACATGTTATGATTTTTAACAAAACGAACAAGTCGTTACATGTCAACAAACGATCCGAATATGTAGTTATCGGCAGGTTTGACCAATATATTGGCATTTTCTGAATACTATGTTAATGCATACATTATGAATATATAAATCAAAGACAATGAATGATATTCATTTGGCAATCTGTAGGATAAAAAGGCCTATGTAAAACCGACCTGTCAAATTTTGCGCCGCATCCCTGCATTCTTATAAACAGCACTAATTTCGACCTCCACAATGAAAGAGTTCCAAACCGGAGTTTTTGCATAGTTACTTCCCCTTTGCCGAGAATGTAATAAGTATTCTCTATATGCAGTTAAAATCAATCTGAAGTTAAATTAGGTCAAAATGTTTTGGGTCGTACAATAGAAATACAAACAAGGTTTATTCCAAAATAAATGAATAATTTTACTACAACAGTTAAGAAATAATTGGAGAGTGTCCTGATATTAATTAAAAATACCAGCAGAGATCTCATAGTTTTAGAGTAAAATGACAATCTTTTAAGTTAAAGGTCGGAAAATAGACTGAAATTTGACCAGACAAACTTCATAGCTCTTACCCAAGCATTTACCTGTCTGAAGAATCACGTTCCTTTGATTTCTTGTATAACAAGAAGCCCAGAAGACCGGTGTCGCCCTCATGGATCATAAAGCCCAGCAATGGTATACATGCCTATAGGCTTGGTATTTCAAATATTTCCAAATTAAAGCTCAGTTACTTAACCTCTTTGATGGGGAAAGGCCAGTGGGTAAATTCTTATGTCATCACTGTGTTTCTCTTTTAATTCCAAGTAAGAGTTTATATGGTTAACATGGTATCTCAATTATGTAAAAAATATGACCCAGAAATAATGTTCCTTGAGTCAATTCTTACATGACAAATGTGTTTATCTCTTGATGTGAAATAATTCTATAAACACATATGGTTATGGGGTGGGGATCTCAACTGATCTCTAATGATTTAACCACAAAATGAAGTCCAGAGGGGTGGGGCCACGTCTAATGGCCAGTTCTTACATCATGAAAGTGTTTATCTCTTGATGCCCATCATTGCTATATATGGTTATGGGATGGGGCTCTCGACTGTTTCAAAGATATAACCCTGAAACTAAGTTCCGAAGGGTGGGGCACATCCCACGGCCAATTCTTACATTATGGTTGAGTTTATTTCTTAATGCCTAGTAATGCCGTATATGGTTATGGGATGGGGATCTCAACTGTTTCAAAGATATAACCCTAAAATCAAGACCAGAGAGGTTGGGCATATCTTTCCTACAGGTGTCGAAGGATTTTAAAGAACTTGCAAAATTTCCGCTTTTGGGCTCAGCCCCACAGGCCCTGGGAAGATAGGCCACATAATTTATAAAAAAATGTTACCCTCCCAAGGATGCATTTGACCAAATTTGGTCAAAATCTGTTGTTGTTAATGACTAGTAGCGCTTTTTATATCAAGTTGACAAACGACAGACGGACAAATGGACGAACAACAGTCACCACACTAACCCTATAGCTCACTTGACCCTTTAATTTTACTCATGAAATGTTGAGAATTGGTCAAGGTCATTCATTTTGACAAACTTGAGAGTTCTGCATTCAAACATGCTATCAGCACAAAACGTTTGGTTATTCAGACAAAGCTACTTGAAGTTTTGGACAGCCCTTTACCATGGCATACTACCATCCCAGTATCATGGCCATTTAATGGTCTCTTTATTATTCAGACGTTGATTGACGATACCTGGTATATCAAACCCATGTGATGTTAACAATGGGACAAGTTAATTGATTTTGACACATTTACCAAGCTTCCAAGCATGCTACTCTGGAGTATTATGAGACACTGTATTGCTTTTAATTCTGTGGGGTTGATATTCTGTGGCTGTCAACGCTGACTTGCTCTCAGGGATTAAATTCCATGCATGTCTACGTATACAGTTATATGACATATATTTTTAAGACTTTGCTTCTCAGTAAAATTGTTCGCTGGGTATCTATTGTTGTGATGTTGTTATAGATAATGAAATCAAACCAAACTCCCCTAAACATTACCAACTACACATATATGATGTATAGATAGTATTTAATTATTTAGGAGTTACTCAAGGATTTTAATGCCAACTTTTACTGTGCTATGTCAAGGTTATTCATTTTCCAATATTAAGAGTCCTTCGTCTCACAATGCTACTGGCAAAAAACGTGAGTCTTTTTGGTTATTGATATTTTTTTTGATGACTTCATTAAATTGACCAATTAAATTTAAACAACTCATCATCCATGCGTACAATTGGCTCATTATTACAATTCAAAGCATTTTGGTTTCAGAAAATCTACACACCTTCAACACCAGGTGACCTTGAAAGTGATTCAAAGTCATTTATCTAAATAAACTTGATAGCCGTTTATCCTTGTATGCAACAGGTCAATATATGGTGTTTAAGATATTTCAATACATCTAAATAAACCAAAATTTGATCTTGGTCTTTTATCAAATAGAAGTTGTATAGAGGAAAAAGGTTAATGCTGGCCTGCCATGGATGGATGGAGAGCCAACACTGCCACACCATATCGGGGTAAGCAAATTGTGCTGCTGCATTCTATAGCATACCACATACCATAGTAGCAAAGCACTTTAACTTGTAGATTGTCAACGTATATGTATACGAGTAAATTAATTGACAATAGGAAAAGATCATTCAGTTATCACCAGATATCTCTACTACTCCATTTCAGGAGCCTACTTGCCAAATACATCATGACCCTCAGGTCTCCTAGAGCTGAAGAAAAGTTTTAAAACTTATAATCAATTAGAGTTAATCCTTGAACAGAGCCTTGGCTGGAAATTGACCATTGACCTAAACAGTAAGATATATATTAGACAATATTTCATTGCTGGTCTACATATCAAAGCATTAATGCTCTAAATTGTATATTTTCATATAATGTTGTTTGAGTATTTATCAACTTTGACCCATGACCTCGGAAACAGTTCAAGGTCACTTATACAAGGAATCCTCAGAACAGACAAAAACAAGCTTTTTTTTCCTAACATACAAATGTTTTAATATCACATTTGAATCTTCTCTACATTTAATCATCCACACAATATATCATTACATTTTTTTCAAAACATTTTCTTTTTTTTTTCTTTGTCAATAATAAATTCACAATTCAAAACCTGTGACAAATTAATTTATTTAATCATCTTTGATGAAATGAGCTGAATGTGATGTGATATACCGGGTATGATGACAAAAAAAATAAAACAACAAATAATGTTTGCATGATGTAAATATTTACATTAAACATGTAATAATGTTACCGGTACATAAGATTTTCAATGATAAAAATGATACTGATGAATTTGCTGAATCTCTTTTATAAATCTCTGCAAATTACAATACATTAATAATCAGTATAAACAAATGCTGTCATACATAAAAACTGGTACAATAATATAGTACAATGTTTACACATATTTACGCAAAAATTCATTTTAGTTTGAAAATGTAGTAAAATGTCAGAGCAGACTCAATTTTTTTGCCAAAAAAAAAAAAAAAAAAAAAAAAAAAAAAAATCAACAATTGAAAAATGTTAATTTTTCCAAAATAGATATGTAGGAATCAAATATTTTCAATAGCATATTCATTATCAGTACAGCCAACCACCTTAATACGATACTTATTTCTACAAAGTCCTTTACACACTTGTGAATTCATCAAGTGAATTTCTAGAGGAACAAAACTCAATAAAGCTTGAACAGTACTGAAAATCTACTGAAAACAGATATAGCTTCACTTCCCTGGATTCTAGAGACCAGAAGTTTACGTGCAATCCAGCCAACATAACACCAAAATTTTCACAGGAAATCTACTAAAGTTCAGAAACTGTAAATATAATCTTGTGAAACAAACATCAATATTTTAAGAGGCAATCTTGCCAACCACTCACACAAATTCTCTGTGCAATCATTTTTAACTAGAGACCAGAAATTTTACATTCAATCCTGTCATCCAGACTCCATAGTTATACAAGCAATCCTGTCAACTAAACATCAGAAATTTTACACACAATCTTGTTAACAGGAATCCAGAAAATATCAGTATGTTTACAAGCAATCCTTTCAACCAGAGATCAGAATTTGTACAAGGAAGCAAGTCAAATTGACCAGAATGTTCACAAGCAATCATTTTAACTAGAGACTAGAATTTTGGTTCTTACATTGAAAATAAGTTTACAGATTCAAGAAATAAAATTTTTAAAAAATGCACTCCTAAAGACCTGGTTAGGATGTCATCATACTGAGACTATAAATAAAGTCGGCTTTAAACAAATAATCAACATAGCATCTGAATCATCCCATGCTTGCTAATAAACCCACTCACACCTGGTGCAGTTTTATTAAAAATGCCCTAAATGACATCATGGCTTTGTGCTAAGCCTCCCTAATGGAGTCAAAAGATAAGGTGTTGGCCCCACCCATCCCCCGGTCTTACTGTAGCATAAACATGGTAGTAATATCAGGTCTGCACATGAAATCCATTGACATATTCAATGACCAATTATGACAATTTTCCTGATAACAATCTTAAAAACGTTGCATTATTGGTAAGAAAGAAAATAAAATCTTCAGACAAGATGTGATTTATCTTTGAGGAATGAACAATATGAATATGAAAAATGTTTATTGACATGTTTTATTGAAAACATTAAATGTATTTATGTTATATAAACAGTTTCAATCTATGTCTGAAGATGGAGGTATATTTCATGTTTCGTTGCAATCCTTAAACTTTCCCTTTTAACATCCACTGTATAGCAACTTATTTTCACGGGCATGTTCACGATTTTACATTACTGTGACCGTGAAAATTTAATCCATCAAATAATGGGACACATGTATGATAGTTGTTCTTTTACATCCAGATTGCAAAATGTTCATTTATTTAAATATTTTGTTTCATTAGAAAATCATGAAAATTTTCACCTGAGAAAATTACCTGCTATATATTTGTTTATGGATAGTTAGTAGTCCAAATTATTTTGACATTATTTTCAATTTCTTGTATAGGTCTGGAGTAGACAAACTCCAGACGTTCGAAGAATTAGAATGTCAGAAAAAAAAGACTAGATAACGATAGGTTTGTTCTTTATCCTAATTTCTCAAAAATGTATTACTTTTGTCAATCTAGAACACATTTTAATGACTAGCACACATTTTTGAGTGACATTAACACAAAATAGATCTGATTGTTCTCCTTAGCAATTGTTTCTTGATGCACCACATCACCATTACACATTTTCAACTCACCGCTGCATCCACTTAAGAACTGTTTTGCATTCTGAAAACTCTGTCTTGACGTACTTTATTTCAGTGCATCCTAAACTTTTAAAATTAGTGTATGAACATTTGTTCTACTACCATGGTGCTTGTTTCAGCTTCAAAAGGTCCATAGTATATAGAAGTACCAGACTTATTTCTCTGTAACACATCACAAAATTTACAAATCAAATTCATCACACTGTTCACCATACAAAAATAACACTATAGGACAAAGACCTACATGTATTGAAACAACAGAAAGATACTGTTTTAACATTATTATATAACAAAGATTATACCAGGTACAGCATTTTCAAAAATAGTCTTTGTATTTGTGAAATATTTATCTATTTCATAGAAAAAATGCTCCCTGATTATTTTCTGTGGTCTGTATTCATTGCTTACTTAGCAAATTAATTTGGAGGAATAATTAAAAAAGAAAAAAAAAACAAAAACAAAAAAAAATCAAACAAATTGAATATCCTGAGTGCTGATATATATGCTGGTCTTGATAATTATTCACAACTCAAATCAAACAATTTAACACCTGTCATATGAAACTGACCTTCAGTAAGAATAAAACGTAAACGTGTTCATATTTTTTAAAACAAAAATTTCAATATCTGATTTCATATCATCTTCTATTTTAACTTAATTCTTATCAAAAAGGAATTTCTCATGTCAGTAAAAAATGGATCACATAAACTGACACAAAATGCAGTTGATCTTGCTTAGAATACTGTAGGTAAATGGCAGTGAAATAATTTATCTTTTCCAAATTGTTTTTGGGGTGACAAGATGTTTTAAAGGAGGAATTTACGAATTTAATGAAAGATACCATTTTTTGCAGACTCTCACAATAGAATAATCAGATTATTGTGTTTAAGATTTAATCAAAATGATTTCAAACAATTTTTTAACATGAAAATGTATACAGTGAATAGGAGTTTAAACATCTTTTTCAAAGACAATATCTACATAAAATGAAAATATATCAATAAAAAAAACTTTCATGAACTTTGAAAAAAATAATACCACAAATTGAATTTGTAAAAGTTTGTTCCTAAAATCAAAATTAGCACTTCAAGTATATTCATTTTTAAACAATAATGGAATCATGTTTACACAAATTTAACTATTGTTGATGATAGAGGTTAGTAAATACAAAAACTATGCTAAATCTCAATGTTAATGACACAAGTTATGATATCCATCAAACATGATAACTTTCAGATCCATGTCTACCACAATTCATAAAACACAAAGTACAGTAAATCACTTATTTTTCGCGAGGAATTATATTCCGCATTTATTCACGAGTAGCATAATTCATGAATTCAAAACCTTCACAAAAATACTTTTTTTTCTGATGTTGTCCTAAAGTCAATGACTTTTGAGGTGTGGTACCCACGAAATTATGTACTCACAAATAAGACAGTCACAAATCTTTCATGAAATTAGATACTCGTTAAAAAAAAAAAAGTGATTTACAGTAAGGTGTACATGGGCCTAGAAAATTCACTCGGGAATATTTTTTAATCAAAATTATTTTCATAAAAAAGGCAAATACTTAATACCCTTCATAATATCAGATACCTTCTGTTTTTTCTTCTTTGACATTGCAAGTAAAATGGTTGAATATTTAAAGCTAGGTTGGCAACTGCTTGGACTAATCTCTGATCTATTATCAAACATGGGGGCATAGGTTTGTAACGTATATACAGCAAACAAGACTAATGTATTGCACTGCATTATATACATGAGGGCAAATATCAAAGGTTTATATGTTAATCAAATGTCATTATGCTTGACCAGTTTGAATTCTGACCTTGACCAAGTATTTATATCAATAAGTGACAGATTGGAATATTTCTTAAAAATATGAACATACAAAATAGTTCTAACAGAAACCTTATCCTCCCAACATGACAAGACATTTTAATAACTATTTCAATAAACAAATGTGTCAATAAAAAATGTTACTTTACAATATTACAACAGATCTGGAACTGAATTACCACTGTAACATGTATAACTGTTACCTTGGTAACATGTAAACTATTACAGTTACCACAATCATATTTACAGACACATACTCTACTGGTGCTAACTTGTTACAACTGACGAACACAGAATACTTATCCAGATACTGTTCATCTATAGACATTCAGATTCACAAATTGTCAATTCTTAAGACTGTAAACCAAACATTCGACAGATTTTTAGAAGTCTAGCGAAACCCTTTAAAACTTGTTGGGTCGATGTAGGTAAACGTTTGAACAAAAGTTGCATTTAGAGAAAAATTTCTGAGATTGTGACTAGAAACAAAAATGCTCCATGCTAATGATAAAGATATTTAAGGAAATCAGGAGAAACATTGCTGTGTTCATTTTTAAATGATTCATTATTCCAATTAAGGGTTTTCGTATCTTGAAAAGGTGTTAATTGAGAATATCGGACTTAATATTTCATACATGATCCAAAAATAAGGAAAGTAAGTTTTATGTACCAGAATTGTGAATTGTGGAGTTAATAGATTAAATTACTTCAGTCCACTAGGGTTACCCTGTTACACTTCTATTACTTCTCATGAACCATTCAAATTTTCACCAGTAGAGACATTAACAAATGTATTCCGCTTGGACATGTCACCAGAACACTGAAATTCCTCAGTGAGCCAATGCTTAGTGATAAGATGAGCTACAGAGACAAAAACCTGTACCCAACCAACAACATCCATGCTTAGTGCTTTGACATACAGTGATCTCTTATACCAGAGATAAGTTTAGAGAGATGCCTAAATATACAGACAAACTGGAAAGTAAATGGTAAGCTCAATTACTACTTACTATTTCATGGGCACTTGGTTTGGTAGTTAAATATAGCTCACTAAACCTAATGATGCTTATTTCTACAGTTTGTGGATATATAAATTCAAGGTTTAAGAGTACCCATATAATCAACAAAAATAAAGCTTTCACCAAAATTAATGGTTTTACAGTAACTGAGAGTGAACATTGACCATCAGTGAAAAATGAAACGTTTTACAATATATAAGCTTACATTAAATATTACTCAAATTCATACCTATCAAATTTAACAACAAAAATTTACAGTCACACTTTAAACATGCTATGCTTGATTCTAATTTAAAGCACCTTTACATGGAAGTAAGTGACCCTGGCTTTGCCTTATCTAAAATTTTGCCCTGTTGTTCAGGTAACAGGCAAAAAAATCCTATCAAAGTCAACTGTAGAGCTTAGATGGTAAAATTAGAGGGATTTTAAAGGAAGTGTGATTGTTAAGTCAAACTCATACTTTCTTTTAAGTCCCTGCTGAGCCAAACTCCCAAGTTTACTGTGTTTTATTAAAGTATGAATTATTCTATGACAACCATTCTGTTTGAGACTGACAGGAATACACCCCATAGACACTTTAATATCAAAACAACTGGTGATGTTTTTGTGAAGGTGTAGAGGAATCATTTAGTTATCTTTTCTCAGCTCTGTGCTTTGGAGGTCTAAACACGCCCTTTGCTTTTTTGCCACCACTTTTCCATGACCTCCAACTATCCACCCTTTCTGTCCGACTCTCCTGGAACACAAAATCCAATTCAGACCTTTAAAATTCAAGCTCAAATTGCAGAACCTTTCCTAACACCAGATATCTTATAATAAAAGCAAAATGGGTAAAACAATAACTTAAAATTTTAATAAGACTTTTTTCATTTTGATTTGATTTGATTACTTGTGATCCAAGCACCTCCAATGTCTTGAATACCTAAAGTTCATTTTTTGAGGATTTGTATAGAAAAGTTTAAAATATTGAATTGATTCTACATTCCTTTTATCTGTAATCACATTAAAAAAAAGATAATGATATTTATTTCACCTCAAAATTTTTGTTCCAGACAGCATCCATTTTTTTCTTTTCTTCAGCAGCAGCCTCATCCTCTGCTTTCCTTTTTCTGTTGGTATAAATCATTGCACAATAAATCCTTATGTAACAGATGTAAATTTCTGACAGTGAAGAACACAGAATTCCTAATTATTGATTATTCTTACAAAAAAAACCCTTTTCATAAAACATCTCAAATAAAACTTATAACAATTCAACTTATATTCTTAAAAAATTTACAAATTTATGAACATTTTCAGTCAACTACTTTCAGAGGTAACATTTCCTTCACATTTATTAATATTACATACAGATTGTTTTCATCAATAAAATTTAACTTTCCTGTTAAATACATTTATACAAATACCAAGATATTTCATCATCTTTAAGATGAAGGAGACATTTTTGTTGAAATATATAGATAAAAGATTATTTTCTGTGGGAAAGTTATGAATGGTTAAGTGATGTTACTGACCGTTCATGCATATCTTTGGTTTCTCGTTCCTGCCTCATCCTTTCAAGGTCAGCAAACAGTTTACAGGTCTGAACATGGACAGCGTGCTTGTACTGCAGACATGATCAATGTGTTATAATTATTCACAGGAAACATGCACAGTGGAGATTTGCTATTGCTGATGATGATTATCAAGAATAATTTAACTCAGAATGTCAGTAACTATTAACTATATGATATGGTAGCTGATCATCAGGAACTTGGGGGTGATGTGATATCATCCTCAATAAATTGTGTATAACTTTGCCATGTATTACTGACTGTCAGTACAGAAAACTATTTTTTATCAGATGCTGTTACGTCTGAAATAATTAGAGATAATATTTTTTCATAGTTTGAAGCATTTCATTTTTATCATCATATAATCCATGTTTTTGTGGATACCCAATTAAAACAAAAAGGAATCTTATTATTTTCATTTCTTGTGGTTATTTTCATGTTTCCATAGCAACAACATAAACCACAAACATTTTTACAGTATACATAATATATCTGTTTCATGTTATAGCAGCACTGAACATTGTTCAGTTATTACCAACTGAAGATAAGCTATTCAGTGGAATAATTGTGTGTTGATCCATAGTTGTAAATAAGATTATGATACATTGGCAGCTATAGATCACACTAGCTAGTTACACTATATACAATACTTACCTTGTCCTCATCATCTTCAGGTACATAAGGGGGCTTTCCCTCCTTTTTATTCTGTTTCTTTTTCTGTTTGATCTATTTCAAATGAACAAATTATTTCACTATCAAGATACTTAAGAATTACTCTTTTCCTGACATTTACAATCAAATGAAATCTAAAGTAATAATGATAGGAAATTTGTTAGTATGACAAAATAAAAACAGTTTAACCTGTATACAAACACCTCTCCCCAAATCTGATCATTACATTGTCATTTATTCACCCTATCTTCTTCTTGACAAGTGAAAAAGAATATTCTAAATGTCAGTTTGAACAGTAAATTGTAAAGTAAAAGTTAATCAATCCCCTATGAATGGAAAGTTTTTTCAGTCTCCAGGTATTAAAACCCACAATTACTAATGGATTATGCATATCATGGGTTGTAGTGATTCAATACCTCATTGCAAATTCTATGGACCACTTACCATATCATTCACTCGGATTCTGGCTTCATCAATGATTTCTCTACACCGCCGATATCCTTCTTCATTTTCTAATGTTTTATATGATTTATTTACAGCTGAAACACAATAAATTTGAAATAATGTATTGCTCCTTGCTTGGGTCTACAAGAAAAAGTCCTTGAAATTCTTTGATTGCGGAAGAGAATTTCACTGTTAAAATCTTTAGACACAATCTTTAATAGGCATTTCCTTTTATTCTCTATAATTACAAGTTAGTAAATAAAAAAACACAAAGAAACAAAAATACAAATGACAGTTGGTATCTTAATTTATTCAAGTTGATTTTATAATGGTTAAGACAAATGAAAATGTCTGATGTAAATAACCTACATAAATACAGGGAAATCAGAACAAACTATACTGTAATTGGAATTAAATAAAATTTATCTTTTAATTAATCTTTTAATTAATATCTTTTAATTAATCCTGTAAAGAGCATAGAGTACATCTCTACCTTACCTTCAAAAGCCTTTTGTGCCCTTTCTCTGTTATCTAAATTCTTATCTGGATGGACTAAAATTGACATCTGAAATGAAATATGTTTCCTTCATCATAAAGCTACTAGGTTAATTACTAAAAACAAAAAACTTTCCTATGTGAGAATGCGTTTGACAACACAATATAATAGTAAACCAGATTTCCTGCTCTGTCAATTTAATTCAAGCTAAAATACAATAAGCAGTAAACTCCATACTTATTGTAGACACAAGTATTTGTCTATAGGAAACAGGAAACCTGTGGCCATCCAGAGCAATTAGAGTATAGTATCTTGTCCAGGGATGCAACCATGTCAGCACAGAGTTTACATAGGACACTTTTCTAACCTACTAAGCCGTTGCGACCTTCTGTCAGTGAAAGCTTGGTTATATACAAAACCTATAAATTGTACTGATATATCTGAACAATACACTATTTGGTATCCTGACAAATGAGTTTATTCATCTATCATGAATGATCCTTAATGGCAAATACTACCACTAAAATATAAACATTTATTTTATAACAATTGCAAAACAAGTTGTCAAGCTTCTATTAATTACTCTTGTTGGCTCGAATGTAACTTTACACACAAGGGGTCTTACATTCAGAGGAAACCAGAATACCCAGGAAAAAACCCATGTAGTTGAACAGGTAACTCCCTTACCTTTTCTCATCCGTTCTGGGAATTGAACCCCAGACAGCTAGGTTAAAGGAGAGTGTGTTATCACTATGCCATCCGACCTTCCTATCACAGATTTTACCAAGTTAATAAATCTGGGTCTACAGCATGTTATATATGTCATAGGGTATAAAATCACTACCAACCTGTCTGTACCTCTTCTTTATTTCTGCAAATGGTGTATCAGGATCAATTTGAAGCACCTTATGAAAAACAAAAAAATATAAGTTTAAAAATTCTCTTCACAGAAAAAATTGCCTAATATGTTGTATTAACTTTTTTTTGGCAAATATTAAATTTCCAAAACACATGATCTCTAATCACCTATGACCCTGTTTCTACACAAATGGCCTAGTGGTATATTAGTATACATTTATCTTATTCATTACATACAGCTAGAGATACTACAAATGCAGAAAGAAAAATTTAACTGACTTCAGTCATTTGTTTGATAGCATCAAATGGCAATACCTACCTCAAAAGGATTCAGATTAAAATAGGTAGCACCTGGTCGATTTAATTTGTCAATTTGTTGTTTTGGTGTCAAAACAGAATCCCGATGTTCTATAGCTTTCACCTAAAATGAAAATTATTTGGATGCATAAGTACATATACACTCAGATATAACAAACAATTGGTTATGTTTTTATGATATAAAGACAGATAAGGCCATCCCTTAAGCATTCTGGTTGGCATTGACCCATCCTTGGAAAACTTGGCAGTAGGTAAAGAGAATATTTTGTTTCATTGGAGAGGGGGCACAGCATTGTAAAACCTGCATTCTATTTGGCCCAACTCACAAATCAAAGTCTTTCATTTGCTTTAGAAGTCAGAAAAGCACTGAGTAAGTAGCAAGCACTAATATGAGTGAAAGACCGAAGATTCTGGCAATGATGAACTGAATTCATCATAAAACTTTTTCAGATGGGGGTATATTTTTGGGTCAGTAGCTAAATGCAAAATGCAAAATATTTTACTTTAAGCTTAACCCACAACAAATATTTTTCTTATATTTTTTGTGTAAACAACTTCAATAAATTTTTACGCATATGTAAAAGAAAAAAATTATTGCTTGAAATTAAATGAAATCTTTGGAAGACTTGAAAGGCTTTTATCTTTTGTTTTCTTTTTGTACAACAATGTATTTCCTAGTGTCTGCCTTTGCACTGCCTCACTTTTGGCCTTTTGCTGACATGAACAGATATAACAGTCTCCCAAAAACACATGCATTCACCTGTAGGATACAGCTGTCCTTAAATGATCAAAGCTGGGTGGAAAATATGAAGACCAGACCAAATTATGATAAAGTACTTGTACAACGCCAAATAATTATTTACCTAGCTCTTACTTAAATACCCGGTCTCCTCTGCAAACATCATATATGAAATTGTATAATTGTTTCAGGGCTATGGATCGTTGAAGCTAGATTTACAAGTGAACGATTTAATGAGTTTCGGTTTGACGGTGTGTACACAGCCTATAACACCGCATGATGATCAGCGTTGTTTTACTTTTTTCTTCTCAATAAAATAGTGGAATATATTTTGTAGATGTATACACATGATGGTTATGTAAATAATTTTGTCATCTAAATCACAAATTCGTTACGTTAAAAAAAGAATTAAACTAATGTTGGACTGCATTGTTTCTCATCGGATACTTCATCTTTTTGTTCAGTTGTTTGTTGGGATTTACAAGGAACTTGTGCCCATTTCATGTCAAGATTACACACCACACATTCATTTGTAAATAACGACAACCTCACAAATATTTACCTCGGCATAGAACTCGTTGAACAGCGTCTCCCCCTTTTCACCTCCCTCTGTTGGTGGAGGATTATTCTGCTCCTGAGGCAGAACCTCCGTTTTTTCTGTAGCCATTTGTTTTTCTTTTCACTACAGCACGAAAGAGTTCCAACGAACCCGGTGCGTTCGATTACAACATTCCAAAAATGAACATCTTAGTATCGTTAAATAACATGTGATATACTGTATCTTCTTTATTAAAATTTCATTTTGAATAATTCTTCATTTTGTCCTAATATTAACAGGGATTAAACGTCCCTGACATAAGCAAAGAAGCTATTTTGACCTTTGTTAATGAAGCTGAGTAGTGCAAGTGTTAATTGCAAGCAAACTAGCTATGCAGTTTTCAATCACTTATATATAATTAAGTTGAAACATTTTTGTAGAAAAAGGGATAATTTTGTGTGCTCGATATTTGGAAATACGTAAAACAAAGGCATAAAATGAGGTTAAAATTGATCCTGGATATTGATAATTTTTCATTTTTGTTCCCAATTAATTGGTTTATAAATTAATATAAGAAGTTAACCCGTGGATTGATAAAAAAAAGTTTCCTTAAAAATAATATTCAGGTCGGCATCATGCCTAGCAGATCCGGACATTTATCCACTACACAGAAATATGAGATGATTTTTGCCATTTTTTCTATATCGTACTAAAATCTTATTATTTGATGTCATTCATTGACAGAGACATATATCAGTTGTTATGTTGGTCCTTTTTTGTCGATTAACTCGGTTCACTCAGTTTGGAATCTCGAGTGGTAGTAACAAACTTAACACTACACTTTATAGGATGTAAATCTTTTGAGCCGAAATGCTGATTAGGGGACTGATAAGAGACTGAATTTCAACAAAGGAAATGGATAGTACGCACTAAAAAACTGATATTCCGGTCAAGTTAAGAAGATAATTTATGAACGTTTAAATACCATAGGGTCTCGTTAGACGTTATCTTTACATCAATGTTTCTACTATCCTACTACTGCTACCACTACATTTCGTTTAAAATATTTTAATTTGAATATAATCGAATATTATATATGGAATTGGAAAGCGATTTCTAAGCTTACATCACCGTTAAACAATTGGACTACATTGACCTTCTGTCTACTCGAGACATTTTTTATCGTAACATTACATATCTAAAAACCCTTTTTGAAATTGTTGAGATAAAAAAAATCTAGGTTTTCTGAAAAAAATGCTGGTCTGTATTATAGACTATGACTTACCATTTTAATCTTTTTTGATAATATAAGCATTTAAGATTTTTAGCATTTGTCTTTTACCTTTTAGTTTGTTTGATGTTATTTCCGTTTTGGATCGCTGTATGTTTTACCGGTTGATGGTCCTAATGACCTTTTATGTGTTGACGGGCCGTTAAGAATGTCAAAATGATAATTAAGCTTTCATTAATGCCTTTCCCAGGTATATGCGACGACAGACTAATCAACGGATCTAGAAATAACTTACTCAATACAGAATGAATAATGATAAAGCTTAACAATAAACATATAAACATATCCCTGGTGAATACATTTGATTATAAAATTTAGTACAAGTCACCTTCCACCTAGCCTGATACGCATATTGGCAACAAACACAAATTTTTATATCACAAAAACAGTTGCTTAAACCACGTACTTCAATTTCAAAGTTTGTTGAAAAACAATTACATTGTTTGATATAATTTTGGAGTGTCAAGAATATTGTATCGCTTTCCTGCTTTGTGAAGGCATAATTTCTTTTAGAAGAATTTTTTTCTTTTTTTTTTTTTTTTTTGTCAGAAAGCATGATATCTAAATGTTGAAGTATTTCGTCTGAATTTAAATCACGCGTCTTGTAAAATGATCGAAATTTTATAAAGCCACTCTATTCCGAGACAAATGAAATCAACATGTAAATAGAATATCGTTGTAGAGACATTGCATCTTTTCTGACCTATGTTTGCTAAATTTCATTAACAGGTTACACGTATCTCAGGATGACGGAATACCGTCTGCTACACTTTATAAACAGCCATATCTTTGTTATGTAATGTGTACTTTTGAAGTGTCCCACTCATGTCAACCAAATTCCCTGTATTTGTTTATGTTTGGAGGACCGGTGTTTGGGGGCGTCCTTATCAAATATATTACATGAAATGTCATTTTAAAAGGCAAACTGGAAAACAAAGTGCAAGTTGGCGCTTAATTTCTTATTTATTATTCAAAAAATCCCTGCAGGTGACATTTTAAAGTTCGATAAAGAACTTGTGGGCCTAGTAACGAGAACCGAGAACGTCTGTGTTAGTCAGAATTTAACGAATTCTGTGTAATTTATGCTTTTTCAGCATCGTGAGAAAGATATCCCACAAACATTCAGAAAAAAAAAGAAAAAAAATAGCGACAAGGAACCAGACGTAAATGCATGATATACTGTTGTGGAAGTTATCATATATCTTGCATTAATACAAAGCGTGTTGTTGAAAGTAACGTCTTGAGAATAATAACACGATACAAGATCAAAATGTACGTCAAAGACATCATGCATCAGAGTTGTGTTACGTCTTATTCCAGACAGCAATCCCACAATTAACAGGAATATCTCCATAAGAATTGCATAAAAATTAAACAAAACAAAACAGTTACATTGCACAAAGGTGATAAGACATGAAATGTGAGCTTGATAATAAGAGGTTGGTCTTGTGTCGTTTCGTTTTTCATTATTTCCTATCTACCCAGATGTACGCTACCGTGTGGCTGATGCGGTAATTTCGCGTAGTCGCTCCCGCCAATGCGACAAAAATACACGACCAATGTGACAACACGAGAACAAGAAATGTCGCGTTGGCGGGGTACTTTTGTAACACTGTCGCAATAGCGGAAAACTTTTGTCGCAGTGTCGCATTGGCAACCAGCGAAATTGCCTAAATCAGCCACCATTGTACATTGTACGATGTTTTATGGTGAAATTCTTTTGAGTTGTAAAGTTTAAACTTTTATTACATTTAAAGATTATTAAGCAGCGAAAAAGGAGATCGTTGTTTCTTTTTCGCCCTGTTAAAAGCATCTTTTTTGCAGCAAATAAACGAAATTATGTCGATCGATATAAACGATTTCGTTATATCAAATCGTTTTTAGCGGTGGCGCTCTCCGACCATCGCCATTTTAGGAAGAAGAAGACAAATTAATATAACTTAGTTTTTTTCGAATTCTTCACTTGTGCTTATTAATTATTTCATTGTTATATAAGTGCGATAGGATGAAATTCTCTATGTCCATCACTGTCGACAAATACTGCCCGCTAATAACAGTTCATCATCTTTACCTAACATTAAGTTAATTGATTATTTGGTATATCGATTTTTTTCATCAACTTTACCGTAACATTCATAGTGTCGTGAATCTCATTTGATTTGAACGGAGTCATTCATGGTAGTTCTATTTTTTATTTCTTTTTCCATACTGATGCTAATATTTAAGAATTTACCGAAGCATAGTAGCCACGTAAAGTTGTTTATCATTGATATGAAAATCATAAAAAATAAAATGAAGAACAGAAATGTTTGTTCACCATTTTTTTTATTGTTTTCTGAATAATTGTGTGAAAAAAATATATAAAATTTCGATAAAACTACATAACAATATGTTCCAACACAATTAAAAAACAAATTCGATAATAAAAATAATAAAAAGGAACACCTTTATCAGGTCATATCACGAAACGAACGCGCCCTGCGTTTGTTAACAAAAATGTTATAGTTTTCTCGCTGGAGGTAAACACATGCGGGACTCGGATTACTGACGTCACGTCGAGAAGCACTCTGCTGTGAGAAGACGAACGCCGTACAGAAAAGAGAGGTAAGAAACGCTAAATGGAAAATCACGTTTGAAAATGTTTTGATCGAAAATCGAACGCCATACATAGCAAATACAATTGGTTGTAATGCTTCTGATTACAGACCTGTTCTAAACTGTAAGAAGAAATGTAAACTTTTGATTGAAAGTTTGTTATGTTTATCGTGTGTTGCAAAATGTCGTCTTGACATTGAACATTTAAAGATGCCATTACCAACTCCATTGCATAACGCGGTCTTTTTTATGCATCAAAAGATAACACTAGATACTAGTCAGGCCTTATGTATCATGGCCATATATTTGATTGATAGTAATGATTCAATAAAAGATTAGACAGTCACAATTAATTTCACACAATGATTTAGACTAACAAGACCGGTGCCCGAACGGGAACAGTGCTCGAAAACTTTTAATATTTTCGGTTCTCACTCCACTAAACGATCGATTTGTCCATACATGATGCATGGCAATAATGGGGTGACACTTACCTACATCTAATAAGAAAAACTAATATACTTTACAGCGTTTGGTCTGACTTTCAGTTTTGTGAACATTAATTGTCATGCAGTACTGTCACAAATAACACATATGACTTTATTTAACACCAATTGACATTTTGAATACTTAAAAAGTATAAAATTTAAACTATTTTGTTAATATAGCAATTTTTCTATATTCACTACTGTTATAGTATTGTTAGTTGTGCAACAGCTCCTGTGTTCTATGTGTATATATATGTTGTAGGATAACTAAACTAGATTTTAGGAAACCTGGTAGTAAATTTTTCCATGAAGAATGACACTGTACATGGCACAGACTAATAATAACCCTTTCATGTGTGGCAGGTCTAGAAGTAATTCTTCCTTGTAGCGCCAGGAAGAAAAACATACTGTTGAACATACAACAAATTGCTAGCAATTGTCAAAATATCTTTAGTGTATATCCAGATCGTGAAGATAATTAATGACTTTGAACTTGATAAGAAGTTTTATAAGATAGAAGTTTAATCCAACTTTTGTAATTATAACAAATTATACATGCAATAGTTATTGGGACATAAATATGATATTGCATAATGATGAATACTGGGTTATTTTGGTTTCTCACTTATATATATATATCTATATATACATGCATATTATGTTCTGATTTCCTCAACTCTGGCTATAATACCAGGGGTAACTATTATGTTAGTTGTAGTCAGGTGTTGGTGAGGTGATGAGAAATTGGCATTATTGAAGTGACCAAATGCTATACACATAATTCACATATTCTAATTTTTCGGGTCAGTGCAATCTGATCATCGTAAATTGTTCTTATGTGTTGATTACCTTTGAAACCACAAAATTTTGCTCTGGTAAAACTTCTAAATGTGTGAAATGGCTGTTCTCTAATATTTACTCCAGTCGAACATTATCAGTTTTGGTGTCTAATGTTAATTTTTTTAAATGTACACGGAATGGTTGTAGTTGATGTGACAAAATGGTTCCTGAAGGTGTAAAATACCTCTTGATTAGTGATAGAATCCAGTATACAAGTATAAGAGGTAATTAATCTATGACATCATTGAAAGCAGAGTATGAATGTCTTTGCAGTCCCTAGCCCTGTTTCTATTGTCCACATAGAAGACACATGTTATGACTACATGTACAATACTTAGGGCATGCTGTTTCTCATGTCCCATCTTATATAATAATGTACAACAGTAAATGTAGAATGTAGCTATCTCTGTCTTGTTAGCTTTGTAATGCTGAATTACACATTAGTTTCAAGTTCAGTTATTTTTCTTTCAGTAGTAGAAACAGAAACCATTTTATTTTTATTTATTTATTTTTGTTTTTTTTGTGTAAAAATCACCAACCCTTACACATAAATAGATAATTTTAACTTTTCCATTGTACAAAGGTATGTTGGGTTTTTGCATTTTACAAGGAAAGTAGCAGTCATAACTGTGGATTTCCTGAATTCACAGGAAATGGAGTATAATGTACTTGGGATGAGTGATATTTATTGGATGCTCAAAATTTCAGTTAAACTCTTGTGAAAAATAGCTCTCAAATTAATAGAACATCAGATTGGATTAAAAAATCATCCTTTAATATCATTTTCAAGAGCCTTAGTTGTATTACCAACAGATGTAAACTTGTGTGAGCAACTTGGCTATCATATCAAAGGTGAGATTGCTTTTTATATTACATATATACTACTACATACCAGCAGTACATACAGCATACATGATGTACACATGTAAACTTACTTAATGAAGTGTCAGAGATACCTATAGTTGAGATTTTTTTTTAGATTTTTTTGCTAGTCCTCCATAAGTGTTCTAGGTGAACTTACTTATCACATCACATGTTGGCTGTCATGAAAAAAAGTATCCTGTTTCATCATTATGTCATCATAAGGATTTTTGTAATATTTAAATATATGTGGGAAATTCTCACTTGATCATTAATCTGCCATTGTTACTAAAAAAGGGGGTTGACATGTTACTAAAGGAAAAAGGGGAAAAATTGAGTGGGGGATGGGGGTGATAGAAAATGATTAAACAAATTTAGTGCTGTGTCACTACTGATAACATTGGTTTTTTAACTTGATTATTTCCTTTGCCCTGACAACAACATGTATAAATGAAATGTATTAGTGTTGCACTGACATGTTTATGACTATATAGTTATACCAGTGTACTACTCTTAGTGTATATAATGATAAGAATGAAACATATGGTGCACACTTCATATACATTGGTATATTTACAGGTAAGATTTCAAATTTAATGAATACAAATAGTTACTTAATATTTGAACGAGTCATGTTTTTTAGAGCAAGACAAAAATGAAATGTGATTTAAATTTTTTTTACTGCTCTGATCCAATATCCTAATTAACTATTTCAATAGTTCTCAAATACTATTGAAATAAAGAAATTAAATCTATACATGCACTATGCTAGTCTAAGTTTTCCAGTTAAAATGACAACATACTACCTGCACTGACCCTCATGATTATATCACGGATGTAGACGTAATTTATTAGGTATGACCGTTTAGGATGACATTAGTTTTCCCAGTATAGGCCCCATGTCTGGTAACTCAAGGTAGAATGTATATATCCATGTGGACTTTGAACCCTGTGTATACTAGTTCATTTAGGTATAATACTTGTGTATATTCATAACACACTGATGTGTAACACCCTCAGGTAAGTCAAACTTGATTGAAATTCTGTTACATCTAATTCTCTCGCTTTGTTAACGTTATGACTTGCTAGTACAAGTGTACTCTATCTTTAAAAGTATAACTTTTTTTATTCAGGTCAATGCTCTCTTTTTTACTTAGAAATATTTGTTCTAAATTATGATCTTGGAAATGGTAAACTCCAAATGGTAAGTTACGAATGAAGACCAAAATATAATAGAAAACATGGTTTAATGTCATTTTTTTTTTATGTGAAACTTCAGAAAAGTATATATTTCTATACTGAAGTAAAAAATATCAATAGTTGTAGATTGAGTTTTTGGAAAAAAATTCTTTCTTAGCAGTGAAAACAAATACAAATTTAGGAAATGTTAAAATATAACATTATTATATTATGATGTTTAAGAGATATTGTTAGATACGGTTTTCCAGGAAAAGTTTTATGTAGCCCATTAGTCATTTTAGAGTGCTTCAATACAGGAGTATTTTTTCCCCACAAATTTAACAGTTTCATTTTCCTTCTGTGACATCAGTAAACAAGTACAGACATTTTACAAAACTAGCAGCAGTATGGTATTTATGCTAAATTAAAAAGTGTTAAAAAATATGTATATGTCATTGGATGCTTGTCCGTGACATATGTACATGTATATTTATACACTAGAAATGAACAAAATCTTGGAGCATTAATAACTTCATTAACATTAATGGGCTGTGTATAGTGTGAATAGTTGTGCAGCACCTGTTTTAGCCACAAATTATGTTCCAGTACTCTTGTGTATCTCTTGGAGGAAGGAAGTATGTAGGGAGGTTAAAGACACTCGGGCATATTGCACGAGACATGGATCTTTGCAGACAATTTTGAAAGGATGATAACTTGATACTTTATCTATTGATGTGGTGTTGCATGAATAATAGATGGAAATAAGGCACCTTGATAATTTTGGATAGCAGTATGTATGGTCATTAAGGGGATACAAACCTGGCATACGTATGAGATTTGATCATTATAAAGACATTGTACTTGTAGCATGCATGTTTTGAGATTTTTTAATGATACTGGTCCATTACGCACTAGTAAACAACATTACTGAATGTTTACCCAACAATAAACTTCTATTCTGTGAATGAAGTGAAGGTGTGTGAAAGGCCAACATGAAGCAGGTTATTTGTACATCGTTGATTTTTCAAGATAATGTAGTGCTTTAATTTCTTATGTGTTAATTGTTTTTTACGTTTAATATCAAATCGGTAAAACATTTATAATCATAATGTAGGATGACTGATTTAACAAATATTGTAGATGGTGTTTGCTCAATTTGAAGAGGGGGGGGGGTGGGGGGGGGGAAGGGGGCATTCCTTATCCCACCTCAAACAAGACATAATAAGGTACGCTGTCCATCCAGTATATGTTGACAGAGAAGAGCATCTCCTTCAATTAGGTAGTGAGCCAAAGGCATGTTTACATGTTTCCAGATTGTATCTATATGTACGAGTATATTGAAGGTGTGTTTGGGTGTATTGGTATAGGTGTAGCATCTCTGTTGTTAGTGTAAAACTAAGGTAAGGATTCATCGAAAACAGACGAAAAAAACTCAAATGATCACAGGACAAAAGGCATACCCAGTAAGTGACAAGGTATCACTTGTGACTTTATTGAGAAGTACACATAGCAGGCTGTATCAACAGCTTTGTAAAATCAAAATTAATACATAAACAAATGCAAATATTAGACACAAAAGCAATCTTTTTTATATGTGTTTTATGATATGAAACACTTTAAGTTAAAAATTTTGATGATTTTTTAAATGCTGAAATAACAGATTATATGGATTTTTTTAATTCTTTAGAATTCCATATTTAAATCTATTGTAATTGAATTTAACACATCTTGTCAGTTTGGTGTGCATTCTACCTGTAATGTACGTAGTTGTGTAGTGGTTTGTTTACATCTGTTTGTTTATATTTGAATAGTCCAGTCTAAACATGAACACAAAGTAGTATGAAGGTGTCTATGTTTATGTATTTGCAGGTGAGCAGTCTATAGTTATCTGTAAGGATGGCTGAGGCTCACTCCGCTGTAGCCTTCTCCTTCTCTGTCACTCCAGAAGGAATTGATGTGAACCTCAACCATGAGGCTCTCAAGGCAGTATGGAAGAGTGGCGTACGGTCCTGGAAAAAGCGTATAGGACGAGCCAAGGTAGGCTGTAATTACACATACTAAACCATAACAGACATGGAACAGGCTAATCAAGTTGACATGTCTTAGGGCACTTACATAGGCCCTGATGACCTTCATATGACCTTTTTGTAGATACACATGTGACAGATGTAATCAATGGATCAAGTTAGGTCATTAGTTTTCATGTAACATGTGTTATTACCTGAATTGTTGGATATTGGCGAATGGATGATTTCATGAAATATGGTAAATAATTACCATATTTGTCAACAATAAGTCTGTGTCTGGTAATAAGCCCATCATTATCTATTGCTTTAACAGAAATAATAGCAAATGTTGTTTTGTTCAAGATCTGTGATAATAAGCACATCCCATCACACTGAGTCAGGGGTTACGTTTTGGCCCCTGGCCTACAGACTTATAGGAAAATAAATTACAGGTATATTTGAGTAGTACTTGCAGGGCTATTGATCATAGTGAAATACAGTCAGAGAGTCCAGCGTAGGTGTATTTAAGTATAAGGCAAGAACAAAAACAGTAATTATTTAAATTGTCAATCCATTGAATCTATACATATCAACCAACACAATGATCAATCTGCCTGTAAGTCCTGAGTCCTATACTCATAGAATTTTCATAGGACACACAGAATTTCTAGAAATATATAAATTAAGGGTTTATTAATTTTAACGATAAATTTGAAAAACAATCATGATATTAAATTGTAGATTGGTCACGACAAACAGTATACTTTGTGCCTACAGTAAGTTGTATTAATGGAATATTAAAATGATGGATGAGGAACAATGTATACATGTTCTTTGTGTTATGTTCCCTTTATACAAAGTACATATATCTTGTATGTACCAGTTAATAGACCCAAGTCAGACCACACATAGATACAACATAACATCCTATTGAGACCTGATATTTTACTACATTATGCCAGCCTAATGTGAGATACACATATTATTTGATGTAGCTGTAACTTAGTAAGATAGCTTCATTTACTAACGACACAGTGTTATAAGGATAGTTACAATGTATCTGATGACACCATTGTCACAGTGACAGCACAGACTATCATCTTATTTTATTATAGTTCATTCCATACGTGCATGGTATCTAATACGTAACCATCCTACTATTTAATGTAGTTTCTAAAAATAGGTTTTGTTTATGTCCTTATTTGAAATAGAATATTTGAAAATGATATGTAGATGGATGAGTAATGAAGCGTAACACGAATTTGAAGTTAGCTCAACTTGTATATACCCACAGTATACTGAATGTCTTTTTAACTTTTTTTTTCATTTCCTTTGAGGGATTTGTCAATGAGCTGTATGTATAAACAGTTCAATGCAGTAAATAGCTGAGTATAACCAAAACACATTGGTTTAGAAAAGAAATACCTTCAAAGGTATAATATGTAAAACCTTGCTGTATAATGGCACACTAGTTAGTATACATATTCTAATCACAGAACCTCAGACCAGACACAAACAACGTTCACACTTTATGATAGAAGACATTACATGGTCGAAATGATTCATGATTTATAATGATGATGTCCACTTAGTATTAGGACCTGGTATCATTTTAAGGTTAGGTGTAGTCATTTATCAGAATGTAGGTGTTGCTTCCTCCCATATAACATAAAACCTTGTATTTTGGGAATGTTTTCTGTGTGTATAGTATGTATTCAGGTATGGTGTGATAGATATACTCTCTTTCCCCATATATAATGTTATATAAATAAAAAAAAATCCACAATGATGACAGATTCCTGACAGTTATAATTTAAATGACAACACTTCCATAATGTGTGCTTGTAAAACTGGGATTTTTCCACTGTTGTACCACAAACTTTCATTAAAAGTACTCTGACTATGCTCTGTAATGTTCACATGTGCCGTGACTATCTCTTTGCAAAATACTGAAATGTCCTGTATAGTATTTAGTACAGGTTCAAGGTATAATTGACCAGGCAATATTTGTCGGAAGATATCAGTTTAATTTATTTGTTGACATGTTTTGACAAACCCTTCGGCATACTAGGTATGCCCTCTTTAGAAAGCTTTAACAACAGAAGTACTTCTGCCACAGCTGTTGGTTTTTATTTTCTTTGTTTTGCTTTGTAGTATATGGTACAATTTACCTAGATTTACCTTTATTTTACCAGTATAAGCAGTTATTTTACCTGTCATACCTACATTTGAAAACTACAAGCAGAATGGATGATAGTTAATATCAAATAATGTATGGTGTTTCTACAAAAAAAATCAATACAAAATCTTCGTCAAAGTTTATAAAGGAAATTTTGTTTTTATTTGTTGTAAAACTTTGATTGGGAACTATGATGTTCCTCTATTGGTATGGCTGATGTGTCATATGGATTCATTCATGGGGGAAGCTACAGCATGTTTTTAATATGTTTTGTTGACATTATAATTACCATGCATGTGGGAATGGGGGTTTTCATTCTTACCTAATATTGAAAGGAAAATCCATGGACTTGGACGTGTAGCGATAGAAATGTTTTTATGTCTTGTAGTTTTCAAACATGTGGTTGATAATGTGGTATAAAATAAGTGAAAAAAAACCCTGTTTATTAAGTGTTTTTACTAACAGCTGGCTTTTAAAGAAAACTCAGTGTATGGGAAAAATAATTTTGTAACATATTTGTGCTAAACAAGTAATAGCTGTACAGAAAAGACAAAATCTTTCTGATATACCTTCTTGGTTTTTATATGCTGGCTCTCTCCGCTGGCACAATCATCCTAACAATACATGGAAATGATCTCTCTTATTTTTAGTTTTGATATAAGTAATACTGCTGAGTAGTAAAATTGTAGATTTTGGCAGTTTAAAAAAAAAATCCTCTAAAGACATTTTATGTTTATGATATAAAGGCATTAGTTTGGGATCAGAACAGCAGTCAACATATATTATAAGTTTTTCAGCTAAATCAAATTAATGCAAACTTTTAACAGTGTTTAACAGTCGAGAAATATCTGCTTTTGACTTTTGAGCAAAAAATAGAGATAATGTGGATGATTTTTTTTATATGAAACGCATTATGCTTTATTTTAAATAATGAATAAGCAAGTGAAATTTGTAAACTCTCTTTCCAAAATACTGTGACTTATCTTGCACATTGCTCAGTAAAATTCTTGGTGGTAGTGTTAAGCAGATAAAGCAAATGCTTTGATTTAAAGGTCATGCTTTTTTTAATGGTCTGTTATTTTAGCACACATCTTATGACAGATATTGTAATCAAGGTTAAAATCCTCTGGTATTGACCTTAGATAATGTGCCAAGATGTCTGAATAAGGAAGGCTGGCATTCTACCAAGTCAAAGTTTCCTTTGTTGTCCTTTAAGAAGCCTATCAATATATACAGTGCCTTTATATAATACATTTATGTACTTTGGTTGGACTTTGTTCCATACATATAGGCCATATTTATAGTAGACACATACAGTGATTTTGTTTTAGCAAATTCTGCTGTCAAATATGGCTACCTGGTAGTTTCATTAAGCTGCAAGTATAAAGATTAATGAATGAAGAAATGTGTATGAAGGGTTAAAATAAAAAATGTAAAATCCATAGAAATAGTGATATTAATTGAGCTATACCTAGAGTCATGAAAATGGTACATTTTTATCTGAACCAGCAACATCACTATTATTTAAAGAGGTTTGTCAGGTATGCAAGCTGATCTGCATTTTCTAAATATACGAAATATTGAATCTATGAGTGGTAAGATATCACTTTGTGCTGGTTGTGCTTCATCAAAATATTGTTCTAAAAATGATTTTAATGAAGATGAATAAAAAGCAATGAAAAGTAAACAAACAAAATAGTTAACCACCCCCCCCCCCAAAAAAAAAACAAAATAAAATAAATAAATAAATAAAAGAAAGAAAGAAAAAACCAACACCCTGCATAATTTAGCGATTGTTAAATTGCCATAACAATTAAACAGTTTTATATGTCTTGTTAGATTTATTCTGAAAGAGAAAGTTCAGGATTCATTTGTCTGTAATATAATTGTGTTCTTGGTGTTTCTTTAGACAAGACTCATTTTGATTAAAAAAAAAACAACAACAACAAAAAACTAAGGAATAAAATCAACCTTGTGGTTTGGTGTGTATAACATGACATCATTTGTAAACTGGGTACTAAGAAATAATTTGTGTGGATGAAGATAAAACTTAAGAGTCCAGAGTTCAGCTGCACTACAGAAGCATTGATGATTATTGAACAGATATTTATAAAGATTTGAATTGTTTTACAGAACCAGTTTAAAAATGGTGTGTACCCTGCAACCCCCATGAGCTGGCTCTTCATTGCTTCAATAGTGCTGGGAACTCAATTAGCGGGATATGACATCTCATTTGGTCTTATAGGATGGTCCCAGGCCCATATACCATGGTAAGTTCAAAGACAGATAATGTTATATATCAGTGTGGATGGTGTTGATGATATGTGTAATTATTTCAATGATATATTCCTGTATTGTATCTAAACTGGGCATTTGCTACAAATGAATATTTATAAGCCATTACTTAAGACTTGATTGACATTTCTTTAACACTTACCTGATGGTGTGACTCATCGGCTGTCAGTATATTTCACCATGAAGTCAAAATATCACTCAAGGTTCCATGTATGTGGGTTAACAAATCTAGATATTTCAGTAAAACTGTTACAGTTTGGTGACTTGTCATTGATTGCATAACTGTTATAACATTTATAGCCTTTAGGTTTAAAATGTGTGTCTTCTGAATCATTTAAGCCATAGTGGTTAATTGATTTTAAGTCTGGAGGTTGCTTAGAGTACAGATACAATCACTTCACACCTAATAATAATACAGGTATTTATTCATAAAAAGATCCATTCCCCTACTTAAGATTTCCTTAAGGGTATAAAAATATACATGTTGATCTTAAGGTATTGACTATATACATGTACATGTTAAGGTATTGAATATATATATGTAGATGTTAAGGTATTGAATATATACATGTAGATCCTAGGGTATTGAATATATACATGTAGATGTTAAGGTATTGACTATATACATGTAGATGTTAAGGTATTGAATATATACATGTACATGTTAAGGTATTGAATATACACATGTAGATGTTAAGGTATTGAATATATACATGTAGATGTTAAGGTATTGAATATATACATGTAGATGTTAAGGTATTGAATATATACATGTACATGTTAAGGTATTGAATATATACATACATGTTAAGGTATTGAATATATACATGTACATGTTAAGGTATTGAATATATACATGTACATGTTAAGGTATTGAATATATACATGTACATGTTAAGGTATTGAATATATACATGTAGATGTTAAGGTATTGAATATATACATGTAGATGTTAAGGTATTGAATATATACATGTACATGTTAAGGTATTGAATATATACATACATGTTAAGGTATTGAATATATACATGTACATGTTAAGGTATTGAATATATACATGTACATGTTAAGGTATTGAATATATACATGTAGATGTTAAGGTATTGAATATATACATGTACATGTTAAGGTATTGAATATATATACATGTACATGTTAAGGTATTGAATATATACATATATACATGTACATGTTAAGGTATTGAATATATACATGTACATGTTAAGGTATTGAATATATACATGTACATGTTAAGGTATTGAATATATACATGTAGATGTTAAGGTATTGAATATATACATGTACATGTTATGAAGAATATATACATGTACATGTTATATTGAATATATACATGTACATGTTAAGGTATTGAATATATACATGTACATGTTAAGGTATTATATACATGTAATATATACATACATGTAGATGTTAAGGTATTGAATATATACATGTAGATGTTAAGGTATTGAATATATACATGTACATGTTAAGGTATTGAATATATACATGTACATGAATATATACATGTACATGTTAAGGTATTGAATATATACATGTACATGTTAAGGTATTGAATATATACATGTACATGTTAAGGTATTGAATATATACATGTAGATGTTAAGGTATTGAATATATACATGTAGATGTTAAGGTATTGAATATATACATGTACATGTTAAGGTATTGAATATATACATGTACATGTTAAGGTATTGAATATATACATGTACATGTTAAGGTATTGAATATATACATGTAGATGTTAAGGTATTGAATATATACATGTACATGTTAAGGTATTGAATATATAGATGTACATGTTAAGGTATTGAATATATACATGTACATGTTAAGGTATTGAATATATACATGTACATGTTAAGGTATTGAATATATACATGTACATGTTAAGGTATTGAATATATACATGTACATGTTAAGGTATTGAATATATACATGTAGATGTTAAGGTATTGAATATATACATGTACATGTTAAGGTATTGAAGAATATATACATGTACATGTTAAGGTATTGAATATATACATGTAGATGTTTAAGGTATTGAATATATACATGTACATGATAAGGTATTGAATATATACATGTACATGTTAAGGTATTGAATATATACATGTACATGTTAAGGTATTGAATATATACATGTAGATGTTAAGGTATTGAATATATACATGTAGATGTTAAGGTATTGAATATATACATGTACATGTTAAGGTATTGAATATATACATGTACATGTTAAGGTATTGAATATGTCCATGTACATCTACCTGTATACCTATCAGTCAATATTTATATTAGTCTTGATTCTCCCGTAGTATACAAGATGTTTCTGTCACACTCTCTGTTTATATTACATTTGACCCCTTCTCCTCCCTGCCCCCGTGGGTTCACATTGGTGAAACAGATTGTTGAGTATCAGAGTAGGTCACTTTGACCTCCTTTTTTGGCCTTTGACCTATATCAAAGAACCTCCTTTTTTGGCCTTTGACCTATATCAAAGAAAAACTTAGTCTTGGCATTATCTCCTATTCTATTAGTTAGTCATTTGAAAATGATGTATCAGGTCATCTTGGTGAGACTTTGATTCCCCAAATTGCCTTCTTTTTGTTCTGTAGGGTACGAGATTTCTCTTCAGTTGTGAGGTTGTACTTAAGCTGTATGCTGTTCTCCACCCTACTGTGGGTAGCCAAGGCCAATGTAATGAAATACACACTGAAGATGCTACTTCACTACCATGGCTGGATGTATGAACCTCGTGGACCAATGACTCTTCGCACCAAGATATGGATGGTAAATTCACTTTTGAAATTTGTAATATTCCTCAATACAGTACCTTTCATTTACCGGTATTAAAAGTAAGTGTTCTTTTACTTTTAATGACCGACCTGTAGTGATGGTTGTGATGTAGTGATTCTATGGTCAAAGTTCAGATAATTTGATACTATTGTCCATGAACTGACTACATCCTGTTTATATATATAGAATTACTGAATACATTTTTATGGCATTGGGAATTCCCGAGTTGTGACGATATCTGTATAATGTCAATGTCAAGAAACCATAAAACTGAAGTGTAGACCTTATGGTGGAGTGTTTTTGTTATCATCAAATGTTACAAACATCACAGTAATGCTGTACCAAGTTAGAACTGTATAATAATATCGTTGTCAAGAAAAAAATTCATCCGAATACTATGCAGTAAAATAAGATTAATAGATGTACTTGTAAAATTGACCTGTTTTAAATCTATTGATGTACGACAGTGTCTTTACCTCACTTCACCCCTTCATTTTTGCTCTAGCATTTTCACATTTAAGCGAAACATCTAAACAAAACATGATGAGTAATGTAGAAATATCTTTAATTTCAGGGATTGGTGAAGTTGTTCGGTGGAAAAAAGCCATTGTTAATGAGTTACCAAAGTGCCCTCCCCAAAATTAGCGTTCCTCAAGTCAGCGACACCATAGACAGGGTAAGTCAGGATTCTTGTTTAGTAGTAAAATGTAAATACAGTGATATGTCATATATACGATTTGGTAAACTAGGTATCTATATATCTATATCCTAAGGTAATACCTTTACTGTTTGATGATCTCTTTTATCTGTTAAGTTGAGTTAACATAGATGTTTGTAGTAATCTATGGTCCTGGGATTCAGTACTAGATTGAAGATAACTTGAATAACATGTGCTATGTCACAACCCTTTTGAGAGACAAACAAGTATTGATATGCAAATTCATTGTGTATTTGGAAAGAAGTTTAATTGTGCATACAGAAGTTTTGAAAGTTTACAAATAGATGAGTTGGAAACACAAAAATTAACTGAAAAATTTAGAATCATTGTTATTTTTGTCATTTTTGATTATGCAGAGTAATTAAAGCAGTACTCTGATCCAAGTAGTATTTCTATCGATCACACAGCTTGGCTGATTTGTTGATGCTCTAGTTTTATAACCTGGAATAGAAGTTAGAAGGTTTCTTTTGCCTCACTGCTGCCGAAATTTCAGTATAGAACAAGATGACCTGTTTGCATTAATACAAGGAGGTCTAGCACATTTTCATTGCTGTTATATTTTTTCACTGTTGTTAGTATTTGAAGTCAATACGTCCATTGATGGATGATGAGAAATACAACAGGATGGAAGGCCTGGCAAAAGAGTTCCTCAGTGGATTAGGTCCTAAGCTCAATCGCTATCTGAAACTGAAGTCCTGGTGGTCCACGAACTATGTAAGTCATTGTATACAGTATTTATATAACTCATGTTAAAGATTTCTCCTTTGAGTTTGTATCATTTATATTAGACGTGTTTCACAGTATCTTTATCAGTCAGATATCGCTTTGAAATAATTCACAGGACGGAGGTATATGTGGTGTAAGAAAAGTTTGTGATACTGCTGCTAATACCCTTTCACACAAAACTAACCAATGAATATCAGCTATTTAACTGGTAAAACAAGGTCCTACCTGTCAAAATAATATTTCTGTATTTTTAAGTTAAACCAGAAATACATGATAGTAATAAAAAAAAAAGCTCGGCCACACATACAATATCAAAATCAAAAAGGGAAGGTAGAGCCAACACTGCGTTGGGTGATTGAATGTAGGATGATGGATTCCGAGGCCCCTTTGTCTGGATGCCCCTAAGTAGGCAAGGTGTTTGAATGTAGGATGATGGATTCCGAGGCCCCTCAGTCTGGATACCCCTAAGTAGGCAGGGTGATTAAATGTAGGATGATGGATTCCGAGGCCCCTCTCTTTGGATACTCTAAGTAGGCAAGGTGTTTGAATGTAGGATGATGGATTCCGAGGCCCCTCTGTCTGGATACCCCTAAGTAGGCAGGGTGATTGAATGTAGGATGATGGATTCCGAGGCCCCTCTGTCTGGATACCCCTAAGTAGGCAGGGTGTTTGAATGTAGGATGATGGATTCCGAGGCCTCTCAGTCTGGATACCCCTAAGTAGGCAGGGTGTTTGAATGCAGGATGATGGATTCTGAGTCCCCTGTCTCTAGATACCCCTAAGTAGGCAGGGTGATTGAATGTAGGATGATGGATTCTGAGGCCCCTCAGTTTGGATACCCCTAAGTAGGCAGGGTGATTGAATGTAGGATGATGGATTCTGAGGCCCCTCAGTCTGGATACCCCTAAGTAGGCAGGGTGTTTGAATGTAGGATGATGGATTCTGAGGCCCATCCCTCTGGGTACCCCTAACTAGGCAGGGTGATTAAAGGGTGATATCAGATATATGACTAGTACAGTCATATTACGAGCAGACCTCGAGGAAAAATTAAACAATTATAAACAAAAATAAAACAGTTATTAACTTGACTACACCATGTATCAGCGTTGTTTTGTGATATGCTAGTAAACTCAAATAGACAATAGTTATTAGATCTCATGATGTTTGTTTTAAATGCTATACTCATAATGTTTACTTCATTCTACCAGTATTTAAGCATTAATCAGGATATGCATTAATGTTATTGTATTACAAATGTTGATAATATACTGAACAAAACATCCAGACTTTAGAAATCTGATAGACTAGCTAGTGTGTAACTAAGAATATTTGGAGTTGTAGTAAGATGATAGATTAGCTAGTGCTAAAGTATGGAGTTATAGAAAGTTGATCAACTTTATAGTGCTGAAGTAAAAATAATGCCCATTGTTTCCACTCCATCAGTACATGGTATAGCGATAAGCTTGACAGCCAATTGGGGGCTGAGAATTGACAAACAAATAAGTTGAAGGCTGTGATTACCGTACATATCTTGTATTACAGGTGTCTGATTGGTGGGAGGAATATGTCTACTTGAGTGGAAGGTCACCAATCATGGTCAACAGTAACTTCTATGGTATTGTAAGTATGGAATATTCAAAAATTGTACCACTGTTTGGGACTCAGTAAACACGGTAGCCATCTTTTTGTCTTCAATTCTTTCTTTTAGAAGAATGTCTTAAAGTATGAAAGACTGGATTCTAAATTCCCTAAAATTCCATATGGTAACATGCTTTTTTTGTGTGTAGAAACTTTCCCTAATAATTATAATAGAAAATGTTACAGGTTCATCAATACATTAATGTGGCTCATTCAGCACATTTTGTTGTATTTCATGTTTTCCAAATTTTCCTTTGTACCGCTGTGAAACAAAAAGGTTGAATTGATACGAAAACTAATTTCAATAAATTTGATTTAATCAATTAAATCAATCTAATTGCTGAACTATTTCAGGATGCAGTGCTAGTCCATCCTACCAAGATCCAGGCAGCTAGAGCAGCCAATGTTATCCATGCCATGCTGTTGTACAGACGAGAATTGGACACCGAACAACTCAACCCTGTAGGTCCAAATGATCTGTCTGCAAAATGATACAAATGTCAACATTTGTTATGTATTGAATAGAATTAAGATGTTTCTGGTATTCAATTATTTCATACATTTTTTTAATGTTGATTTTACATTTGATTTCTAAAATTTTAATTAAAAACGGTTGAAGTAATTTTTCACATTTTCCACAGTTCTTAAAACTAGGCATTAGGCAGAGAATCCCTTAGGTAAATAAGAGTTCTGACAGAATAAACACTGCAATCTTATCTGATTTCTCTTTTACAAATATCTCCTATTTCAGATCTTGCTGAACAAAACAATTCCCCTGTGTTCCAGTCAATATGAAAGGCAATTTCAGACAACAAGGATACCAGGCATTGAAAAAGGTAAAATTGAATCAGGTTTTGCTTGGTAACAGAGGAGATGGCATGGTGATACTAGCCTATGTCATGAAATGGCCAGATCAAAGTTACCTTTGTCTCCATCACATTCTATCAAAAAATGATGGCTTTTTTATTTGAATTTAAGTTTGTTTTGATTAAGATGTTGCCACATCAATGGTAAACAAAATAACCTGATAGCTCCTTATTACTGTATGATAGCTCCTTATTACAGTATGATAGCTCCTTATTACAGTATGATAGCTCCTTATTACAGTATGATAGCTGCTTATTTGTAAGATTTTCATTTTCTGATATATAATTCTAAAAAGAAGAGTGAGACTTATTCATTGAGCTATTGTGTTGTTGACAGACAAGCTGATGTACATGAAGGACAGTCAACATATCGCAGTATACTGTCGAGGACGGTACTTCAAGATGTATGTTTACCAGCGAGGCAGACTGCTTAAACCTTGTGAACTGGAGGTGTAAGTAACATTCACCATCATCTGTTCAAAGTCACGTAATTCATATACTGTTAGGTATATAATAAAGAACAGATTCAGTATTGTAGGTGCAACACTCATAGAAATTATTGATCAGAAGTACAGGAAAAGTAATTATGGCTGGTCATCAGGTTATGCTATAGATTTAAAAGGGAAAAATCATAGAAATTATTTTGGTAATTAATCAACATTCTAAAAAATTTAAAAAAAAAAAAAAAAAAAAAAGAAAATTTATGTTATGATATAGAAATTTATTTGATTACTTGTGATTATAGGGTTGGCAGTTACTGGGATACTACCCAGTATATTTATCTGTATGATAGTGTTTTTATATGATGCCTTCCAGTTCCATCCAGAAGATCATAGATGACACCTCAGAGTCAGCTCCTGGAGAGGAACATCTTGCTGCCCTAACTGCAGGAGACCGTGTGCCATGGGCTAAAGCTCGTCAAGAATATTTCTCTAAAGGCAAAAACAAGGCATCTTTGGATGCTATAGAAAAGGTAGTTGCAGAAAATAGCTTGATCAGATGTTTATCTAGAATTTTCAAGCCCTGCCTCATTCATCAAGTTGTGTCATGTGATGTCCTGTTCTGCATCAACGTCTTCTCAAAGAGAATCTCTCAACAGATTTTGATCATATTTACCCCATAGTCTCATATTAACATCACATTCTACACCTGATCAGACTCTAGATTGCATAGCAGTGAGAGCAATGATGTCTCATAGACATTTCCTTGTGTAGATATTTTCATTTGCTTCATTAAAAAGATTGATGAAGAGACTCTCTAAATTTGATTAAACAAACTTATGAATTGTAATTCTATATTGAGAAGTCAACTGAATTGATATTTCAGGAAAGAGTTACATTTGGATGGCATTACTGTGTCTTGGAATCGTGTCCTTTTTGTCATGCTGACATTTTCTCTCTCTTTTTTTTGTGTGATAATTTGGTGTCATTAAATTGGATTGAAATTATACCCGAAACCTGTTAAATTCTGTAAGCATTAGAAACACTCTGAAATTTTGATAGTAAGTTGTGAATCCTACTGACTTTATCTTTTGTCTCTGAAGTAGAATGGCATACCATAGGCTACCTGTGTTTCTTCTGGTTCCGTTATTATACTGTATTAAAACATTAAACATTTTTTCACTGTGAAATGTAATGTAATGTATTTCAGGCTGCCTTCTTCTTGTCCCTTGATGACGAGGCCCAGGACTTTGATGCTGTAAGTGATCTTTACAATATTGACATACAGTAATAGACTTTATATAAACTTTTATTAATAATTAATCTCTTTACTGTCTAATGTTGTTTCTATAATTTAGCAAATAAAAACACAGTGAGTGTTGCTTCCTCCACTTTATGCAATATCACAATTTAATCCTATAATCACTTTTCTTTTCAATAAAGTGGAGTTAACAGTTTGAGCTTGAATTCTCATTTACTTTTGAAGTGTTTATACTGACATAAAATAGCAAACTTGTTTCCCCCAGAATGTCACCGTATAGGTAAGAATGTACTTTTAAGGTGCACATTGTCTTCTGTGTCTTCAAAAACGATGAAAAAAAAATCTTTTGTTTCTTACAACTTTGCACAAATGAACTTCGATTTCAATAGGACTACGTCATTTTCTGTGACACCTTTACCTGACTAAAATTTAGATAAACAATATTTTGATCATTAACTCAATTTGTTGGTAGGTGGGATCTCTAAATATTCAGGTAAACACTGTACAACCTTGATCTATTGTGCATGATATGGTAAACTGTACTATTTGTTGTTGGTAATTCCATGTGATATTATGTGTATTTAGATGCATGCCTTTATGTGTAAGTAAGACGAGAAGATTAGGGTTCTATACAAACCAGCACAAACAAATCAAGATTTAATTCAATTGTATCATTTCGTTTGTGAATTTCTATAACATTTCTATTTTTATCTATTCTGTACTTTATAATGAACCATTTTGGCTCAATAACTCATTTTAAGTTTCATTTTCCATTTATTTCACAAAGATGTTTTATGAAATTTTCTCTGATAGCTTTTAACCAAAGTGAAGAAGATTATGGGTTCTGCCTCCTTATCAAGTCATTTCCTTCTGACTGTTCTCTGCTTGGTATTCTGCTTAATATTATAGGTGATCAGTAGTACTAGCTCGGGATTCCAAATGATATGACTGGGTGACATTACTGATATATCTCTGAATTCTATGACTAGATGCAGACTTTGCCGCAATTATGATCGACCCACAATAACTGCCATGATATTGAAAAGACATTACCTGTACATAATTATGATATTTAATGATGACTATTTCTATTTTTTTTTTTATTATAATACCTCCTGAAATACTCCAGGATTATCTCCCTTTACCCAGTTTACACTCTGACATTTATGTGTAGTAAGAATGGCACATTATATAGATATAATGTGTCTACTTCCACTAAGGGATTCTAATCAGGAGTATGATTTTTTACAAGATTGCGGGAATATTTAAATTTGGTCACTTTTTGTGATATCAAAAATAACGAGAGGGAAAACCAGCTTTATTTTGTTCACAATTAATAATGTTATGAGACAACACCATTCTATAATATTGTGGATTTTGCCTGGTGGGATCAAAGTCTATACAGTATACTAAATGGGTTTAATGGTACATGCTTCTAATAACATGTTCAGGATAAATCACAGACCAGGTATTTACTAATGTGGTGCTTGGGGCTCATGTCAATTGTTGTGGCTCAATGTAAATTGTTAAAGTAGACCGGGAGATTCTTTATGAGAGTGAAATGAGAAATTTGCAAAAGTGAAAACAGCATGGTAGGGAATAAGAAGATAAACAGAATATTTATGAGGGGAAAAACTTCCAATCAGATGTATGTGTCTTACGTAGATGTGTTTATAATCAGACAACATTTTTTTAAATTCTATACCGAGAAAAAAAATCTCAAACAAATTTTGTACTTGTAAATGATTTGAAAATGTTTTTACTCAAAATGGAAATTTCATAGGAAATGAAAACAAAGTAATTGGATTATTTGATAATTTTTTTTTTATATTACTAGGTACAATACTTTATTATGTTTTGTTACTGGTATCGCCCACCTCTGAGTGAGTGGCATCGTTATGGTAATCTTGCTGTAGAAGATTTTGTTGTTTTTTTCCCAAAATCACTGAAACAACAGAAATCAGCACTACCATTAGGAAACCATAGATCTAGCTGTCATTATTTTACCTTTTCAGCACTGCCAAAGCTTGCTTTTTGTCATTTTATATAGGGCCAATATTTTGTTGTTATACCTACCCAGTACTGTGTATGTAAATGAGCAATGATAGAATCAAGCCTTGTACAATTTTGGTTCATGAAAAATCTGAGAATGAAAATGTCATTGTTCACTAAGTTTTAGCAGATACCTGGGTACTTGTAATTTTGTACTTTTATAACTGATATTTTTTTCTGCCACTCCAAGAGAGATGAGATACTGCTTTTTAAATCTGTAATTTCACGTGTTTCTGTGAGCCAGTGACTTTCAGTTAATTTGTATTGTGTTAAAGATACTAAGAATAGTAAATTTGCAAATCTCAAAATTCAGTTTTATTTTCGAGAAATACAGATATTTAGATAAATTCCAGAAATATTTGAGTCAGTGAATGGCATTCTTGTTCTCCTATTTTGAATTTACACTCTGTGATGTATTTTCATTTCTCACCTCTTTTGATTTCTAGACAGTGAATATCTTATTGTAAACTGGTGTATTTTGATTTGACGTTAATTCCAAAGAAGTTGTAAAAAATTGCTTTGTAGTGTCAATAGTAGTTTTGTGTTTCATTTGTAGTATGCACAGTGATATGTGATCTTTCTTTAAACAAATACATTTTGTATACATATTTTCTGGGGCACAGCGATCTAGTGATAGGACCATGGTCAGTGCTGGACATATGTGTGGGCTTCAAGCTGTTTAAGTGCTGAAATGGCAGCTCCAGCTATATGCTCTCTAGACTTATGGCTAGTCCCTGTGATAGCTGAAACAATTTGTGACGGCACTGTTACTATGATAAAGCAGTATATAAGAATCTCAAACTATGATTAATTATTCTCTTGAAAGCCTATAACAATTTTCTTAAATCCGTGTATTTTTTTCTTGATTTCGTTTAAGGACAACGGAAGTCAAATAAGATCTGGTAATTTTACATGGTTTTGAAGTAATATTTGGATTTCCAAAGTATTTTTTTTTTTTTTTACTTTTAGTTGTAATAATAGAAAAATCACTGTACCCATAAGTCTGATACCCAAGGCTGACAGATGTCAAGGCATGTTCGTATTTTTAATTATGTATATCGTTACTAAAATACATATTTTGCAAAGTGTCTGATATGATGATAAGTATGGACCCAAGGACTCCACTTTATTTATAAAATAACATGTTAATAAGAGGCACATTCGTATCACAATCATGATTTAATTTGATAATGAAAAACTACCATATGGTAAACTGTCTTTCTAATTCGTTTTTAGTGTGACTCAACTAAGATGGATCGCTTTGGACGTTCCATGCTGCACGGGAAGGGCTATGACCGATGGTTTGACAAGTCATTCACACTGGTGGTTCTGAACAATGGAAGGGTAAGGACAACTCTGGGACAGTATATGTAGATTTTTATGTCTGTAATCAGACTGTATGTACTGTGTCATCCTCATTCAGATTTTCAACTATCACTTTTACCAGCTTTAACTCTCAGGCGGAATTTGTATATGATGAGGTAGAGTATAGGTTTGTACAGATAAATTAATATAAGTTGTGATTTTGACACCATTCAGCTGGAGACTTCTCTGACAGTACACTGTCCAACCAACTGGATGCTGACCATTTTCAAATATTACTTGAAGTCTACCCAAAAATTCACAGTACGATTAAAATAGTCAAACATAAAATCGTATTAAGAAAGCATATGAATCTGTTGATCTGGCCTCAAAAAAGATAACAGGAGCAGTTATGTCATAATCTCAAATTTTCATGAACATGGTTCTTTTATTTGTCCAATTGATTGATAACTTTAATTATTTTTGTATTGTTAGACAAGGCCATTACCTGTGACCATATCTGTTTGTTCTCAGAGACTTGAAAACAAGAGCAGTTCTATTGTATATGATTGTTTACAGTAGCCTACACTCACATGGATATGGAGTATAAATAGTCATATATACTTATATATATAATTACTATATTTTACAGAGGTTTTCCATGTCACAGATCTATGCTTATTCAGAATGGTTACATACACACCATAACTCATACAGCCTCACCAGTTACTACACACCTATACACATGTACTGATGTGTTCCACACACACACACACACACACACACACACACAGGTAAACGCTTTATACACAAATATCACACATACAAAAAAATTTAACAAATGATTGACACATACACTAATAATCTTATGATTAACAATGAAGCTGTAATATAAATGTTTTAGTAATATTGGAATATGAAATATTTCCTTGGTATTGTCATATTTAGAGTCATATTTAACAGAGATATGAATGAATATAATGAAAGTGTTTTGAAGCCTTGTTTACTGTAGAAAACCTTATAATTTATAGTAGATGTTGCTGCTCTGTCTCATTTCTGTGTCAAGTATAAACAGACCTGTCACTTATTGACAATTTAGCCAGCTTATGTTCAGGTTTAAGAGTATGAACAACATGCTGATATATGTTGGATATATGCGATGAGTAAGTAATATACAATTAGCAGATCACTGGTATATGTTGGCACAACTTGTAATGTGTTGGGGTCATTGAAAAATTTTGTATGCACAAATTTTCATACTTCTGCCAGCATATGGCTCATACGTTCCAAACAGCAAGCATACGTTGTATGTAAGTCATATAATCATTCACACATGCTCACATATAAGATAATGTCTACCAAACCCTACATATATTTTTAACCTACTCGTAACAAATATGAAGTGTGTTGCCAGTGTTTGCATCATATGAACAACAATAGTCTACCTCATACATAGTGCTTAACATTGTTTCGCCAGTGGTCATTTGGTGAAGAATGCAAGAATTTTCTACCATAAGCTGGCCGTACATGGCAAACTGCCATCTCCCCTCATTCATCTCCTCTTTTCCTGTCTCTATGATAGAAGATAACTGGTACAATTTTGAATCTAATGAGGTCATTCTGATATTGGAAGGACAGCTAGAATGTATTCTGGTCTCAACCTTGCCAGATTCTCCATCTCTTATATAACACTGACTACTGACAGTTTTATATACTATTTCCCCTTGTCAATATACCATTATACAGTATACAGTAGCTCTAGGCTTGAAACAAGTTTGGCAAGTTCTGTTGTCATCCAGAACACATCGTAGAGTCATTCTGGATAAGAAATTAATGTTACACATTCCGTGTGTAAAAAATACCGTATATATAAACCAAAAATTTGACAGATCAGCATATTTCAGCAATTTAAAGAATTTTAATTAATTGATTATACGTTTGTGTAAGTTTTACAAATTATCCTTGCTTTGATTTTGATCCCTGATTCTTGAGTTACAGTAAACTTATACATTATTTCTAGCAGAGATATGATGTTAATTCTTAACTTCTTGTTTCCTTTTATAGATTGGTTTCAATGCAGAACATTCCTGGTAAGTTCTTCTGTACAACATCATAGTACAGTGTATTGTAGCCTACATCTCTATACTGTACAGTCAAGTCAGCACTTATTGTCACTCAGTTAGGTAGATTGTAACAACAAGTTATACTGTATACTAAAGTAATATGGTTTCCACATTACTGTTATACCAGTCTTCTAAAAGAAATATTGAAACAGTATTTTAACCAGTTTTTATTCCAACAACTACTACTACTGGTATACCAATGTTCAGTCTCATGTTAGCTCCTCAGACATCGACATGAGAAAATATAATTAGGCAGTAGTCAGTGCCATTGTATTTCAAATGTACCAATCCTTCTTTAATCTGACAAAAATGGTACTGAGTGTACAGATAATAAAACAATGCCTCAGGTCATTGTTGATAATCTTTCTGGTTGCTCACTTGCAATTTTGTTTTTCTTCTTTTGATGAAGTTTTAAAAATTTGTCCTCCAAAGATGTGAAATGAAAAACAAACAGGTCTGAAAATTCTTAAAATAGATACTTGACCTATTTTTGGATTCATTGATTTCCTGTAACAGTTATTGATTGATTTCCTATCTGTGTTAAAGTGATGTTTGTGGTTGGACGATTTACATATATCAGTTTGAAAATACTGTGACAGTATTTCTGATTTGACTGCACAGTATTGTTTGCTACGGAAAACATATATTTCCTGGACTCTGCTGATAATTTATAAGATTCAGGGAAACACAATTTGTTTTCTTGTACCAATATAATATCATTTAAAGACACCTTTACTATGATATACCAAAAGGAATGTCATTTTGTGAGAAGATTGAACTTTTAGTGTGATTGCAATATGTAATTAATTATTTTAAAAAATCATAACTAAGAAATTAAAATATAAACATATTTGTAAATAATGACTAGACTTGATGTTACTTATTATTGTAGAAAATATTTTGTAATAAATAATGCATGGAATAAACAGAAAATATGATAAAAGCAATGTTAATCAATGTTATTGAAATGTGATCCTGATTCAATATCTGCTATGATTTTGTTTTTGTATTTGCTTGTTTACTATAACACACTGATCAGTGTAGTAGATTTCATGTTGTCTGCAGTTACTGTGTGAATTTTGTGTATATTTCACCAAGTTCTGAATACTGTTAGCACATACCTGATTACTTGTCAAAATGATACTGAATCCTCTCAGATATTTTATAGTTCATAATAATCTTCACATGTGATACACATTACTTGCTGCTGGTTAATGAAGTCATTTCAAAATTTTATTGATGAGTTAAGTATCCTTGTACAATTAGCTGGATAAAAGTAACTTATTTACGTAATTAATCAAGAACAAGCTCTATGCTTCATTCATGACATATATACCACACATATATTATAAAACCATATTTTTTATGAAGGATTTTCTTGGTAAATCATCAACTTGGGTGATTGTAATGTAACTTAATATCAGTGTAGTACTTAGATTGGTAAAGTTGTTGGTGACATGATTATATAAGTGATATGTATAATGAACAGTGCTTACTTTCTAGTAATCATAATGCTTACATTGTTTAGAACTTGGTGTCTGAACTCCTACCTTTCAGGATGTATATTCATCACCTATTTCTATAATGTTTAAAACATAGGAATGTGCATGTCTGTTATTGCAATTTTAAACCATTTGGAAATGTTTCTACGCAACAAATTTTGAAACATTTCAAAAGACATGATTTCGTAAAAATTGAAAACCAAAACACATACAGATGTGGAAATCAACGTGTTTTTGTGGACTCTAATGGTTTTGTAGATTAAAACAGCTAATTGATTGTGTTTTATATATGGTACTACCTACTGTTTTGTGAAATCTGTAGAATATGTTGTTTAACATTAACCCTGTAGCTGTTGTTGCTGTCCTATATATTGTGTTAAAGCTCAACATATATTAATGTATGCCTTGTGTCCATACATGTGCTCACATTGTGATGTAAATACCATTATTATCTATGTGTTGCTGCATATTAATGTAAATTTTCTAAAACGGTTCTTGTATGTAATCATACAATACTCACATTGTAAAATGTAGATATTGTGTTTTCAGTGTTATATCACAATGTGGTGTTGTATGCAATTTTAAGTTTGTCTCAAACTTGAAAGAGCTGAGAGTGGTGAAATTCTTAAAAAAAAATGCAGAATCATTAACATGCTTTTTAACAGTATTTATCATGATAATTATGTTACATAAGACTGATAATGTTAACTTTGCTCTAGTATTATTTGGTTTTGGAGGCATTAAGATATTAAACCAAATTTTTACTGTTTTATCTACATGATATGTTCTCTTTGATCATTCTCAGTCTCTAAGTTTACATAAATATAGTGATGTGTTTTTACTTTCTCGGACCTTTCACTTTTTTACTTTGGGTATACATATGTATATCTTGACTTTCTGTGGCCATTCTCACCCTGGCTGTATCAGGTTATACATATGTATATCTTGACTTTCTGTGGCCATCCTCGCCTTGGCTATACCAGGTTATACATATGTATATCTTGACTTTCTGTGGCCATCCTCGCCCTGGCTATACCAGGTTATACATATGTATATCTTGACTTCCTCTGCCTATCCTCAACCTGGCTATACTTGGTTATACATATGTATATCTTGACTTTCTGTGGCCATTCTCACCCTGGCTATACCAGGTATATACTTTCTGTGGCCATCCTCGCCCTGGCTATACCAGGTTATACATATGTATATCTTGACTTCCTCTGCCTATCCTCAACCTGGCTATACTTGGTTATACATATGTATATCTTGACTTTCTGTGGCCATTCTCACCCTGGCTATACCAGGTTATACAAATGTATATCTTGACTTTCTGTGGCCATCCTCGCCCTGGCTATACCAGGTTATACATATGTATATCTTGACTTTCTGTGGCCATTCTCACCTTGGCTATACCAGGTTATACATATGTATATCTTGGCTTTCTGTGGCCATTCTCACCCTGGCTATATCAGGTTATACATATGTATATCTTGACTTTCTGTGGCCATCCTCACCCTGGCTATATCAGGTTATACATATGTATATCTTGACTTCCTCTGCCTATCCTCAACCTGGCTATACTTGGTTATACATATGTATATCTTGACGTTCTGTGGCCATCCTCACCCTGGCTATATCAGGTTATACATATGTATATCTTGACGTTCTGTGGCCATCCTCACCCTGGCTATATCAGGTTATACATATGTATATCTTGACTTCCTATGCCTATCCTCACCCTGGCTATACTTGGTTATACATATGTATATCTTGACGTTCTGTGGCCATCCTCACCCTGGCTATACCAGGTTATACATATGTATATCTTGACTTTCTGTGGCCATTCTCACCTTGGCTATACTAAGTTATACATAATGTATATCTTGACTTTCTGTGGCCATTCTCACCCTGGCTGTATCAGTATATTGGTATGCCAATTTACATATTATGACAAATTATTACTTTCTTAGAAAGTCTTAATGGTTAGGTATGCCAGGATACAATTTCTAGTCTTTTAGTACACAAATGTACTTATTTTTCTCAGACCATTTTCTGTCTTTGAGTACCAGGTATATATTTGTAAACTGGGTCATATATCCAGTTTCTCTGACCATTCTCAATTTCCAAATTTCCAGACACATTGTTTACATGTGTTACATTATCAGTGTCTGATTCTTGCTTTATGTTATAAGTGATATCTGCATTTAGATTGCACCATGATACAATACTTGCCAACATCTGTCTGAATTGCCTCATCCTACTTTACCTCCATGTTGTGCTGCTGCATGGCTTGGAAATTCTCTTTGTTGTTTCTAAGATTTTCAGTGATCGTGGATTTTATTTTATTATTATTTTTTTAAACTATTTTTTTTTCCTTTTTGATATCTCTTCACTACATTAAAAATGAACAGTATGGCAAGTGTGGTTAATCACTATACCAAATGATATTATTATCTTTCATTTTAGAATAATAAGTAGTCAACATACTTCCAATCTATTCTTCTAGTATTTTATCATTATTATGGTGTTCATAGTATTTGTTAATGTATTATTCTATAGCTAATCGTGGACCAAAACCATAAATAACATCTCGTCAGTTTGTGTATCAGATAAAGTAATATTCTCACTTACCTACATTAAGTGAATGTGGATTCTCTACATTTCATTTTTACTGCTTGTCATGTTTACACTAAACCACACATATGTCAGAACCTAATTTACTTAACGTAAAAATTAATCAAGGCTAAAATTAAATCAAGGTGTGAAATATGATGTCTACATATATGGTATTCCCTTAAACAAAAAAGATGTTTTATTATGTCATATTCGAAGATTTCTTGTGCATTTCTCTTAATTTGAGTAAAAAGAGCATGTTTGGAATCTGCATGTCTTAAAATGGAAATGAAAAAAAAAATTGAATCGTTTTGATCAGTGATCAGCTTGTTGGAATAATGTTTTCAAATAGATTCTGTATAATAAATTAAAACAGTATAGTACAATAATTTGTGATGAACCAGGTCAAGATGATATTTACATAAAAAAAAAGATGATATTTCATCAAGCAATCAAATTATTAGTACTTATAAATAGTTTGTATCTCTATTTGCATTTTACATGACTATTGCATGACAAAATCAAGTCCCAAATAATGTAAATTTGATGATAATTGACGCAATTGAATTAACAAGTGTAAGGTACACTCTGCTATGATAATTGTGAATCAGTCTTCAGTCATAAATATGAATCTCAAAATTATGAAATGAGCCTAATAGCCATGGATTAAAATCAAACCTGTTACAGAGGATATATGTTCTTGTAGCATATCTTATGTATAAACAGCTAGAATAAAATATATTTAGGTGGCTGGTAAGTGGCTAGTGTTGACATAGCAAGGGTATGATTGGTGTGGCCAGACTGATGTGGAGATCTCTTGATTACTACAGGGCTGATGCACCCATCATGGCCCATCTATGGGAGTATGCCACTATTGAGGACAAGTTCAAGTTTGGGTATGCCATGTATCGCACTGCCACACCTGTTCTTGTATAACTTTGTTTTTGCTACTTCATCTTGTTTGTCCTACTCATGGTATTTAGCATCATCAACATCTGCCTTGATAATTCACTGGACCCAGTATGTTTTCTTGTAAATTTATAAAGAAAATTTTTGTACAATTTTACAAGTTTGTAAAAGTTTGATTTCAAAGTTTCCTTACAATTAATTTATGATTTAAAAAAAGATTAATTTTCATATATGCTTTACTTACACATTCAATAGTTATATATTCTTAGGAAATATTCTGTAAAGAGATGTTGACTTTAAAAATCCAAGTGAAATATCTCGACACAGATGTTGAAGGTTGCTTAAAGTTGTACACCACCTACTAGTTATACTAACCCTGACTGGGTACATAACACAGAATGGAACTAGAAACCTTTGTAGGCTGTGTCCATTTGTGTTTAGGTGACTAATACTTAGCTAACAGCTTGTCCAATAGAAATATGGTGTTAAACAGGTTATCTGATGATACATAAAGTAGTAGTATTGTCATACTCTTCTGCCTTTATTTCAAGCTTAAACTTTCATTCAGAAATCCTGTTGCTTGATGATTTATGCCCTAGGAAGATCTCTCTTATCTCTGATGGAAGTGTCCCTACCCTGTCATATCGGATCTTCGATGTCCATATTAGATCCGAGATTGAGAATCAGATTATCAATCGGTTATATGTAGAAACACCATTGTCATTGGAACAGCTGTGAGCTTTTCCTTCCCATAGCATTTTGTTCCAGTCATCTGATTTTGTTGTTGTCACTGCATGTACTAATACATGAATTAACATGTTTTTATTGTAGCTTGGCAAAATCATGGCCTGAGTTTTGTAATGATGTAGTTTGATGCTAGACATACTGTACAAAATCATGTTCTATCTGTACCCTCATGTAACTGTATATACACAACAGGGCCGACGCGCCGGTCATGGGCCATCTCTGGGAAGTATCAACGGCAGACGATCGCACTCTTGGGTAATACATGAAACCTGACCAGTAATGTCCTCACTAACACCAGATAGATGGACATTGTTAAGTGGTGGTTGGAAGGGGGAGATTCCAGTGGCAGTGGGAAGGGGGAGCCAGTGGCTTGTTGGTGTTGGGTGAGGGCCACAAGAGGTTTGAATGGTGGTTGTGAGGGATTCCAGTGGCTGGGCAATAGTTGGAGGGGGTACCCATTGGCATTGTTGTGGAGGGGAGGTGGCAGCCATTTGCTTGTTGGTAGTGGGAAAGTGGCCTCATGTGGCTTGGTGGGCAAAATTTGAGTAGGTATTGAGAAATAAACTGGTTCCAGATATAATGTCCTATCAATCTTATTGTGATATTATTGTATTTAAAGTTTTTGAGGCCCACACTAAGGTACGGTGAGATGGGGCCAAAGTTATCAAATAACTCCTTCAATATGTACATTTTAACTTTTTTTATGGGCATGTCTTTAGATGGAGGGCTGTTAAAATTGCCTGTCTTTTGTTACCCATCAATCCTAAAAATGTTACTGCTGTTTCTTGAGAAATACTTTGGTCTGGAAATGTGCAAGTTATGTTTTGAGTTTGATGAAGAGATGAATTAGCCAACATGCAGCCATCTTTGATTTCGACAGTTAAAGCTTGTAATAATTATTCCTTGAGAAATGAAGGAAGGCTTCTCTTGTCCCCTTGTTTTGTTTGATAATGTTAGCACGTAAACTGATTTAGGATAAGCAAAGCAAAGGAATAAAGTTGAAAGGAAAGGTTTGAAAGTTGAAAGAGTCAAGATTATATGAATAGCAGTACTAACGCTGTACTAATGGTTAGATAATAATAATTGTGCTGTTTTTTCCTCACTATTAAAGTTTGAATTTCACTGATTCTGCTTCCCTGACGAAATAAGCCCCCAGGAACTGCCACAATGTTGTTCTGATATGAATATGGGAAAATATAATTCTGAGCAGGGTTGGATTCTGATGGAAGAGATTGATACAATCGTCCATGATACTTCATCGCAGTCCTGTAGGTAGTAGTACCTTTTATTGTTGCGGTTATGTTCAATTCCGTAATTTATCATCCGGTTATAGAAGAATCACTTGTTTGAAAATATTCCATACCTACTGGAAAATGCATGCTGCACCAGTTGGAGATTTGGCTACTTTTTTCATCCTATAACAGACCTGTCTCATACTGACAGAATCACTGAGTTTTGACTTTTCCAAAATGACATAGTAACAAAAAAACTTGTTTTCTTCCTGTTGGTCTAATATTTGTAACTTGTTTTACATTGTTTTTTCATTAAAGATGAGTGAACTGTCATTTATTTTTTAGAAACAATCAGCCAAAATAAATGTTTGCTTTCAAACTGGTAGTTACATTACATAATCCAATTATCCTGAACTAATCATTATTGGCTTTTAAAATGTTTTAGTCAAATATACAGATTATGTCAGAAATTACCACATTTGTTAAATTCTGTTCATATTTAAAGTTATCTGCAGTGAAAATCATCATAGGAGTATCTAGAGGAAAATGTTACTAGCTACACCGAGAATATTTAAGTCAGTTATGGATTTCATGGATTTCACATGTATTCACTGAAGGCTAGAACTTAAATTACCTGTTACAAGCTAGCAATGGTAGATTCACAAACGTTAGTGATAATTTTAAGAAGTCCTGGATAAATTATATTGTGTATAGATTTCTTTGGTAAGGGACATTATTATCACACAAAGCCATTATATCTTCTCAGATATTTAGCTGATACTAAACTAATGCAGTTGTATTTTCCAAGATTTAGTATTTGATATCCTTCATAGTTAGCAACAGTACTGTAAGATACCTGAGTGACACTTCTACCTGTTGTCCTCTCATATTTGTCCCATCATTCATACTAGTATGTCCTTGGCGAGGGTTTTGATTATTTTAAGATCTCATCTCTCCCCCTCCATTTTGAGCCATGATTTTAGGCATTATAAAGAATTTTAGTTTTGTTTTTGTTTTTTCTGCATCTGGTAGCATATTATAATTGCTGTAATTGACTAGTGCTAGTTCAGTTTAGTAAAGTTTGAGTTTGGGAAATTTTGCCCGTTTAGGTTCTGGGAGCTCATGGATGAAATGATATTAGTGAACCTCATATTTATTTCATAAATCATATCAATACATATAGTGATATAACGTATCAGATGTAATGGTGTATACTTTACACTTATAATAAATAACATTGCTTTTTATCTGCTATAACTACTCACAGAGATATGTATTTTGATATAATAAACAGCATATCTATATCACAAAGTTATTGATTTAGAATGTTGAAGGATAAAAATTATCATTTAATTAGATTTAACAAATTCAGAATTTTGATTTATTATTTACGCATTTGGACATTTTGTCCGAAATATGTTTCAATTCCTGAAAATAGAAAAGATTTCGGTGATTCTGAATTTGAATATATCCTCTAATGCCAGTTTCTGCTACTGGAAGAAAATTTATGCAACTATGAGAATTTTACTAGACCAATTAAAGCAAAGATTAAACTACAAAATTCTTTTATTCAAGGTAAAATAAATGTATTGCTATAGAGCATATGTCAGATGTGATAATGGATGATAAATGTTTGACAGATACAAAGAAGATGGCCACACAAAGGGAGAACCTGAGATGACACCACCCAACCCTATCCGTTTAGAATGGGAACTTCCCAAACCCGTATGTATACTCAAACAGATTCAATAATTCAAAAATTAAGAAAAAAAAGAAAATTGTTTAAAGATTCGATTCTGGAAAGCACAAAAATTAATGCAAATATGTAATTATATTTTAATAATTGTACCTACATGTAAATTATTTGAAAATTTAAAATACTGAAGTTATTTGTTTGAATTTAGATAATAATAATTCTAATTCTTTATTTGTATGCTTATGTTGTAGTGTATTGCTGTGATAGAGAACAGTCTAGAAGTGGCGAGGCAGCTTCTTAATGATGTAGATCTGCACATCATCATGCATAACTCATATGGCAAAGGATTTATGAAGACTTGTAAAGTTAGTCCTGATGCCTACCTTCAGCTAGCTCTCCAACTGGCTTACTACAGGGTATGCCTTGTACTTTACATAATTATGATGCATTCACATGTCTGTTTGACTGAAGTTTTCCTCGGTAATGCTGTTATCTGTCTCAACCAGTTCTTATTGTACATAATATGTATGGACTGTACAATGGTATTTCATGTTTGTGATATTTATTTCTGATTTTTATATCGAAAGTTATGACAGCTTGATGACATCCTTATATACTGTAATGTAGAGTAATGCTTTGTAAAATTTCCCAATCTGTTCTCACTGGATGTTGTACACATATTTAGTGCCTTAGATTGTCAGGACTTTCCCTATTGTGAAAGATATAAGATATTTTTTACATGAGAACAGATATTAATGAAGAAATGGTATTTGTTGGAAGGTTCACCAGATGCATTTCACATTGATCCGTGATGTGTGTATATGTTAGAGTGTCACATTTCTAGAGTTTTTACTACAATTGCTCTTCTTGTTTAAGGTCTATGTTTGTAACAGCTCTTTTTTGGTATCATACTAGTGAAATGCTACACACATCAGTAATACCTAATGTTAACTGTATTATAACCCATTCTGCATAGAATGATTCACTGACAGTTTTTGGTATTTCTTTATATAACAGAATGCCAAGAAGTTCTGCCTGACCTACGAGTCCAGCATGACCAGACTTTTTAAAGAAGGACGTACTGAGACTGTCCGATCATGTACCAATGAGTCTTGTGCATTTGTCCGATCTATGGATGATTCAGGAAAAACCGTAAGTCTATCGTTGTGTGAAAGCAAATCAGAGTATTTTACCAGAAAATATCTCTTAAGTCAAAAAGGTTGTCATAGATACTGGTTATGGTTTGAAAATCATTATGATGAATGCGTTAATTTTTCCAGCTTTACATTTTACCATATTGACATGTGTAACAGAATAGTGAGAGAAAAGGACATTGAGCAGATGTTTGTATTTTAGTGTTTTGTAGACAGCAGATCTAGAGCTGAAGCAGAATAGTTGTCTTGTCGTATTCTTTGTATAAAGAAAAAAAAAGACTTCTTACCATACGTCAAATAAGTGATCCCAAAGCGTGTGTATCTCTGGCCATCTATCAACATTGTGTTCTGTTTACTAGCATGATTTTTAATGGATCAATTACAAATCAATATCTTGATGAACTTTTGCTTGAATAGAAGAAGAGAAAACTCCATTTTTTCAACAAAAAAAAGTTCATACAAAAATTGAATTGCTTGTTTGAAGTTGCTTTTCAGGTTGGAAAAATCAATGTCATGGTTACTGTTATTTTGAATTTAAAGTTTTAAAAAGTTATCTTGATGTCTTAGGATAATTAATCTGAATAAGTTATGTTTAGCAACTTTCTTGTCATATGGACTTGACTTTGAATTGCTGTTCAGTTCACAAGATCATAATGAGTAAATCTTTGATATCTTTACCAACTTTTAATAATCTGGTAAGTTTTCCAGTTTAAATTTAGTGAATTTTGACTGAAATTCTGCATTTCATAATTACAATGATGTAACTTGTTTCCAGGACGCTGAGCGAGTAAAGCTGATGAAAGCTGCAGCAGAAGTGCACCAGAAGGGCTACAGGGATGCCATGACTGGCAAAGGCATTGATCGTCACCTCTTCTGCATGTATGTAGTGTCCAAATATCTGGGCACTGACTCACCCTTCCTGTCAGAGGTGCTCAGTGAACCATGGAGATTATCAACCAGTCAGGTAATTCAAAAGGCCAACATAGATGTAAAGTGATCTGATTAAAATTTTGTCTCAATTTGCACCTTCAGTTTCATAAACTTTATGAACAAATCTTTTCTACATCACATAGCGTTAGTTTACGGAAGGGGCATGCAGATCAATGCTTAATAATTAGGTGATAGAACAAAGCAAATGCCAGTTTTGCGAGGAACCATATTGTTCCTTATGCATCGTGGGATTCTGAATACATCAACTGCTGAAATTCTTGACCCAAACTTCACAGTTATTGCCTCAACCACACACAGTAACTGATTTGATCACTTCTGGAAACACATACTAAACCTGTACACCTTTAGGGACTAAACCTGGACACCATTAGGGACTAAACCTGGACACCTTTAAGGACACCATTAGGGACTAAACCTGGACACCTTTAAGGACACCATTAGGGACTAAACCTGATACACAAACTAAACCTGTACACCTTTAGGGACTAAACCTGTACACCTTTAGGGACTAAACCTGGACACCTTTAAGGACACCATTAGGGACTAAACCTGTACACCATTAGGGACTAAACCTGAACACCAATAGGGACTAAACCTGTACACCAATAGGGACTAAACCTGAACACCAATAGGGACTAAACCTGAACACCAATAGGGACTAAACCATTAGGGACTAAACCTGTACACCATTAGGGACTAAACCTGTACACCTAAACCTGTACACCTTTAGGGACTAAACTTGTACACATTTAGGGACTAAACCTAGGCACCTTAAAGGACTTGAACTGGACACTAATAGAGATTATTGTTAATGTTATACCCTCAGTCAGATCTTAGGGAATGATACACAAACTAAACCTGTACACCTTTAGGGACTAAACCTGTACACATTTAGGGACTAAACCTAGACACCTTAAAGGACTTGAACTGGACACTAATAGAGATTATTGTTAATGTTATACCCTCAGTCAGATCTTAGGGAATGATACACAAACTAAACCTGTACACCTTTAGGGACTAAACTTGTACACATTTAGGGACTAAACCTAGGCACCTTAAAGGACTTGAACTGGACACCTTTAAGGACACCATTATTGACTAATGTTATACCCTCAGGACAATCAGATCTTAGGGAATGATACACAAACTAAACCTGTACACCTTTAGGGACTAAACTTGTACACATTTAGGGACTAAACCTAGGCACCTTAAAGGACTTGAACTGGACACTAATAGAGATTATTGTTAATGTTATACCCTCAGTCAGATCTTAGGGATTGATACACTATCAAGAACAACAAAACTTTAGTACAAGAAATATTCATACAAGGTGAAGAAGGTGATACTGTGAACCAAACAAACATGATGGTGATTGAAAGGAAAAGATGTGATATCTGTTTCTGAAATTTGTATGTTTATACATGATAAAGTTTAATGTTTCATGTTGTAGAAATTAATGCTGATTGATCTCTTTATAGTATTAACAGTTCACCTGTCTGACCAAAGCTGATTCTTTCTACTATCAGGAAAATTTCAATAAGTCTTTTTAATAATTTACAGACACCACACCAGCAGACCAACAAATTGGACTTGGTGAAGCATCCAGAACACATATCAGCAGGAGGAGGTTTTGGTCCAGTGGCTGATGATGGATATGGGGTGTCCTATATTGTTGCAGGAGAGGATGTGATCTTTTTCCATGTATCGTGTAAAGTGTCCTGCCTCACCACTGTAAGTACACCTCAAAGCTAATGTTAAGAGGTGGTTATGTATCATAAGGCTGTTGTAGTAAAATACCTGTTTTATTGACAAAAACACAAGTGTAACATTACAGGATGATTCTCCACTGACATCTAAACATACTTTTACCTAACATACACATAGTTCTTTCCTTTCTTCAACATTTAGAATTACCTAATCATGCTGCTATATTTGATGTCATTTTCACGCTCAACAGATTGTTAAGTCATTGTACTTCATTAACCTCTGATGAACTATTTATCCGAAAGTTCAAACCCCACATCCCTTCCCTCTAAAGAAACAAATAGAAAGAACAAAATCTATGGGTGATGGCAGCAGTAGCAAAGGCAAGTTTATTCAAACAATATAGAACTTCTTGAATTATAATCAGACATCCAGGTAGTCCCTGTTTGAAAAATTCAGATTTAATTCCCCTGTGGGGTTGGAATTTTACTGAAATAGCCCATACCTTATTGTTAAAGAGTTAATTTATGGCTGTGAAATCCCAATAAATATTGAGAGTGGTAAGTTCTTTTAATACTTACATACGTACATCAATAAAGAAAATGTAATCTTACTTTACAAGTTATGATATGTATATTTACTTTTATGACAATAAGCCCATGTCTGGTAACAAACACACCTACATAATAATACTGGAAAAATTATCAACCAATCATTGTCCAGTAATAAGCCCACTTTGTGCCAAAGGTTATTATTTGAACCCGTGGCTTATTGTTAGATAAGTACAGTATATTATTATTGAACTTGACAAATCGTTACATGTTATTTAATTCACAAATGATTCTACAACATAACTATCATTTAATTGATACTAAGCTGCCAGGTTTTCTTTTTAACGTATAATCTCTTTAGAAACTTATAGACAAAAAAACTTTTAAAAATAGAAACTTATAGACAAAATTTTTTTTTTTAAATCTCCATTTCATTTACTTTCAGGACTCCAAGAAATTTGGAAACAGCATCAATCAGGCTATGCAAGATATCAAGAATATGTTTACCAACTCTCGGTGATGTTAGTTTGTATTTAGCTAAACTCTTAATATAAGATCAGTTCCAACTACATATCCCTCCAGCCAACCAGTGACCTGTGGAATCTTGCCTGTCAGATAAAGACATTCATTGGAATATAGAACACACTGAACCTTCACTGATCTGGCTCTCTGGTCAACATAGAAGCTCTCTCATTAGAGGATAGATTTTATCATTTTGATTTTCAAAAATATATTCCAAGATCAACGGGGCCTGACCAAATGTTTTTTTTTTTTTTTTTTGTGTTTTTTAACTTTAACAGAATTGTTTAACCAAGGTTTTACCAGAGTGATATAAAACAAAGATTTAAAGTACATTAAAAGGATTCCATTAATGTATTGTGTTTGCTGTATTGTGTGATATTTGACTTAAGTGCATTCTGAAATATATATACTTTAAAGTTACTGTCGCATTTTTTTATAGCTCGTTACTTTACACAATAACTTGCATCAGGACTGGTACATGTTTTGGTTAAACAATAATCGTAGATATTTCTCACATAGTTTGTACATTTGTATGTATGTTGATGTTTGAGTGCATTTACTGTAAATAGTGTTTGTTAGAACTCATATATGTTTGTTTGGTTTACACAAAGACCATTATATGTGGAGTTCACTATCTTACACATCTAGACCAAATCGCTAAAACATTGTATGTTTTTCACAGATTACAAGTTACATCCAGGACCAAAGTGAAGATTTTTTCCCCCATAGGAATAAAATTTTTAAAATTTTTGACCCTTTTCCTTTTGTGCACTGCTTTAAGATTATATTTATTTTTCGATGTGTAAGTTATTGAAATTTTTATCACCACTGGCATGTTTGAAAGCATTTTAGGAAAAAGCACAACTGTAAGAATACCACAAATATATGTATACAAGATGTAAATGAAAACTTGACATGCTTTTAATACTCTATTCACTGTAATCAGTGACCCTCTACTTAGCTTGGTAACTTTTTCCCCTTTTTTCATCAATTGTAAAAGCATTTAAATAGAACTTTCCAAAACACTCTGATCAACACTGATTGATGAAAACTACCATTAGTCCAGATTTGTATTATACAATGGCATGTTTTAGTAAAACAGGGCATCCTGTTTATTTTTTTCTTATTATTTGTTTAAAAATCTGTGATAATTTCATTTGGTGAAATATGCTGCCTGCAAATATGCTGAAAATAATGTGACACTAATTTATATGAAAAAAAATCCCTATTCATGATAGTTATTCTCTAACACTTAATATCATTCCCAAGATCTGACAAGGTTAATGTCAATGTTTTTGCATTTGTCTGATAGTAATGTGTAATGTGGCAGGAACATTAACGTGCCCTGGATGTTTATTAACGTGACCACAACACTAGCTTGTATGCCAAACACGAGTACCAGGTATGTTTGAAATTTTGTTGACTGATTTTCTACTGCTATAAAAGATTTTATCAAAACTGCTTTTTTTTTTTATAAATAGAAGTCTCTAAAGAAATTAGGAAGTATTTTGGACGGATCATTACACTGAATGCAATGATACAAATATAATGTATGTATTATAAAAGGACTGTATTCCTAGATGCAAATACTCATGATTTGGTAAACATGCACTAACACTATACTACCTTTCATTATATATTCATTATCGTCTTAGAGAAATGCCATTTTAATACAGACTAATTTGAATAATTTGTGTTATATTATCTTTGATATAGTTTTCTTTTTCATCATTGTTTGGGAATGTTTTGTTTTCTACCACATCAGTAGAGGTTGGGGATGGTTAGAATGGATTGATAAGCCGTAAATGTAGCCCAGTATTAGGACTGTTAAAAACATTTAATATTTAATTTAAACTTAATATGGAAAAAAGACTATTTTTTTTTTACAGTTTTCAACATTTCTTTTTCCCCGCTTTTTTTGGTATGAAAATGGAATAACATTGGTAATGTGGTAGAACCATTTGTTACTGCTGTTGTCTTTACATTGAGTTTTCTGGTCATGGTTTTTGGTTATACATGTTTGTTTTTGTTGATATTTTCAATCTGCTGATATTATCACCACAAATACCTGGACAGTGATTGAGAAACTGTGATAAAACATCAGAAAAAAAATGGCGAGGGCTGAGATATAATTAAAAAAGATGTTAGAGTAAATTCTTGTAGAGAAATTTACGCTGGAAACATCTTAGGCATACAACTCATTTCTTTTGAATTAAATTATGTCGGAAGAGATATTTAGAATGTAGAAGGCTGAAACATTGGTTTACATTCATGGAAATACATTGTAGCAAAGAAAATCTGTATAAATATATCTGTTAACAGCATCATTGGTCAGTTTATACCCATGTTAAACAATGTATTACATAAAGATTTCTCTGGGAATAGATATATGTCATTCCAAAACATTATAAACATTAAAACAAAGAAGTTCAAGCAACTGCTCTCTTACTGATACACCAGCTTCATGTAGTGTACGGATATATGGTGTGTAATCTGGAATTTCATTGTACTTTCATGCTCCCATAAACTGGAAAGGTGGTAGGAAGTGGAAAGGGGTATCAGGCAATCCTGTTATATATATTTGCATTGTTGTTGTTGGTTTTTTTTAAGTAACCTGTATATAATGTTGATCAATGCATTTGAGAAGTAATAAGAATAAAGATAATCGTAACTTGTAGTATAATACTTCAGATTTTGTTAGAGGACTAATTTTATTTGCTGATATTTGTTGGTGAAACGTGTGAGTAAACGTTGTGAATCTAATAACTTAAACACAACCAAATACTAAAGGAAATAAAATATTTGTGACAGTACTAGGATTACACCAGGGTTACATTAGTTTTAATCCTGACTTGGATAACTCTAGCATTACACTAGTATTAATCCTGACTAGGGTTACACTAGTATTAATCCTGACTAGGGTTACACTAGTATTAATCCTGACTAGGGTTACACTAGTATTAATCCTGACTAGGGTTACACTAGTATTAATCCTGACTAGGGTTACATTAGTATTAATCCTGACTAGGGTTACACTAGTATTAATCCTGACCAGGGTTACACTAGTATTAATCCTGACTAGGGTTACATTAGTATTAATCCAGACTAGGGTTACACTAGTATTAATCCTGACCAGGGTTACACTAGTATTAATCCAGACTAGGGTTACACTAGTATTAATCCAGACTAGGGTTACACTAGTATTAATCCAGACTAGGGTTACACTAGTATTAATCCAGACTAGGGTTACACTAGTATTAATCCTGACTAGGGTTACACTAGTATTAATCCTGACTAGGGTTACACTAGTATTAATCCTGACTAGGGTTACACTAGTATTAATCCAGACTAGGGTTACACTAGTTTTAATCCTGTCTAGGATTACACTTGTTTTAATCCTGACTAGGGTTACATTAGTTTTAATCCTGACTATTCAATCCGATACATTTTTGATAATCCTAGCTGTTTATACCATACATTTACCAAGATGGCAAATTTTTGGAGGAAATACACTTTAGCTGGAAACCATTTCTGGTAACAATATCACATTACATTTCTGGTCAAGTTATCTGTGTAGAAACACCATGTAGTATAGTTTTATTTCATTAAGCATAATCAATGCAAATTATTTGTTTCACAATTTTTAGGATTTAATGTTAATCTCCTGTCCATTCTCCACTACATGTTGAAGCATACTTATCTGCTGAAAAGCTGAAGTTGATACGGACATTTTTTTAAAGTGTGTAGTGTTGTGTGTGATGTTGGAGATAACAATAATTAATGATATTTGTGAAGTATAAAACATGATTTTCCTGTATATGATATTGTATGTTTGTGTTTGTCACTTTTGTCGTCTCTTAAGAAGGAGGAAGCTTTAAAAAAAAAATTAAAAAGATAAAGTGAAAAATGAAGAAAAGTGAGAGAAAGACATGTTACAAGATAGTTCATTTTTTGAAAATATTAAATGTAGGGTTAGTTGTAGTTTGGGTATTTGGGTACGTTGCACTTTGATTTAGTTTTATTGCAATTTTCAACACAATATATTCTTTTATGCAACTTAGAAATACATGTTTTTGTGCATGTTATGTATAATTGTTACATCTTGATATAGAAATGTTTGTTGCTAGTTTGTATAGTTAATGACAGCACGATGAGTAAGGCAGGGTAGTTATTGTTGTCGTCTTGTTTTCATATCAATGGCAATTTTCACATCCTATCATCCTATCTATCATCTATATAAATTGTCTTCCTTATATAACCCTTAATAGGCAAGCAAAACAAGGGTGTGTACAGTCATTTTACTTCACATAAACTGATTCATGTTTGTTCGGTAAATTTTGAAGGAACGAAAAGAAAGGATTTTACATGATACATGATAATGACTTCTCCCTTGACTGATTATTCAACCATCAAAATTTAAAATAAAGGAGACTCCATGTGTGGAGATTATTCAACCATCAAAATTTAAAATAAAGGAGACTCCATGTGTGGAGATTATTCAACCATCAAAATTTAAAATAAAGGAGACTCCATGTGTGGAGATTATTCAACCATCAAAATTTAAAATAAAGGAGACTCCATGTGTGGAGATTATTCAACCATCAAAATTTAAAATATAGGAGACTCCATGTGTGGAGATTATTCAACCATCAAAATTTAAAATATAGGAGTGTGGAGATTATTCAACCATCAAAATTTAAAATAAAGGAGATTGTGTGGAGATTATTCAACCATCAAAATTTAAAATAAAGGAGACAACCATCAAAATTTAAAATAAAGGAGACTCCATGTGTGGAGATTATTCAACCATCAAAATTTAAAATAAAGGAGACTCCATGTGTGGAGATTATTCAACCATCAAAATTTAAAATAAAGGAGTGTGGATTCCATGTGTGGAGATTATTCAACCATCAAAATTTAAAATAAAGGAGACTCCATGTGTGGAGATTATTCAACCATCAAAATTTAAAATAAAGGAGATTCCATGTGTGGAGAGATTTCATAAAGGCATTTTCTGTTATTTTATCGATCTTGACTTGAAGATTTGTTGATATTAAATTCTTTGAAATTCTATGAAAATCTGAACAGGATAGGCTATCACATTTCATTTCTATAGTGATTATAGACAAACAAATATTTGTGTGTTGAGCATAGTTAGATGAATGGTGACCAGGATACTCAGACATCCCATCATAGGACATGTTACTAGACTCTGTCCTCCTAACAACTCTCCGCCAAACAATAGGTGGACATACTATAATATAATCCCCCAACGTAAATATTCCAGGTTCAATAGGATCGGTCTGTCAGACTATAACAGTGATACATTGTTTTACTGTGTTTACGATCTCCTGGAGTTCTACTTACGTTTGTAATTATTATACTTGGTTTCTGTTTCTAGTACTGCTAGTTATACCTTTAATGCTGCAAAAATTAATGACAAGATATATAATATTAAAATTATATATATATATATATATATATATATATATATTAAAGTTTTACGATGTTAGGTAATGGAAAATTGCTGTGTGAATTTGTGTAGAAATGTTTGTGGAAGTATTTATTTATAACAATAAACAAAAAAAGATGACTTTAATAGGGGACCTTACCCTTGTTAACCCAAATAAGCATAGTTTTGACTGCATAATTAACCTGAGTGTATGATGAAAATGCTAGGACACAAAGATCACATTAAAAGTTTGCTGTGTGTAGCATGCCTGTATCTCCTCAGAAATACAAGCTGATTGTCATAGGTTTACTCACCTGTTTTTATTTTCCCTCTTAAAACCTTCTGTTGTTGCTTTGAGATATTTAAGTTGTTTAGATATATGTATAGACATTCAGGGATTTCCATTGAACATTTTTGATGTCAGAGACCACTTTAAAATCAGAAATAAATATCCATTGTTTATGAGTTTGTCTTTGTTGTTGATTTTTAGGTCATTGTCATTAGTTTGTGAGTCCGTTCTGGAATTCTTTGAAAGTCTGTAGGACTGACAAGCAATAGTTTGAAGTTTTAAAATTTCACTTCTCAAATTTTACATGCAAGTTTCCAGTGTCATCAGGTTTTATTTTTTCAAGAAAAATAATGCAAATGAGGGGTAAAAAGCCTCAGCTGAATAAGAAGGGAGAGAGATATTGAAATTGGGGATAAACCCAGACATAGGTTGAGATAGATTACTTAGTCAAGATTGGGAAAAAATACATTTTTAATGAATAATACTAATATAACTAAGTGCATTCTACCGTATGATGTTAAAGCCCCAATATACGTAACGTTCACCAAAAATTTAGTGTAGAATCACACATAATTATTGAGATATTCTCTAAAATGTAGTTAAAATTAAGTTATTCAAACAATAGTTATCATGACTTTGTGCATAAAGTATTGATATATGAGCAGTTAAAACTCGCTATTTGTAAACACACCTCCATTTTAAACACGTCGCCATCGAAATTACGATTGTTGCCGAACCACGTCGGAAAGTTCATGACCTGTCTCGCGAGAGTTGAGGTTTCTACTTATAGAGGAAGCACATGCAGATATGTCTACGGTAAGTTTTTGTTTACAAACATTGTCTGCGAAGTCTTGTCGTAGACTTGAGGTATTCCTGTGATAAACATTCAGTTTTTGGGAAATTATTAGAAGGAATAATTAGTTTAGAAACGATACGACGCACAATTATAACGTAAGAATTCAGAGCTGGCCTGATGTAGGATTGGGAAAAAAGGAAGCGACTGGTGAACGTCTGTACTGTGTCTGCCATGTTTACACACGCTGAATATGCGCATGCTCAATGTCATCGCTACGAGCGGTAATGTATATATTATTGTGGGTCCCACATTTTTTATTTTCCGATGTTTTCAATTTTTATTTAAATTGAAAACAATCAGTTTTATTTTCTTTAATTAAAGGAAAGTATTTGTTTTGTTACATATATTACGGGGAAAATAAGATAAAGTCTGTTTTTTTGTAGTGATTTTTACGTATATTGGGGCTTTAAATAAAATACAAAGTTTTACAATAATTTGTGAAAAAAGTTCATATTTCAACTAATATAAAACACTTCTTGGTGCAGATGCAAGCATGCGCGGGGTCTTATTGTAGGAAGAAAGCAGAGTACCGGGGAAAGCCCACATTGTTGCAGAGTGACCCCTACCTTTTCCGGTCATTACCTGAAATTGAACCCCGGATGGCTAGATGAAAGGCGAGTTTGTTACCACAACGCTTCCTGACCACCCTATATGCTTAAGTGAACTGTACAGTTGATTATCTTGGAAACTCCTGCTGGATGGGTAATACCTGTAAATTTTATATCAATGGGTTTTGTATGTTGTAAGTAAATAATTCTACAGTCCTCCACCAGCAACCAGAGAAAGGGAACTGGTTTTGTGTTGTCCATCTGTTTGTCCGTCTGTCTGTCCTTCCTTTCATCATCTGCTATCTTGTTCCGGGTCTATCCCCTACCCTTCTTGTCACTGGACTTCATATTTGGGGTATAGGTTAATCTCTGTGAGACTGTGTGTCATATATCAAAATAGGTCACTCTGATCTACATTTTGACCTTTGACCCATATCAAAGAAAAAATTTCTCCTACACCACTTGTCACTGGAACTTCATAACTGGGGTATATGTTCACTTAGGTGAGGCACTGTGTCGTGTATCAAAAGTAGGTCAATTAGACCAACATTTTGACCTTTGACCTACAACAAAGCAATAATTGTCTGGGTTCTGTCTCCTGCACTACTAGTCACTGGAACTTCAAACTTGTCGTATGTGTTTACTTCATCGAATCTCCATTTGAATTAGTGACGTTACTTGGATTGATAAATTAAAAGACGCGTCCTCCGGAGCCTTCCGGATCCGGATTAAAAATTGATTTTGTGTATAAGTATATTTTTTTTTTCATTCTGAAACAAAGAACCGTTTTTCAAATTTGCTGAAATCAAATTTTTTTTCTCTTACATTTACATCAAACCTGCAGACGCACCAAATAAACTTCAAATTTGATGAATGACTTTCTATATATTTCCTGTTGTCCCTTTAATTAAGTATAGGAGAATACCCAATTAAAGATCATATAAAAAGTCTGATCGCGTGACCGTAGAAATTTATCAAACGAGAATCAAAATAACAGTAAACAATAATAAGATTAACGAAAAATATAGGCCAGCCTTTTCGTTAACAATTAGAAGTCGCTGATTGAGCGTGAAGTTAAATTTACCACAGTATTGTATAGTTATTTTCTATTGTTCAATGAAAAACGACTTTTAAATGATTTCAACATACCGTGAGGAAATAAACATTCCGTGTCAAGGGTAAATCCAGATGTGTAACAGCTTTCAGTTTTAAAACTGGTCCTGGTAGAACATGTTTCCGATCGGTCCTTGTTTAGAGTAAGATTTGGACCTGACAAATCTATTTACATCAGCTCTATACGTTGTGCTAATATAATGTTATATATATATATATTTTACATTAAATAGCAGATATTTTTAGTGAATTCATTAAGGGATGGACCATCACTTGCAATTTTTATAACAGTTTTCAATATATAAGCTTGAACGATAGAAGAAGTCCTAGAGGGGTCCTGGCGTTCTCTGTTGATTTGATCTTCATTCGATCGATACAAGATCGATCTTTTCCGTCCGTTTTTCATCTTTTAATTGTTTCAATCTTATCACTAATGAATGATGTTGTAATAGCTTAAAAAAAATCCCGTTTTTTTTAAAGAATTGCCCTTATAAAGTAAAAAATAGTGGGCAACTTTATTACTGAATATTTTGTAGCAGAAACATAACATACATGTTCTTCCAATGTGTTATCGTTAACAATTGAACAGTTTCGTGCCAACATAATTTTCATTCTACTTAAAATCCGAATTGCCTGAAGAGTGTTATGTATTCCAGACTTTTGATATTGACAGGTCCGTGTGGACAGTTAACTGAGTATTATATGTCTTACAATCTTGATAAACTTTTATTTGTTCGCAAATGAAATTTAAATTGAAAACGCAAACGATTTTAATCACATCAATGTTTATTACTCGCAAAATACTGGATTTATGGTGTCATTATGGTCCCCTTCCAACCATTCTGTGTTGTTGTTGGTAGTGTTGTTGTTGTTCGTGTCCATTTTGAGATATTTCAATGTGAATCATTTGACACAACATGTGGGAGCGGAAGTTTGTAATCGGAAGGATCAACTCCCCAGATTTTGGAGGCGTATTCAGTGACGGTACGGTCACTAGAGAACTTGCCTGCCGCGGCGATATTCAGGAGACACACCCTAGCCCACTCGCGGGGCCTGCAGTACAGTTCATCAACCCGTTTCTGACACTCAATGTAAGACCGGAAGTCAGCAAGAAGCATATATCTGTGAAAAAACATGATACGTGATAATGCGTGTTAATACGTCATGAAAAGTAGTTCTCAAGAAAGAAAAATCGATTGAATATGAACTGGTATTTAAATAATCCAAAAACGTATGGCTTCCGTGCGGTATTGAACCTTTGTACTAGAGTTGTTTGAAATCTTTTGAGTTCATTCACATATAAGTTATTGTTACGTGTAAATGTATACTGACTGACCTGGTCCATTATGATGAATGACATGAAAACAAGCGATAATTACTATTTCAACAAAACAATGCGGTCACGTATTATCACACTTATACATACATACCTATTGTGTATACAAACACCTCTTTTGAAGCCATATAAGGTCGTAAATTGGAGTATTTTGTATTCAGTACGCATTGTAAAATTTACAAAGAGAACAAAATAGGTGATATTTCGGAATATTTTCTTCAACCAGTAGACGATTTGAGTGTGAAGTTTCGACAATGATATTACTGGTCAGTTGTCTGGTGAAGGTGATGTCACTGGTCAGTTGTCTGATGAAGGTGATGTCACTGGTCAGTTGTCTGATGAAAGTGATGTCACTGGTCAGTTGTCTGGTGAAGGTGGTGTCACTGGTCAGTTGTCTGATGAAGGTGATGTCACTGGTCAGTTGTCTGATGAAGGTGATGTCACTGGTCAGTTGTCTGATGAAGGTGATGTCACTGGTCAGTTGTCTGATGAAGGTGATGTCACTGGTCAGTTGTCTGATGAAGGTGATGTCACTGGTCAGTTGTCTGATGAAGGTGATGTCACTGGTCAGTTGTCTGATGAAGGTGATGTCACTGGTCAGTTGTCTGATGAAGGTGATGTCACTGGTCAGTTGTCTGATGAAGATGATGTCACTGGTCAGTTGTCTGATGAAGGTGATGTCACTGTTCAGTTTTCTGACTGTCTGATGAAGGTCACTGGTTTGTCTGATGAAGGTGATGTCACTGGTCAGTGTTCTGGTGAAGGTGATGTCACTAGTCAGTTGTCTGGTAAATGTGATGCCCTGGTCAATTGTCTGATGAAGGTGATGTCACTAGTCAGTTGTCTGATGAAGGTGATGTCATTGGTCAGTTGTCTGATGAAGGTGATGTCACTGGTCAGTTGTCTGGTGAAGGTGATGTCACTGGTCAGTTGTCTGATGAAGGTGATGTCACTGGTCAGTTGTCTGATGAAGGTGATGTCACTGGTCAGTTGTCTGATGAAGGTGATGTCACTGGTCAGTTGTCTGATGAAGGTGATGTCACTGGTCAGTTGTCTGATGAAGGTGATGTCACTGGTCAGTTGTCTGATGAAGGTGATGTCACTGGTCAGTTGTCTGATGAATGTGATGTCACTGGTCAGTTGTCTGATGAAGGTGATGTCACTGGTCAGTTGTCTGATGAAGGTGATGTCACTGGTCAGTTGTCTGATGAAGGTGATGTCACTGGTCAGTTGTCTGATGAAGGTGGTGTCGCGGACCAGTTGTCTGATGAAGGTGATGTCACTGGTCAGTTGTCTGATGAAGGTGGTGTCGCGGACCAGTTGTCTGATGAAGGTGATGTCACTGGTCAGTTGTCTGATGAAGACGATTTCACTGGTCAGTTGTCTAGTAAAGGTGATGCCCTGGTCAGTTGTCTGGTGAAGGTGATATCACTGGTCAGTTGTCTGATGAATGTGATGGCACTGGTCAGTTGTCTGATGAAGGTGATGTCACGGACCAGTTGTCTAATGAAGGTGATATCACCGGTCAGTTGTCTGATGAAGGTGGTGTCGCGGACCAGTTGTCTGATGAAGGTGATGTTACTGGTCAGTTGTCTGGTGAAGGTGGTGTCGCGGACCAGTTGTCTGATGAAGGTGATGTCACTGGTCAGTTGTCTGACGAAGGTGATGTCACTGCTCAGTTGTCTGATGAAGGTGATGTCACTGGTCAGTTGTCTGATGAAGGTGATGTCACTGGTCAGTTGTCTGATGAAGGTGATGTCACTGGTCAGTTGTCTGATGAAGGTGATGTCACTGGTCAGTTGTCTGGTGAAGGTGATGTCACTGGTCAGTTGTCTGATGAAGGTGATGTCACTGGTCAGTTGTCTGATGAAGGTGATGTCACTGGTCAGTTGTCTGATGAAGGTGATGTCACTGGTCAGTTGTCTGGTGAAGGTGATGTCACTGGTCAGTTGTCTGATGAAGGTGATGTCACTGGTCAGTTGTCTGATGAAGGTGATGTCACTGGTCAGTTGTCTGATGAAGGTGATGTCACTGGTCAGTTGTCTGATGAAGGTGATGTCACTGGTCATTGTCTATGAAATGATGTCACTGGAAATTTTTATACAAATTTTCATTAACCAAACGTAGAGCTCCTTCTGGAAACATTTTTGTTTGAAAATCAGCCATGTACCGTAGAGCTTACTACAGAAATGTTTAACCACTTGCATATTTTATTTAGTGTTAAAGGAATTTTTATCCTATGCAATAAATGTTGTTTGAAAATGAGAAACGTGTGTTTATGTAAAACTGACAATTCATAATTATCACCAGTTAAGTTACTAATAATTTTGAAATATTTTCCTTTATTATTGATTATACAAATTGTTAAAATTCTGGTGTGATTTTAATGTCGGATTAAAGATGGAGCTGTATCAAACAAAAATATATAAAAATGCCAATTGATTTATTTTTATTAAAGAAAGACCTATCATCTATTTCAACATAATATGGATGACTGGAAGGCGTTGTCGGATTTTGTTCCCGTGTCACTTTGTGTGATGTTTTGTCTAAAACGACAGTCGTAACAGATATAATTATTTGAAAGGAAATGCAATCGCGTGACTCCCCATAATTTGTTATGCAACAATAAAAAAGTTGAGCTACGCTGTTAAATTCGACGTAAGGAAAAAAAACCAACTCCGTCGTGTGTGTGGTCTACCCTTTCTCGAGTTTCTACAAAAGATATCAGACTTATAGTATACCGACATTAGAAATCTTGTTTTTGCTTTTCTCTACTTATGAATCTACAGCTTAATTTTGAGAATTTATCTATTTTTGAAATAAGCAGAAGTTTTGATTTATCATATGAATATGCAAACAGTAAGCACATTATCCAAGTCATTCGAAAATGAAATTTTACCTACTTCTCAAGCGTAAAACGTCTTTTTAACCAGCTATTTGTAAGACCAGTCGGTCACGTTGTTTCATAAATTTCCTACACATTAACTCTATTACATGACAAACAAATTGGACGCATGGTTTCCTAAAGCCTGACATTAAGTAATTAAGTCATGCTCAGAGACTGTCCAATCCCTTACATGCTTAACAGTTAAAAACATCGCTGTTAGAGTATCACGTGATTAGATCCATACAAGAATTCTATGGTAAGCAGCGGTTAAATATTTGGTTGATAATTACACAGAGAGATGATCGGACACAATCAACAACAACATGCTAAACACTAGCTCTTATAACTATAAAATCGGACGCACGTCTAACACTTGTGTACAAAAGTACAATAATGTGTTTCTCTTACAGAAACTACCCTAGCACAATCTGACAGAAGAGTACGCGGTTCTCACGAATTCAAATAATTTATCAAAGTTGATCAGATATCTTTACATCACCCTGGAAAATTTATCTACAGACACAGTTGTCACAGATATATATATATATATATATTTGTCCATCTTTCAAACCATTGTGGTAGACCTCCTCTACAAGCTTTCACAGTAGCCCAATATATTTCTTGTAATTGTTTATAATTTATTTTATAAAGGATAATTATTATTACATTATAGTAATACAAATCCCAAGGACATACACACAGAAGGGAGTGTCTGTAGTCTTGTTTGATATTTTACTTCCTTACCAGAAGACGATTAAAACAATTTAGAGCACATCAATACCACGTTTAGACAATACTTGAGTCCAGGATATCCGTCTTGCCACAACATCGATGTTTCGATACCAATTAGCATGCTGTGATACAATGTTTTTACCAACACGCTTCTCATCAGTTATCGTCGTTGTTGTCTTTGAATACAGTGCCAAAGGTTTAGTCCGGCACGTCATTAATCAGGATTGCTACCCGAATCGCCAAACAGCAAATTGCACGTGTTAATATGAATTGAAGTACCCATAGTTACTCTACAAAGATTTGTCACGGACATTGCAAAATATTCCCCATTTTTACATGAAATTCTACATTTGAACCAAGAGACCCTTAATGTGGACATAAGGTTTTAGCTATTTCAACACGAACCATCACCTGCTGAAATGAAGTATATTCTTTTCTTTAACACAAATCGCCTGCACATGAAAATCTTTTCTAAAATTAAATAAAAAAAATCCCACTGAACAACAAGTTTCTTCTATCAGTAAACGAGAGCCTTATCTCCCAATGAAGAATACATTTTGTAAACTTACACCGTCATCTACCATGAACAGGAAACTTTTCCTAAAAATATATTCTATCGACCAAATAAAAAAACTTTTTAAAAAATGTTTATAATAAAAAAAAACACTGTTTACCTGTCTGAGAACACGAGCTGGTTATAGATATCCCTGAAGAGTCCCTGATCCTCTGGAGAGAAAAATCCATTGTTGATTTGATCAAGTGCTTGCTTCAGCTCTGGATCCTCATCGTAATATTTCTTTGGATAGTAGTTTGGTCTGGCATCTTCTACCTCTGTCTCATTCATCCCAAACAGGAAAAAGTTTTCCTCGCCTACTTCTTCTCGCATCTCGACGTTGGCACCGTCAAGGGTTCCAATCGTCAGAGCACCATTCAACATGAATTTCATGTTTCCGGTACCGGAAGCTTCAGTTCCGGCAGTAGAGATCTGCTGACTTAGGTCTGCTGCAGGGATGACTTTCTCTGCTAGGGAGACTCGGTAGTTCTGTAGGAACACCACTTTCAGTTTATCTTGTATGGATTCATCATTGTTGACAACTTGGGCGATGTTGTTGACCAGCTTGATGATTAGTTTGGCCATGAAGTAGCCAGGTGCTGCCTTTCCACCTATAATCACGGTCCTGGGTACGACTTCCATGTCGGGATTTGCTTTGATTCGGTTATACAAAGTAATGATGTGAAGACAGTTCAAAAGTTGACGTTTGTATTCATGTATTCTTTTGACATGGACGTCAAACATAGAGTTAGGGTTGACTTCAAAATTTCCATTCTGCTTCAGATAGGCAGCCAACTTTCTTTTGTTTTCTTTTTTAGATTCAATGATCAGTCGGATAACCCTTTCTTCGGTTTGAAATGATTCCAGGTTCCTTAGAAAGTGAAGGTTGGTGAGCCATTCGGTTCCTATAGTATTGCTAATGATTTTTGTCAGAGATGAGTTACACACCATAAGCCATCGTCTGGGTGTGATGCCGTTCGTGATGTTGTGGAACTTTTCGGGATACATTTCGTAAAAATCCTTGAAGATTTTGCTCTTCAGCAGATTGGAGTGTATACGAGCGACCCCATTCACAGCATGTGACCCAACGATCGATAGGTGTGCCATGTTGATACGTTTCTCCCCTTCTTCTTCTACAATAGACATTCTCCGAACACGGTCCTCATCTCCAGGATAACGCTGTTTGACATCATCAAGAAAGTGGTGATTGATGATGTAAATAATCTGAAGATGTCGCGGTAAGACTTTTTCCAGTAACTGCGTAGACCAGCGTTCGAGAGCCTCTGGAAGAATGGTGTGGTTCGTGTAGGCACATGTATTCTGGACAATCTCCCACGCATTTTCCCATGCGAGACCATTTTCGTCCAGTAGGAGGCGCATCAGCTCAGGGATTGCGAGTGATGGATGGGTGTCGTTCAACTGCAGTGCAACCTTCTGGGAAAATATTGAGAACGAATTCCGGAAGCCGTGCGCTCCTCCGCGTTTCGGGGATTTGTACCGCCGTATGATATCCTGAAGAGAAGCAGAAACAAGAAAGTATTCTTGTTTTAAACGAAGTTCCCTGCCTTCAAAGACGTTGTCATTGGGATAGAGGACCCTGCTAATGTTTTCAGCTAAATTTCGATCGTAAACTGCTTTCAAATACTCTCCATTGTTGAAGAAATTCAGATTGAAGCTATCTGATGCTTTTGCAGACCACAACCTCATAGTGTTAACCGTATTGTTACGAAAACCAGGTATCGGCGTATCGTATGGAATGGCCTGAACCACCTGTGTGTTAACCCACTTGGATCCTTGTTCGTTGTGTTCGATATTGCCGTAGTAATGTACAGGAATGGTAAACTCTGGCCTCGCATGTTCCCATGGGTTTCCATACCTCAACCACTCATCCGGTTCCTCCACCTGCCATCCACCTTTGATCTTCTGTTCGAATATACCATAGTCATAGCGGATACCGTATCCATAGGCTGCCATACCTAGCGTGGCCATTGAGTCCATTAGACAGGCGGCTAAACGCCCAAGTCCACCGTTTCCGAGACCAGCGTCCTCCTCGCTGTTCTCTAGCTCTTCCATATCAAGGCCCAACTTTCGCATTGTTCCTTCGCATGCTGGCTGTATATCTAAATTAACCATAGTGTTGGTTAGCGTCCGACCCATGTAGAATTCCAGAGAGATGTAGTACACACGTTTGGGATCTTTCTTGTAATAGTGTTGCTGGGTTCGAATCCATCGGCTGACCAGCGTGTCCTTGACAGTATGGGCCAGAGCCATATATAAATGCCAATCAGAGGCTTCGTTCCGGTCTTTCGCCATCGTGTAGTGTAGATGGCGATTGAAAGCATCCTTCAAAGTGTTAATGCTTTCCTTCGGTGCGATATGTCGGATACTAATCTGCCGTTTTTTCGTATCGTCATCAACAAGTGCCTCCAAACCGCGTACTCCTAGACGTGATAACGGGTCCGGATCCACGGACGACATGATTGGTACTGAATGTCACCAAGGACCGTATATGATGACGTCACTAGCATTGAAGATTGTTTTCGTGTTAACTGTGACGTCATAACCATTGTCAGGACTTCACTGTCTAGACACGATGCTTGTTCATCTGTGCTGACCGTATCTAACGCTGTACATTGTAAAAACGTTAGGATTGGACCTGACTGATATAGTCAATAGTTCTGTTTGTTTTTCTTTTCTTTTCTACAGAGGTAACATTGACCTATTGAATGTTGACTAAAATTCTGATTGCAGTCAATACAAAGTTACACAACGAAATAACGACATCATAATCGCTCAATGGACCGTTAGCATGCTAACATTCATCACTACACCGTACTGACAGCGTAGAACGAAGGGAAGTAACTCTGGGAGATCAAATATTTGATAAACTTTGATCTCTCTTGTTAGGACATTACTGATATCTTTATAACCAAGAGGGTTTAAAATCATGAAAAGATACGGAGACACGGGTTCAAATCAAGGTACTAGTGTAGCCCGTGCCGTAACTCGCGTCATTCAAAAAATGCGTCACCATCGTTACGAAAATGACATATTGAACTAGATCTATATCATAACAGTTATAGGTTCATCGTCCGTCCGTTACTTAATGGAATTTTAAGAAATTGGACGTGAAAAAGCACAAGGTCACCTGCCGACCACGTGGTTTCTCATATTACTCATAAGAGACCACATATCCATGTGACCACAGTCCAGGCGTACGAGAGTAGAGAACGAATATTACGGTACAAGACTGTCTCAATCTTATGAGCTGCAAGTTGTACCTGGGTCTATTATCTAATTAATCTTAACATAATAATTTTACTCGACATTAAAATTTTATTTGTACCCGTAGTTATTAAATGACTCGAGGAAGTACATTAATAGTTAGATAACTCTTCAAAATATATATATATAAATATCAACAATCGTAATTTCGATGGCGGCGTGTTTAAAATGGAGGTGTGTTTACAAATAGCGAGTTTCAACTGCTCATATATCAATACTTTATGCACAAAGTCATGGTAACTATTGTTTGAATAACTTAATTTTAACTACATCTTAGAGAATATCTCAATAATTATGTGTGATTCTACACTAAATTTTTGGTGAATGTTACGTATATTGGGGCTTTAATTGCAAATAAATGTCAATTTTTCAATTTAATTTTTTTTAATACACAAGTTACAACAGAAGGGCATTGGTTGTCATCACAGATACAAGCGATGTACAATATCTTAGTGCACAGATTTTGCTTTAGACACAGAAAAACATCTTTTTCGTTCAGAGAAGGGGGAAGCTCACTTCATCATTTCTACAAACTCTTATAATTTGACATTCCTCTCCAAATCTACCAGGAGAGTTCCAAATAACTTTCATCCGGACTGACTTTTAGGTACTTTTTTATCAATGGTTTTTATATACTTATACAGGATCGCATGAAATGGTTCCGGATATTACAGGGAGTGGATCCTGAGTATCACATGACCTGTCAGGACATCGTTGGGGTGGTTGTCCCTCAAGTGGAAATATCACACTTTGTTTATGATATTTAATATAAATAAGATAACACCCCGATAGCCCAGGAATGTCTGATAGGAGCTAGACACGACCACAGCGGAAATGTTTAATGGGCAACATTTGGGCGGGGGACAATGGCTACCCCAATAAATAGTTAATTACCATCCAGGTACTTACACAGGTAATGTGTATAATGCCTTGTACCACCATACCCACCCGGCTGTAAAACAACGGGTATCACCTTCCTGCCGGTGTAAGAATTTGCACCCTTAATGCACATACATACTAACATCATTGTTTTAGACGCTACAGGTAATTTAAACCTTTAATATACAATGATACGACTTCATAGACTTTCTCTGTATATTGTTTAACCGAGGAAAGGGAAAGTTCTTCCGTTGTTTACGTTGGTCTTTTAAATCGCGCGAAAACCAGAAACCAGGTCTTGAAAGACGACAAGTTGTGGTGTGTCGGTCACTGCACTGACCGGTAGGACATTAACCATTGACAACCCTAGATGCTATGAAAGGTAGGTTACACATTTTCCTTCATAAACTGTTATTTAAATATTCATATTTTCATCATCTTTAGACAATTATGATTGTAAACTATCTACATCTCAACTTCAAAAATACGTCAAAAACATAACTTAGACACATAAGTAACAGATGTATTTGTTAGGAAATCACTTTTCATCATTGTTTGACATTAAATAAAAAATAGGGATAAACAATGTAGAATTACGGGAGATTCAAATTTAAGATGATTTTGAAATAAAAAAATTCTATCGTAAAACAATTTCAGTTCTTTAATTCAGTTTTAGTTTCGGTCCCTTGGATTTTTGTATGATTACGAATTTGATTTTAAATTATAGAAAAGCTAATACAGGCATATTTATTGTTTACTAACTTTTAAAAATTATCTTGCATAGATTTGATGTAAGCAGAACTTGACAATTAATTTCACGTTAAATGGACAGTATTGTATGTTTCGGGATGTTTTTCATCATTTAAGAATAATAAATGATATTTCGACAAATATCTGACATATTTAACAGTTTTTCTGAATATTTCGTATAAAGAAAAAAGCGGAACAAAAATAACGAAACGAAATGATCTGAAGAGAAACTGAAACGAGATGGGGTGGGATTTATTTCATTTCGCCCATTTCGTTTTTTTACATTCAGTAAAAGAAAAAATAAACGAAAATAAAAACGAAAAGCATGTAAGGGAAATGAGAAAAGTCTGTATACCTTATCGGGTATATAAATTAGTCAAATAGTAACTTTATAGAAAAAAATAGCTAAATAATAACCCTATGAAGTTGTGTGTTTGATAGTAACCCTATGTAATATACCAGCAACGTTAGTTTTAACATTAATTATATCAATTAAATAAATACCGCAACTAATAAATAAACCAAATGATAACCGGATTATATCCAGTTACCAGTATTATCGATGGTTACCAGACGTAACCTATACTTGTTTATATCGGAAACTCGATGATCCGTGAGATAGTTTAGATGACCGTGGTTTGTTATGATGCAGCAAACGTCTCCTCGCACCGCGAGTACAGAAAGACACCTGGCGAGTCACTGCGACATAAGAAAATATCGACGACTGATGTCGAACCTTCATTTTATGGTCTACATGAATATAATTCTTTGTATATAAAATCTTCATTTATTACAAACTCTGAAATAAACTTGCAGTAAAATATGTAAACTAGAGATTATGGCCTGGATGTTTGTGATACTGACACGTGTTGGTAGGTACTGATGACGTAACTCTTGTTTTAAAGGGGGACGGGGGGGGGGGTTCCATCAAGGCTGTGTTTAATTGTATTTATACCCACAACAGATAACGATGAAATATAACAAAAACGGGTGACTACACGTAATTGTAAGGGTGCCGGTGTGGGTGGGGTTGGGATTCCACATATATACGTGATTACACGAGTTGGAGAGGACGGACGAGGATCACTAATATATATGTACATAAGTTACGTTAAAGAATGAATGAACGAAACGTGCGAATACATTTGTCATTTATACAGGATCAGGAATTTACACTCTTGATAAAACAAGATTAAACATCTATCAACATGTAATGTGTTTTTTTGATTGTAAAACGTTAAAAAAGTGACGGTGGGGAGAGACGGGGGAGAAAGGCGTAGGCTGTGAACGTACGGGTGGGGTTTCTGTAGAAATATCAGGAGTCGGGCTGGGCATATACTTAAACAACTTCTCCCCCTCGATAACGACGAATGTTCAACAATAAATTATTATTCATGGTCAACATAAATGTGATATGAATCACCATGCTTCATTACGCCTGGACACACGTGCTCTGTGAGTAAGCTGTGCAGGGGTTCCTCTACCTGTGTAGTCGATACATACCTTATCAGTGGTCGGAGGGAATCGGAGGAGAGGTGTAGTGAGTATAAAATGTACATTTAGCTCATTTAAACGACGTAAGCGTGCATTTAATGGGGTGGAGGCGCGGTGGGGAGATCTGTTCTTTTTGAGTAGGGATGGGGGTGGGAGTTGGGTGAGGGGTTGGGGGCGGGGTGCGGGGTGCGGGGTGGGGTGCGGGGTGGGAGGTCACCAATATGTGTACATAAGTTACGTTGTAAAGTGATTATGGGGGAACGGGACGGGACGAGACGGGTATGAAGGGAAGTTGGAGAGGACGGATAGAGCGGAAAAGATTATCCCATCACTATCTCCACTGCTGTGAGTATAGGACATGCTACTTCATGTCATATCTCATTATTGTAAAGTTATTACCGTACATCAATATCAAAATGTGTGTAAGGGGACGGGAGGGGGGTTATTACCGTACATCAGTGTTAAAAATGTAACTCTTTGACCTACTTACTTACTGTTTACTATCTCTGTTGTATCATTGTTTGTGGTAGAGGAGAGGGACTGACAATATACCGGGTACCTACACAAAAGAAACATTATTCTGTGTTTTCTGTTGTACAATATTTAATTTTCGTGGGAATTTATTTTCGCTGGCTTCAGGTACTCTTAATCCGCGAATTCATATGTCCATGAAATCTTAAATCAGTGAAGATAGTTTATTGAGCTATATTCATAGACGAAGTCAAATGTTTTAGAATTATCAATGTTTTGAAAACCCACGAAAAATTGAAACCCACGAAAGCATTCGTAACAATTAAGCCTGTTAAAGAGGCTGTTAAAATCCAAATAGAATGCTTCAGCATACGGTTTCCCTAGTTTCAACGTAAAACTATGTTATATATCAAATGATGTTGGATTTTTCAATGTCTGTGTACACTTCCTCTGTAAAAACAAACTCCTTTACAACCACCAGATGAAGACATAAATTTTGTCGTATGGGTTGTTTGGTGTTACAGCACTCTACACTATCCTTGGTCACGCGCCAGATATTTGACAGCGGAACTCTTACAAATCTCTTAATCTACTGCAGTCTCATTCTGATATACGACGTTAAATACCATTTACGATGTTGAACGAGATTCAAGACATTTCTCTCACTTGAATGGTATTATAAATACAATTTCTAATTCACCTTTAGATAAGAGATTTATCTTAGTGCCATAAATGTCGAGATAATGCCGACTGGGGCGGTTAAAAGTATCATTGAGATATATTATAATAAAGTTATTTGTGCTTTGAGGATATTAGGAGGTTGAACGGAGCTAGGTAAGTCATAGAGGGTTATCGTCACCTAAGGGAGGATTATCAAAATTAAATACTTACCTGTATATCTACATCGTGACGTCACGCGAAAAGACGTATTCCACAATAGGGCATCATTATTGCGAATTCAAGGTACTGTCATGAATCTGCTATGACTAGAATATAGATTTACCATTGTGTGACATTGCTACAGGGTAACATTACCTATTTTAGTTGTATATTACCAGCTGAATTTTATAGAGAAATAGTTTAGGTAAAATTCAGGTTGCATGTCCAAACAATAAGACGGTGGTTGAAAATGGTGAATGTGAGCATTTAACTCTTTTACGTTGGGATTTGTAACAGATGACATTACATATTCAAAATGCCTCCGTCTGGATTCGAACTCTGGTCCTTCGGCTTGTTTATCTCTAGCCAAGTGGCGAATTGCGACGTGTATTTTACCGGAGTTGCACATTCATGGGATAATCGTGCCAACTTAACAATGTCACGCTCGCATACATGTACATATATATATTGAATACAATGCTTCTTATGTTTTTGTAAGTTTTGTATGTATTGTACTGTAATTGCTTAGTGGATTGCTCTCTATAATGCCGAGTAATTTTTTAAAAGTAACGAGAGGTTCCGGGGAGACATTTTTGAAGCATGGCGGTAACCGCTCGTACTATATAGTACGGAGAAATGAAACATTTTCCAGAGGCCGTGCCATGGAGTAAAACACAGAAAGCTGATTGTGGTAAGTGTTTATCCTCTGTTTATTTGTAAGTATTCGCTTGATGCCGATTTGGATAAAGAATTTACTGAATGAAGAACGGTAACCACGGGCCACTCAAGCATGACTGCAGTTGTTATTTTGCTTGCTTTCACGTGCGCATATTTGTTGTATAGAGACTTAGAAATGTTTTGATGGCTAGGCATTTGTTGTTGGAGTAAGATAGCAATAACTTGTAACGTACATATCTTATGCTATCAATTATTCTATAATTCATTTCAATTACGCAAGCGTTTAAATCGTATTTAGTATGAGAGGTATGGAAACCCATAGGAGACAACATACATGTAGTTTGTATTGCAGTGGTACCGCACGATTCATCAGTTTACTTAATGTTTAATTGTTTATTCTATACTTAATCAATACGTGATGTTCTATATCACGCATTTAGGAAATAATGATATATCAATAACTTTTTATATCAAATCTCAATTTGTTCAAATTATAAAAGTATGGAAACGCATGGAGGAAATGTAACTGGAATGAAATAGTTGGGTTTATACTGACATCTTACGTCATTTTCAGTCTTTAATCATATTTTAGCATGGGTTTGATGAGAAGAAAACAGACCAGCCGATACGCAATAGATCTGAACGGGACATGGCCAGTTATGTTCTATTACTCTGCGGGGGTAAAACGGGACCCTTTGTATCCAGCGGTTCACATGTCCTCGACTAGAGAACGACCTACACCGTAGTTTTTCGTCTCCAATAGAAGTGCGTTCCATTGGTTGGAATATTTGTGTAACCTTTATTGATGGTTGGCGTTACTGTACATGTTGTATACACTGTCCAGTTGTCCTCGTCATGCCACGTCTACATGTCTAACCCACAGAGACGAAGAGGAACATGGATTTGACGGGACGTTCATAAAATATATACAGTATATATCTAAGTGTTTTGTGAGTGTGTGGGTGAGCATGTATTGTGTAAGCTTTGGTGTACATTATATTAACATTTATTGTAAATAAACATGTATATACTGTAAAGAGTGTACTATTGTGTTGTCATTGCTGAACAAGGCTGTGTCGCTCATTTCACAGTTACAGATAAGGCAAATAAAACATTGAATTAGCCCTGTTTCACTAGTATTTATATTCCCGTGAATGCCAACAGATAGCTGTTCAATGTTTAAAAAATTTAATCAAAATGCATACCATACTTTTTTAGGAGCAACACATATGTCAAGGATACCGCCGTCCTGACGTCATCGTTGCAATATTCTATTGCATCATATTTTTTTTAATCGACGTCAGAGTTGTCGTGTGCAGCTGTCATCTATCTAATGACGTTCGTTCATTGTTAAACTAATTGTAAGCGTCTACTATGTTTTTTTTTATTCTTAAAAACAAAGTATAGATTCGTACACTGCCGATGATAAGAACAACTACTTTACAATTTGATTTGAAATTTAGCAATAAACATTCAGGGGAATAATAACAGAACTCAAGCAGCGTTTGACATCATAATGTTTACTTGCAGCTAAACATTAATACGTTGTTTTACAAGCCAGTTGATTTTAGCGGTCACTTGATTTGTCAATCAAAATGGCGGTTATAACCATATAGTTCGATCACAACATATTCGCTGATCTCTCGCAAGAACATCAGGATTACCGAGATAGATGACGGCAGGTTGCCTTCAAATATCGTTGTTTGGGGAAAATATACAAATATACAAATGTTTTACTTACTGATCGCCCTAATTGGTATCTCAATATAAAGTTTACATGAAATATTTGTAATTCTTTATGAATATTATTTTTTTCATTGTTCGTTCGACCATACGCATATTGGCTTACTACTAAATACCTAAGCTCGGATTTCTGTCCATATTAGTATTTTATGTAGTTTGATGGAGCAGTGTAGACGTGATATCAACATTGCATTATTAGTATTTTCCAGCATTGTAGCAGCGTTTGAATGTCTTCTCTTCATTTTCTATTTTACAATTACATTAATTGATTTTTATGTTTCAGAATAACCACCAATGCCAACGTCAAGCCAAGCATTGATCCTGCTGACCACAGATGGCCGGACACCAGCACAGGAGCTCACACACCGGACATTTCCGTTATGTTCCGTGCCCTATCCTTTAACAAGCCATGACATTAACGCCAAGTGTGTCCAGCTTGATGACCAGAGCGATGACGTCATTGGGGATGTGTATGTTTCTAGACAAACTCGCATCAAAATCGGTGACGTTCTTAGCAATCTACCCGAGTTGTTGACCATAAAGGGCTACCAGGGGGCGCTAGCTTACGATGCCCATTCGAAAGTAATGAAGTGGAAAATCGACACCGAAGTTCCCGATAGTCGAATGGAAGCGTTTATTACTTATCGCGGGGATCCAGCTTTTAAACCAGACTACTTCCAGGATGAGAAAATCAGGCTTCCTTCTATATATGACAACGAAGACGAAATAGATGGCGCCAACGTTCTTGACGGATCCCAGACCTGTCGCTACACTAAAAATGTGTGGCGACCCCCAAGTGAACAGATAGAAAAAATGCCAGTGTCTTTTCCGTCCTTGATGAAAACTGCGATCGACGAAGAGACTTACGAACGGCTGTGTAATCTCGGTTTTCGACCAGGTGGAAACGGTAAACGAAACCGAACGATGAATGATAAAGACCAAGGGAACCCGAAAGGAAAACGAGTAAGCTTACAAGCATGGACAAGTCCTGAAGATTACCAAGAAAATGATTTCCGTTTGGAGGATTTGAATCTAAGACCAAATGACAGAAAAGCATATCATGTCAAAATGTCCCATTTGCGTAAAGACGGTGGCACGCTTCCGTTTCCTGGGACGATGCCACCAGTGAGGCTTCCCGGAAATGCGCGATCTGTTACATTTTCTGACCAAGCTCATGACGGAACTGCAACCGGCAACACTGTGTATATCCCGAGCCAGGAAGCATCTGAAGAATATGTCCAGGGTCCGGAAGTCTCTGCAACGTATAATGGACACGGTTCAAGTTCAATGAAGGATTACATGTCCGAGAGAAACAAATTTTTTTCCAAGTATGGAAAATACACAAATAATGTCGTTACTGAAGAATCTAACGGCGTCATTATGGAGCCGACAAATAACAACAGACTTCCGGCTATTGATACAAGATATCAAAAGTAAGTACATGTCAGTCGATATACAAGCAATGCAAAAGTATACTGTAAAAGATGTTTTTCAATGATTCATATTTTCACGTTTTCACTCCCAAAGGTTTAAAGCAGTAAAGAACTGTTTTTTGACGAAAGTTCCGAAATAGACAATGAATCTTATTAAGTTAATTACAAGATGCCCCCTTTCTCGGTATTATTCCGTTTCTCTTTATGTTGCAGGGAGCAATTATCGTCCTCAAACATTTCAACTGTTACACCGGAACCGGAAGTACAGCCAATCAAATCAAAGAAACTTTCACTGATTGACAATGTCAAATCAATGGCAAACTATAACAAGTGGAAGAAACAAAAGTTGACTCGTCTTCGTCTTAGAAAGGAAATTCCTGTTTCACAACCACTTTCTGTCTGCTTCAGTTTCCGTGATAACGCGAAGAGTCATTCACAAGTGAAAGACTTAGTCGAAAAACAGATAGGAAGTCCCATAACAAGACTCCAGTTTGACCCCATTTCTGTGCACGCGCTAGACAATCACGCGAAAAGTCGCTGGGTCGTGACCTTGGATGACAAAGAAAAGTGTGATTATCTATTGGCACATGGATTAGTAGCTGACGGTGAGGTAACAGAGGTTCGGAATCTGGACGAAATGATGAGGGAGGAAGTTGAAGCCTATAAACTATACGAAATGGTGCAAAGAGGACAAATTTCAATGCCTAGCGTTAATGTCCGACGTGTTAAGGCAAGACAAGGGACGAGAAGCACGTGACCTCTAAATATCACCACAGTTATTTTGATTATATTTTTATTTATTTTACAACAATTGCGAAACAAGTAATTTCAACTTATACTAATCACTCTTGTTGGCCCGGATGTAAGCGTGCGAGGGGTCTTTTGTGGGAGGAAACTGGAGTACCCGGGGAAAACCCACGTTATCGGACAGGTGACCCCTTACCTTTCCACGTCTGTTCCGGGAATCAAACCCCGGACAGCGATAATTCATAGTACGGAGGAAAGTTAATCTCTGATATACTTATGAACAAAACGTTTGAGTCGAGAAACGTTTGTTTTGTATATCTGTTCCATGCTATGCTTCAGTATTGCCAGTACAGTATGAACACGTAGATATGTTTAAAGTAACATAACACAGATACACGTAATATTCGGACCAGGTATAAAATGGGTTTTCGGAATCTATAGTTATGATATCCATGCTTCACCTAAACTGACCCTCATGGATATGAACATGTCAACTTCCATTGCAATCGGTTATTTTATGTTAAAAATATCTATATAGTATTTCAAATGTTCTTTTTCCCCTTTTTGATGTATTTCATTTCCGAAAGGTTTTATAAAATTGAAGGAGCCTTGTTCAAGCAAAAATTTTTTTACGGTATAGAAACCAACTAATACCATTGCTTAATATAGTAGTTTTTTATACCCTGCTAAAAATACGCAATTCAATTTTTCAGAAATTAATTGTTTATTCACTTTTGATAGGTAAGAATTATCCCTATGTTTGATGCACCAAAAATAGATAGATTTGCTTAAAGAAAATTTTTTGTCATAATTTTGAGAAAAAAGGTAGTTTATTTTATTTAATGTTTATATATGTCACTTTAATAACAACAAACCAAAGTAATATTGTGCACTCATACGGCCATTACCTCATCTTGAACGCGTTATTCTCCATACACAATCCTGTACGTATTTGATACACTTACCAGGACATAATGTACAGTAAAGTAATATCATTTGTGACCCGACCATGCACTGGAAGGGAGATAACTCTGTTAGATTTGAATGAATTCTTCAAGAAACTTGCTTGGGAAATTTTAATAAAATTTGATATACTAACAACGATGATATATCATTGGTGATTTCTGGCAATATAAAGAGATATCACATCTGAAGTCTTTTTGGTTATGGATTTAAAATATAAGGTCGAGATGGTGATCAGGAGATTACATTGTGAATTTGAACTTCGTCAATGGTTTATTTGGATAGTTTATTGATAATAGCTACGGGGTGTGACGTAGGTGATGCGGTGTTTGCTAACTTGCCATGTTTACGTTTTCAAGACAAGTGTACGATTGTATCATCAAGAAATATCAACATGGAAACAAAATCATAATTCAAACTTAAAACCCCGTTAACCCAGGGCAAAATATAAACAGAAGAATGATTACATAGAGACCCCTGAAAAATTACAAGGAAAATAAGACCAGGTGTTCCTGAAGAATAAGCGACTTATGCTTCATCGATGACACTCGCCATGTAAACCTTTGTCAATCCAAGTGAGTAATGTCACGTTCTCAAATGAGAACAAGGTTTACAACAACGAACGGTATGAGTTTTATGACCGGTCATTCGTATGACGTCATTTATTGATTTACGCCGGATTAGTCCGGTGTTTGGTTTTCTTTGGTTTTTATCATCACGAACGAGACCTATAGGAACGAAGTAGCTGTTAGATGCAGCTGTATTCATTGTTAGGCACACACGGATAGGCCTACCGTAAATTTTATTTAATTATCGGAGAAATGTATTAATACAACTTGGTACGATACAAAATACTATACAATACTTAACATTCGCGAGGGATTCATTGTCTTTGATTTCATGGGTACACTCAGTACACGAATCATATGTTCATGAACTGTTCATATAAAGAATAAATAGATTTGTTGATTATATTTATATATCCACGAATTCAAGTGTCAACGAAATAACATTTTTGAAAAGTCTAGATCTGATCAAATAGTGTAGATCTCATTAATAGGTCCAAATCTAATTAAATGGTCTAGATATGATTAAATGGTCTAGATATGATTAAATGGTCTAGATATGATTAAAAGGTCTAGATATGATTAAATGGTCTATATCAACATAGTCTGTATGGTAACGGCATGTTCATCATTCTTATCATTTATATAACGTTCTTTTTAAAAGGGATACTCCGTCAAAGTTGCAATTTTTCTGGCTGTCTATTGACTTTTTAAACTATTGGCAACATTAGAATATCTATCATGTGACCGGTTTGGTCAGGTGACATTGGTGGGAATACTCCCAGCCAAACCGTCTAAATATAGCACAACGGGAAATCCGGAACTGAAAGGTCACTGGATCATATATTTTCTACAAAGTATTGGGTGTTTGAGCTATTTACTGAAATTTCTTCTGGGGTTACAATTTTATTACATGTACTTCATTAGACTTATTTTCTGTTGATTTTGTAATTTACACAAATATTACATTTTGTTCGGCTTATAATGACGCGAACATATTATGACGTAATCAGGGTCGCGCGAACATTTGTAAATCGATCTAACTAGATCTATAAAGAATTTTTGCAAACTAAATATCATGTGTGTGTTTAAATGGTAAATTATGGTGTACGTTTTCCGTAATAACATAATCAGATAATTTGGCACAGTTTTGTTCCAAAACATCCTAAGTAATCATAACTTGCGCGGAATATCCCTTTAAGAAACGCGCAAACGTACACGACTATGTGCAATTTATATTAAAACTTACGTAAAGAATATTTCAAGTAATCGTTGATAGCTGTTTAGATTAAAATCCAAGTGAAGCAACATAAAGAAAACAAGATCTAGTTCATCTGTACTGATATATACAGATAGTTATATGATACAGGCATGTCTTGTCTGTATTGTACCGATAATCCTTTTTATTAGGTCTTGGATCCAGCTTACTCACGGTGACACAAGACACTAATTAAGTAGCGTTCTATAATACGACCTTGGTTTTGTCTGGAGTACAAACCTACAGTATTCCAGACACATGCTCAGCAGATATCTGGTAACATTCATCAGGGCTATGAAATGGATTTGTAGGCTTCCTTTTTGTTGAGTAAAAGTAATTTAAATCTACTTATTTGTCGATATTTGCCCGTAATTTTTATACTGACATAAACAATTAACTTATATGCCATGTCGATCTTATTTCCTTGTAAAACGATGCCACGTTCAAAAGTAAACTTTGAAATTTGATCTTTAGATGTCAGTTGTCACTTGTATAGTCTACAAACCTTGCAGTGTCACACTTCTAAGAATGTGAGGATCACGATGCAGAAATGTCTGAAGATAATTGCTAGAAATACAAGAACTGTAAGATTCTCTGTAACGGAATAGCATCACTTTCAGGTTCTTCCTTTACATAATTAGATCCGGTTCAAGTACTATGGTTGTCGTTACGTGGTACGGTTCGGTACACGTATTGGGAACATACTTGTGTTGAGTAATGTACCCAAGCGTGAATTTCAGCTGATCTCCAAGTTATCACAGGCTTGGAGTTCTGTTCGCGCTTGATGATTTAATGAATCAACAGTTAGACGAACCGTTCATGCCAATTCACCGGTTAGACTAAACGTTGATGTACAACCTCATCATGGGCGAGGAAGTCTAAGTGCCGATAATTGTACCCACATTGTCTCGTGCTTTGCAAGTAAATACAAGCATGTCAACATTATTATAATCAAAACTCAAGTTGAATAGAAACTAGAACAAAATATGAAAAAAAAACCCAACGGAGATTCCTGAAAAAGTGAAAGGAGAATAAGGTAAGATGTTCTAGAAGAGTAAGCGTGTTCTGCTTCCTCGACGACACCCGCCATGCAAGTCTTGGTCGGTAAGAGTAAGTAATGTGACATTCTCAAATGAGAACAAGGTATACAACGACGGAACAAACAGGCAAATTAACATCCGACACGTCCAGCTTCAAATCTCACAAAGAAACGAAATATTTCTCAATAAGATCACTATGACGACCGTAAAACTTTCCCTTGATTTTCATTAACCTGCATCTTTTGAAACCTTACGAGCTTGTCCGTCAGTTGACGTCTTGTTTCACACGAAAATCGTGTTTTGACTTTAATCACTTACATACATACAGACACGTTTTGGTCGCAATAGACGGGTTACTTTTATGCTGTCCCTCTTTGTCTTTTTTCTGCTTAAGATGGAACATTTAGATCCGCTTGATAATTTGTTTTAACTTTTTTGTATTTGAAAGGAGTTTATAAATAAAATATCAAATAATGATTTTTTTTACAGGTTTTTACAGCGCGAGTGTCATTGTATACATAAATATATTCATCAACTTAATTCATTTCAACATGAAAGGTAAGCATCAGTTTAGACAAGACTCCAAATGCAGTCATCTTGCCGATACCTATATTTAATGGTGATTGACGACAGAGTGAATTATCGCGGTCTATGATAGGGTTAATCAACCGCAACTCACTTTCATGCGTGTCCGAATTGGTCTCTAGCAGCGTTAGTGGTCAGTCACGTCCGAAATGAAATACGGGAGAGCTGACGAGGTCAACCTTTTTATTATCACCTGTTGAGATACTGGACACGGAGTGATAGACTGCACCGAAGCTGGACCTCCATGATTGATTTTCTGATTGGCTGTGATTATCACGTAAGTGGAGAAGCGCGCGAGACGTGTCTATAACCAGGTCAGTAGGTGAAGAAGTATAATGAGTATGAGATAAGTACGACGTGACTGGATTAGCGTGACCCGATAACACTGCTTTCTAATGATTGCCAAGCTAGCAGGTCTAAAGTGTCGTCCGATAGTGGTACATTGATGATAACTTGCAGACGCATACCCCAGTCTTATCGAAAAACCGTCAATGTTCTAATACACACATTAGCCATCGGTCATCAGCTTAGTCCGAAACTTGAAGGTCACTATTACACTCATTAATTACATAATTACCACCAAACCCGGAAAGAGGGC